CACCAGAGACTTCCTTTATGTGCGCTCCAGCCGTGCATGCTCTCTGAGCTTGCATCGAGCTTCACCACCTATGTACACGACTTACACGGAATTGTCTCGCCTGCGTTACTTTCATCTCTCCACTTTGTCGACCTCCTTGAAATTATTTAACACCGTCGCGAGTACAAATTTCAGAGTAACATTGGTTCCCTTAATAATATATAATTTCATTCTGTTTGTATGACCTCAAATTTTTGAGTCGTCGCACCTAACATTAATTACACGTTGCACATGTAAAAATAATGCAATGAGGTGTTCCCGGCACGCAAACTCTTAGCCGTGAATTTCTCATCGCGGAAAAAGCTATCCAAAAACGTCGCAACAAGGGAAATGTAGGGCAGGGAACAAAGCGCAGCATCCACTTGTACCTCCGCGGACGAGCATGGACGAAGGGATCGTTGCAGTTTGCAAAGACATTCTCCCTCTCTTTCCCTCCTGAACTCTTCCTTTCATCCTTCCTCCCGTTTCTCCGGCTTTATTCGCGGCCCTTTTCCCGAGTCCCGACACTGCGGTAGCTCGCGCAGAATAAACCGGAAAAGACTTTCCGAGTCTGCAGCCAAAGCGAGCAGAACGAGGAAATCGCTGGATTTCCCTCTATCACGTCCGAGTTTTGATTTTCGACAGGCCTTAAGGGGAATTTAATTAAAATCCCTCCGTTTAAAGATGGCGGAAGGAAATGGCATCCATTATACATGTTTTTAGGAGGATTTTCTTCCCAAGGGACTCCTGGGAAGAGCGGAGAAAATTGGCGGAAAATCGGGGAAAAGAGCGCGAAGAGCCAACCCGGAGGAATGGGCGGCTCGAATACAAATGGCGTCCGCAACGCGACGCCGAGAAATAGAAGTTCCCCGATCGGTTTTCGAGGGGAACCAAGGGACGGCGGACGTCAAAGTGTGTCGAGAGAATCGGGAAAGGAGGGAAGGAAGAACCTTTGAAGAGCTTTACCGGTTGTCTGCCCTCGAAAAGAAAACCGCGCCACCGGACTTTGTAAGCGCGCCTCTCCTCCGTTTGTGGCTAGGTCGCTGATCGATGCACCTGGCTATTTTTCAATTAATCACCAGAGTCAAACTATGCAACTTAGGAAAAAGCCATACAGAACTTTTCGACTGGATTTTTACCCACGAATTCGATTATTCCCACCTGGGTCGCTCTATGATTACAATTACCCGAAAGAAGGTCGAAAGGGTGTCGAAAAAAAAAATGGATACGGGTCATTTCTTCCGTGGACTTTTATTCGCTTGTGGTTAGATCCGGAATCTAGGCGACCCCCGTTTTCCGGAAAATGGCGCACGGAACCACGGAGGAAATGCGGATACTGTGAAGGGCGACGCAGAGGGTGGAGGAGAGGAGGGGCGGCGTTATTGTGGGCGATGGCGCGCGTCATTTAATCGCGGCACAGTGAGATGGCAAGCTAAGGCTGTGTGCGCCATTTGCGGGCTTCGCCCCCTCCCCTGGCCGGTCGCGCACGAGTGTGCACCACTGTACACCACTGTACACCACCGTGCAAGAGCGTCGCCGTTCAAGTTGGACGACGTTACCGCTGCAGGGGGGTCGGAATCTACCCTCCAGGCCGGCCAACCTAATGGAAACAAGAAATTGCCGCAAACAGAGTTACCTACGCCTCGACGCCCCGTAAATATGACGAGACCGTCGGGGCGCACCGATTGAAAGGACTAAAAGACGAGCCGCCCGATAAGCGCTATCCGAAAAGGAGGTTATGGCAAACTTTCGCGATGGTCGAATAAATTTACTCACGTCCCGCCAACTCTATGACCATTTCTCCGTTTATCAAGGACAATAGGATAGCCTGGGTGACCATGAATTTATTATCCATGGTTATTTATTATTTCTGGTACTTTCCTTCGCACCTGGTCGGGAGAGATTAGATAGCCTCGGTGATTATGGATTTATTATATCTACGGTTATCCATTATCTTTGGTACCTTCCTTCACACCTGGTAGGGAGAGATTAGATCTCATCCCAGGTATTCTGAATTTAAGAGGGAAAATTCGAAATGATTTTCTTTGGGGTCTGGATTTTCACGTTACTTTGGTAATCCTCAGTCCCGATGTACTTGCAATAACTCCGAGACTTTCGGGTGATTCGGGATTTTAATTGATAAGCGAGATCGATGATACCTCGGAGTTATTATTTGTCCGGCTAGGGGAAAAATATTATATTTCGGAGAGGTCCTGTATCAAAAAACATCCTTGACATGTCAGTGACCACCCTCGAATGTGCCGGCCGACTCCATTCCCTGAATGGAATGAAAAGAAAGCACTGGTAAGCGGGAGATAACTCGTTTATCACCGGCCTACGTAAATACACCATGACCATTCGATTCCATTACACTCGACTCTCTTCTCGAGTAACTTCGGACATCTTCGCTTTCTTCCTAACTGAAGACACCTCTCGATATCGATAATTGCAAAAAGCAACAATACAAAGTAAACATGTTCCTTCATTTTTTTTTCTCGATTACAAAAATTGTAACGAATTTCAAATGGCATGGGTTTCGATGGTTATTTTTTTTTCTTCAGCTTGCTCATGGGTGGGAACACTCCCCATGTCCCAAGGCGGAACGTTTTCCCCGTGGAAGGTTCCATCGCGGAATAAACCTCGGCCCGGTAAACGTCACGGTGTGAATGTGGAGTTTTCAATCTGGCATTCTATCATTGACAATTTCGCGCAAATAGGATCGCGGTGCAACTCGACGAGGCATGCGCTCGACGCACATTGGCGTTAAATAAGAGTAACCCACCCCCCGACGGGCTTGCCCCCCACCCTCGCTGCCCCCTTACCCCGGGCATGCTCTGGCGCCATTGCATAATTGCCTGTGAAATCACTAGATGGATTTTGCCTCGTTGTTTCGATGGAGTTTTGTCGGAAACAACCATTTGCCTCGATGATCCCGTCGGAATAAAAAACATTCAACCCCGTTCATTTAAACAAAAATATATATATATGTACATTGGTATAGTTTTCATGGCGATCAGCTGATCGATATTCTCGTAATTTCTTTTCTTCGCTGTATATGATTTAATCGTAATTTGATTTTGGAAGAAGGGATTTCAACACGGGGAAATTAATCTTGAGATGTTTTAATGCAACCACTCGAGTAAAAATCATTGTTTGTCGTGTGAAGTGCATCCGATGCATGTATGACCCTCTGTAAACAATCGACCCTCTTGTATGCAACCCTCCTGTGTCGATCAGTCTCTCGTTTCACGGTTCAGTGTAGACGTCAAGTGACATCGGATTTGCCACCCTAAAACCATTTCAAGCATGTCACCGTGTTGATAATATTTTTTTCGAGGTTATTTCTACGGTGTATTTAAAATTAGAATGATAATTACATATAATTTTTATTAAATAAGGATCATGAAAAAAAAAAAGAATGGAAAACATTTTAACCCTCTTCTGCCTTTCATGCCGCTTTTTGGAGTACATTGTCGAGGTGCACTTCGGGGTAGAATAATCGCCTTACTTCTTAGAGGATCTTATCTCCTCGGGGATGCAGCCAAGGCGATGATGGTCCACGATGAACGAAGACAAGGGTCTCTATCCCGCTCCTTCACGAGCCGGTCTTTAGCATAAAAATGGCCAATTATCCGGCTAACAAACTGCAGCGCGTAAAACCCGCGGCTAACTCGGTTAGCGGGTTGAAGGACATTAGTTAAGCTAAATGCCGCTAGTCCTCGCATTTTTATTCCTGATTACCGTTTCTCCAAAAGTTAATCCTATTACCGTCGCAACTTGACTCTTTTCCCGGGCTGCGAAGCTCGCGACAAGCCCGAAAGCTTCTCTTCCTCGCCGGCCCGGTTTAGCTAGTCGTGTCTCACTCGCGCTCCCGCGATTCCCCCTCGTCCCCTCTCTCTCACTCCCACGCAGACACGGCGCGGCGTCTCGACAATGTCTTCGTGATTTCTCACGGCTTGAATGCCGCCTAATTCTTCCCGAATAATCGCGCGTTTTTAAAAGTCTCCGCGAGGGAAAATGGGATTATATACTTTTCGAGCTTTCGCAGGGACCGGGGAAGAAGCTTCGAGAGAGATGGCTGCACAAGGTCTCCTCCTTGGGAATTCCTTTTGGAAATCTCGCGCGAAATGCGCGAGCTTTTAATCGCTAGGACCCCTCCGGTAATTCCGGAAGAAGGAATTAAAAGGGAGGGCGGAAGTTCATTTTTCCACGGGAATTAGTCCTTACGGCCCGAGACCGTAATGAGCGAAAGTGTCGGAATTGACTTTATATAGAGGAGTAAAAAATGATGGTAATGCATGTGCTCTTGCCAAAGAGCGATGGCGGATGTCGCTTGGGGCAAAGTTAAATTAAATCACAGGGAAGGCAGCTAATATTGTAGTTTATCTAGGGGGACATTAGCGGGTGAAATATGCCCTCCTTCTGGAGAACTTAAAATCAAGATCCTCGAAGTTGGGAGCTAGGTGGGGGCGCATCCTTCCTGCTAAGTCGCGCGTGAAAATACTAATTATTATACCGATTATTAATACGAAAAGTTTATGCCACAGCGAGCAGGGTGTCTCGGCTGTTGGTGAAGCAAGTTTAGTCGAGCCATCGGAGCTCGCTAAACCGTGAGCGCCGGATTATGCTTAGTTAGAATAACGCTTAGTTATAATTCATTATAAACTTGCCAATTAAGGCGAGCCAATTAAGATAGCACGGAAAAGCGATGCACTACGAGACGGTTTCCAATGCGAAAACCGAGGAAGGCGTCGCTCTACAGGAAGAGACGTTAACGATCGCACCGAAGGAGTCTGCTAAACAATGAACAATTTACTTATCTTTCAATTTCACTACGACATTAATAATAAAAATATGTATTACTACCGATTTTTAATTTTAATCTCTAATCTAGGAAAAGCGTCACCGCAGAAAAACGGACGTTAATAAGACCGAAAGCTTTTAACAGGGATTCCTCCTTGTTTAAGAATTTATTTCCCGTCAAACAGACACTGTATAAAATTCAAGTGATTCATAGAAATGTCCAAGTTGATTTATAAAAATTACCCCTATTCTTGCCATTTACCTTCAGGCCAACGTTGATCGTTGATTCTGCATGAAGTCATCTGTAGATGTGTCTCCTTTCGAGAACCTCGCGTAACTGCAATGGAGAAATATTAATACACATGTATGAGACGTTAAGAGGAATGAAGATGACTTACATCTTCGTGTATCTCAATTTTTCTTCGGTCGTCAGAGATGGTCGTGTCGATTTCATCGAGTTGCATAATTGTTCCTGGGTGATTTTTACCCTCTTTAAATCCGCTTGCTCTCCCTGAGGGTGTAATATATTTTTTAATATCATGTATTAAATATGTATCGGTGAATGTAAAATGTTTTTGTAGAGGGGTCCACTTTCAATATCATGCATTTTTTTAATATCGCACGTTAAATGTGCATTGGTAATTGAAAAAGGGTTCGTTAAGGGGGTTCATATCCCAGGTGGAAAAATCTCGGATATAGTCGTTTATGTAAGTCCATCGATATAAGGCATAAGATAATAACCCCCTCGGCGTTAAGTGAAGCGTAGGCAGAGATGAAGTGGAGCGAGATGGGGTTGCTTGGCGTGTGCTAATAAACCTGGCAACGGTTTCCCCAGTTATATTACACACCTACCAACCTACGTAGCTAGAAGGTAGCTAACGATATTATCGTCATTACACCCTATCTTGCTTCGGGAACTCACTAGGGACGATTCGCCAAGATCCTCCAAAGCGCCTTTCATTACCATCTAATGTGCATTAATCAATCCGGTTTATGGTTTTCATAATGTCCGACGAGAATTTCATTACCGTATTTCTGATTTACGGGGATTCGGGCTGGGGAAGTCTTTTAAAAATCCAAGTTTACCTGACGATTTCGCGAAGAAGCTTTCAGTCGAGGAAAATGACAATTTTAAGGAAATGTTTAATTCATGGTAGATGTTATATCTCATTGTTCCTTGTTTACCGGAGAAAGAGTCTGCAGGACTTCTTCCACTGCTGTTAGTCGGGCTTGGGCCAACATTGACTTTAAATCTGCTCCTGTCAATCCTGAAGACATCTCTGCCAATGTCCTTAAATCCAAATCCTTTGTATCAAGGTTTTGATCCTTGCATAATGCTCGCAGGATCTCCTCGCGATCGGCCTAAAATTTATAAACATTAAATTTTACGGAAAGTATGCACAATAAATATTAAGGGAGGGGGGGAATTTTATTAACGATTATGGACGTACTTCCGAGGGTAAAGGACACAACAATGCCTTGTCTAATCTTCCAGGTCTTAACAATGCAGGATCTAATAAATCGGGCCTTGAAGATGCTGCAACAACAGCAACTCCTTCTCTGTCTTCAACTCCATCTAACTGTGTCAAAAGTTGATTCACGACTCTATCTGTCACACCTGTGCTATCGTGACCTCGCCTAAAATTCAGAATTAAAAAAAAAATGAATATCTTCAAGTGATCCATTTTTAATAAGCAATAAATGCGAAATTGTTAACCTGGGCGCGAGACTGTCAAATTCGTCGAAGAATAAAACACACGGCTTAGCGCGTTGGGCTCTGAAATAAAAGATATTTTTGCGCTAATATTAATATTGTCGAGTGTTTAAAAAATGTTAAGTAAATAATTCCCTACTTTTCGAAGATATCTCTCACCGCTTCTTCGCTCGCTCCTATATACTTTGACAATAATTCCGGACCCTGTAGAAATAATTCTATATTAATAAATTCTATTTAATTCTTCATTATTTCAGGTCATTCTTCTTTCATATTTGAAAAATAAGATCAGGGTGTGTTTATAATCGAAGTTTATCGAGATTTACAGGTCTACCTTGACACTGATTAAATTAAGTTCACACTCTTTGGCGATTGCTCCAGCTAACATCGTCTTCCCGGTTCCTGGCATTCCGTATAATAGAACACTTCCTTGGTACTTAATTGGAGCATTTTTAAATATTTCTGAATATTTCAGAGGCCAGTGCAAAATCTCCGTGAGGGCTCTCTTTACTTCCTCTAATCCGCCAATATCCGACCAACAATGACCAAGTCCTTTATAAATGTTTACGCCGTGTAAAGACATCGGTAGGGAATTTTGGAAACTGCTGGCCATGTCTTCTTCCAAGAGCGTCAAGGGGGAAATTAATTTATTTTTAACTATAAGAAAAAATTAAAAATGACAAATTGAAAAGTCATAGCGAGATTGTTGGGAAATTCTTTACCATGTCGTTTCCAAGCTGCAAATGCTGCTTTCTCTGCCATATTTGCTAAATCTTGTGTCACCCAACCTTCGGTCTTATTTCCAAAATTATCCCACTCGATCTCCTCGGAAATGTGCAATTTTCCTCGCAGGATCGATTTCAAAATTTCTATTCGGTCTTCCTGGATGAAAAGGAACACACTCGTGAGCAAAATGCACTTTGCATTCAACAAAAAGGCCACGGATCTTTTATGCTGAGTTTTCCCACAAGTTCGCGCAATCTTTTGTACTCAATCTTTACCTTTTTCAAATTTGGTATTTTCAGGACAGTTTGGAAAAAGTGTGTCCCCTTAGCTGCTCTTAATCTTTGACTTAATTTTCGAGGATCGACGCAAGTTGCTATCAAGGAAATGTAGCGCGACTTTTGATACTCCGAAGTCATGCTGAATATCATGTCTGCAATTCTGGGTTGACAATAATTAATGAATTTTTTGTACTTTATAGGTACTTCTTTTTTTATTGTACGCACCGAGCCGCATTAATTGTGTCTGGGGTATTTTCTTCGTCATTTGGAGGACTGCTCGCCACACTTTCGAGTCCATCCAGAAACAAAATCGAAGGCTCGTGATAAGAACAATCAGACATGGCCGAAGACATTATTTTCTGCATCATCTCAACCTTCTTTCCTAAAATTACGTCCCTCGTTAAATTGTACTATTATTACGCCCATAAATTCATGGACAAGTGATATGATTTTGCAATGTCAAAGCAGAGTTAAGACCTGCCTTTTAGTGCCTTACAGTCGACAAAATGTGTATGCACAAAATAGGGTTTCTCTCGGAAGACCCTTAACAAAGATTTGCAAAATGTCGTTTTCCCCGACCCCACGTCGCCATAGATAAGAATGTTCTCTCTATCGTGAAGAAAATTCCTTGTTTCATGTAATCCCAAAGAGAGAGTTAAGCAGAATTTGCATTTTGAAAGGAGATCTTGAAGTCCGCTGAAATTGCCATTTATTTCTACCGTTAAAAATTTACCATTCTTGATTTTCATAAATTAACTAGTTCATCATCGAAATATTATACAACACCTTAAAGAAGAGACAATGAATTCTTCACCGCTTCCCAAGTCATCAATTTGTTCGGTCGATGATTGATATGGATTATCTTGTACGTTATTAATTTTTACGGAAATTCCTCTCAAAATGTCCTCGTCAAGGAAAACGTAAGAGCGACTTTCGGGCGAAAATCTTAAAATACAATCGCGAGTGCCATAGAGAGACAGAGCCGTTTTTGAGTTGAGCAAAATTTTCTCGAACCTCGAATTTCTCTGCACGTAATTTCTAAAACTATCTTCGGTAATTTTCTCGTCGAAAGGAAAGACCTCGATAAGGTTTATCTTAGTTTCCTGAAAATCTGCAGTTTCGACGAGCACTTTACTGCCTGTTCGGAGTTTCAAATTTTTTAACAAATCCTCCGACACGTAAACACTCTTGTGAATGGACTTTAATTCAAAATGACTCGAGAGATCGTTCGAGTATTTTTTCAAAACATCCTCGATGACGAAAAATTGTACAATTAATTCTACAGACTCTTTCGGAAGGGACGAAGAGTCCTCTTTTAAAAAATTAGTGTTCGTCACTTTAACGTGCTGAAGATGCTCCCGGACCTTTTTCATTTTAAAAATCATACTTTGAAATTCTCTGCTAGATGAAACGTTCATCAAATTTCGTTCGTGAATAAAGACGTGATAAGGTTGCATAAACAGAGAATCGTCAATGTCCAGTCTTGGCAAATTGATAACCCGAAACGTATCCAGGAATTTTCTCTTCTTTTTATACTCGTCCAATGACGGTTGAACGTCGTTACAAGGAACACTTTGATTCGAGTCATTATTAGAGGGAAATAAATTTTTAATGGTACTCCATACTCCGGACGTCGGTTCTAAATTTGTTAATAATTTCGCACTTTTTAAAGACGTATCTCCTCGCGAGGAGGAAACCGGCGACACCATAACTTCTGTAAATTGTTCTAATTTCCCGTACACGTAGTTGGGCTCCAACGAGTCTGAAAGACGTCATTAATTATTATTCTTTATAATTATTGACAAGGAATTAATTATACTGACCCACTGTAAGGATCACCCAAAGTGACTTGGACACCCAAACTACAATAGGCTGATTTTTCGCAACTACAGTGATCTGATCCAACAATGTCGATTGTATTTTATCAGCTTGCAGTTCCTTGAATATTTAAATCTCCATTGTAATCGTTAATTTCTAATCGATGTCTTTTAAATTTAATACTTTTATCTGAAACGCACCACGATTTCCCAATCTTGAGAATTTTTAGGAGTCACTGTGATATTGCTCACACTTGGAGAATCAGGTAGACTTGATACGAAAACTTCATCTCCCTCTGTTATGCCCAAAGAATGCGCAAATTTTGCACTAAAACACACATTGGTATCTGCACTCGGTCTTGGGAACCAAGACAAGTAATAAACCTCTCCATTGTGCGACAACTTTATCGCGTTTGCCTGCAAGGAAAGAATTTTATGCTCGAAATAATTTTACGGCTCATATGAACAAGTCGAATGTAAAAGTCTTCTATTTATTTATTGTCTCGGGTACCTAAAGACTAAGAATAAAATCTTATTTAAATTAAGACATGGAGAAAGGTATTGGAATTTGTATTATAAGCGTAAGGTTAGATAAGACAGGCTTATAGTTCCTCTTTATTCGGTAAATTAAATGATACCTTTGATTTTATTTCATGAATTTTGCATACGTTCATGATTTTCTTTTTTTTTCATTTGGATACGTCTTTTCTGCGATTTATCATTTAAGTTTTGGTTCTAATTTATGGGAAAATTGTTTACTATCTATATTATCGACAAGAAAATTTAACTGCCCTCTGACGCGGTAGAGTAGAATTATATTTCCTATCTAAGGCAGCGAAGAACTTCGCCATCTTGAATGTGCATGTTGTATGGTAAAACAGGATAACAAGAGTACCTTCGTTTTTGACAGTCTCCTCAACCAAACTGCCGGCAAATGGGCGAAACAGTTATTCACAGCGATGTATCTAACGACAAAGCGTTCATCCTGCATCATCGTCTTAATATGTTTCGTCAGGTTCCACTTTTAATCAGGAATCGAAGACCATCTTGCCCTCTCTTCGATGAACGTTATTTTGAGGTTAGAGTCCACTACTAGTTAACAGTGACGGTGCTAGATGGCACATAACTATCGAAAGGCAAGTAAGATATATAAAAAAATATAAATATTAAAGATGTATTAAACACTTCTCAAAATGAGTGACAAACTCTTTCGTAATCTTTACATTCGCAACCGATTCCAAGATAGAATAAATCTTGTGCCATGTACATGGTAAGGGTAAAAAATTGTTCAGAGAATTTCACTTACTCCTAATTTAGAAAAATAATTTATACATGCACAGTTTTAAGAGTAGTTATTTGGTAAAGATTAAATTTGTAAAATAGTATATAAGTTTCTGGGGAATTCCGTACAGTGGCGCACGTGTTGCGGTTAGTAGATCGCTCTTTTAGGTTATGTCGCGTCGAGTATCTTGAGTTGCGCGTCTCGCGGGTGTTTGTTGGTTTATGCTTGTAAACAATATGAAGGGTAATGACAATTTTATTATAGCTGATGCAGATTCTATGGATGCGGGCCTCTTGGTATCGTAGATGGAAATTGAGGACCGACGAAGAGGTTAGAATCCGATGCCTTTAGGGGTGAAGCCAGAGTGTGTAAAGTGCGGGGCTCGCGAAACCCCGCTGTGGCATGCAACTGAGGCCGGTAACCTGTGCAATCAATGCCTTGAAGATGAAAGAAATACGAGCGAAAATTCCTCTTCAAAGACCGAGGAGGAAGACAAAGCTGGATCGTCCAAGCCTGCGAGGAAGAGCACCAGGGTCACGCGATATTGTAAGCCGAAGGCTAATGCCCCTGTAAAAGCAGTGCCGAAAGGCAAAGGTCGTCGTCACATATTTAAGAAGACGGTATGATGTCTACAGTTCTCTATAATTGCATAGTAACGACAGCTTTAAGAGTCGTAATCCTTAAATTTTATTGTCTGGCTCGAGATGAGTCAAATTCACAATTATAATGTTCATCCATGTAGCAACGAATGTATCTTTAACAATTTTTAGATCCCTTATGTTTCGAGCAAGGATTCATGCCAGAGTTTATATTTTCAGCCCATAAAAGCACCAACAGCTGTGGCTACGCCAGTTACCAGTGATTTTGTCTTTTACAAAGGATCGTACTTTCAAATAGGTGATATAGTCTCTATGAGAGACGTGGATGGAGGTCTTTACTACGCTCAAATCAGAGGCCTCCTCACGGATCAGTATTGTGAGAAGAGTGCAGCAGTAACATGGTTACTGCCCACGACCGCGAGGTATGTTTCATAAATAGCATCAATGTTGTATATGTTATTCTGATAAGAATAGTGAAACGTTTCATTGGTCTTATTGCTTTGTTGTTAACCGAAACTATTATATAGCCCACCACCCGAAGAAGGTTTCAGTCCGGAAACGTACATTATCGGACCGGAAGAGGATTTGCCCCGTAAACTGGAATGCATGGAGTTCATAATGCATGCACCATCCGATTACTATAAATTGAAGAATACTCCATATCCTCCTCCACTCACAGAAAATGGTGCTGGTTATACATGGACGACATTACGGAATGAGTTAATTGCTGGCAAAAAGTGATTTCCTAGTTTAATTCCCATCTCCCTTAAATAATGTACATAAAAAACGAAACGTGTGTTAAATTATGGCACATTTGGGATATTCTCCTGTTTGGGTTATTGATAGATTAAGACGAATACATCTACTGCATTTGGTACCTGGAAATTGATAAAAGAGGTAATGCTCAAAACTAACTCGTTCTGTTATCAGGACGAAATTTTAATGATAAGTGAAGTATGATACAGGGCGTAATTGTGACGATTTAGATAACAAGGGTACGCGTTAAGTTATGTTCGCTACCTATTGGTACCTAACAATTCAGAGTACAACGAAAATCGTTTCTGATAAGTTTCCAATTATATCTTTCAAAATCAGCTGCTTTAATCACATCATTAAAAAAGTAAGGTTAGACAGAACAAGTCAATTTTTTCAAGTTTTGAAACTGTAGACTCTCACACTTTTATATTAAACTAGATTATTTTTGGTTCTCGTGCTTCATATCTGACATTAATAATTTTCGGCAAAGTAATAATTTCTTAAAAAATTTAACGAGTATCGTAACGCAACAAAGGGTGGATAGCAATGATTACATTTATAACTGGTGAACTAGGGAAACTTAATGAGTTATAAAAAAATAAGTAGCATCTATTCTATTTTTATTAACTCTATTTATTAATTGTGAAATTATGTTAACTATATAGTGTACTTTATAAATGTAATTTATAATACCATTGTTATTACACTACAGTGTAATTAGTGCTGGTCATTTCTAGTTTTGCCAGGGGAAAGGTAATTAATATTACAAGGAGTGCAACGAATCTCGATCGGGCTTATTTAATTTCGTATAAAAATTTAAACCCTGTGAAAATATTGGGCAACGGTAAACAAAAGAGGTGTTAGAATAATGTAGGTTTCCGCAAGAAGAGATAAAGTTATTTCTGTAAACTCACTTCAGTGATTATTTAACAATATAATATTTATTAAATACATCTTTCATACGATGTAACATTCATGTTCAATGTTTTCAATAGGTACGTTCATTGGTAGGTCTCCTTAATGTCTAATATTATGTATGGTGTCGGAACAGATTAAATAATATGTAATATTATTAAGAATAATACATAATATTTACGTCGATCTAGTTTTACGTGATTGATAGAGTAATGTAAATAATCGAGCAATTATACTGACACATAATATGAATGTTGCTCACAATGTGCTCTTCGTTATGTATAACTTTTATATCATACAATTTACAATCATTCGGAATATTCACTTGGGTAATGCTTCACGATTTCTTAACGACAATTTCAAAGGTAAGAATATTTTTATCTGAATATAACCTCCCTAGAACCATTTTATCTCAGTGCGAAATAAATTATGTTACATGACTTCGATGTCATTCAGAAGAAATTTCAGATAATCATTCTTCTTTCACGCCCTTTGAATCGCAATGTTTAAATCCTGTCAGTTATATATATGTGGACATGGTTACAAAATCTATCTTTTAGTAAACTAACAAGGTATTGACAGAGTTCGGTTAAAGATGAGTTGAATGATAAGTGAATGAAATGTTAAATTATAATAATGTAACCTCGAGTGCTTGTCACTGAATGCGGACGTCATTGAATTCCCTTCCACTGAAATCAAAAGTAATTATCCACTACTTTTGTACCATATAATCAACAACCATTCAATTAGAAACTTGAGCCACTTTGCATGCCCCGAAACGTATTCAAATCAAGTTTACCTAAATAATCACAATGATTTACACATTGCATTCAATGTTCTACGTAAATGTCAGCTAATTAAATGTTATTTAAATCGATAGAAGAGTAATAATTACTTGATCCGTCTTTTGAGCACAATTTCACTCAGCTCTGATTAATTTGTAGAAAGCATAGCACATCGGTTCCATGACAGAGCGAACCAGTTCACCATAATCGATCCTTTGTAGTCTTCAGGGGTTAGCCTTGGTAGCGATGGGATGAAGTCGAGGACATGATGAAAGGAGAAATGCCAGGCAGCATCGGTGCATTCTCACTAGCTCGACGGGGTTGGAATAGTGACCTCGAAGCAGTGTCTGCTTCGGGGATAGCAGACGAGACCAGTCAGCTGGGAGCCAACGAGGAGACGGCTGGTCAGAACTTCAGATCCTTGATTGCCTGCGGTAAATCTGGCAGTTTCATATCCTTTATTTGCTGTGGAATGTTCATGTTCTTGACAGCTGAAACGGCACGTGCCGGTGCTGCCGTGATGCCAGCCTGTGGAATCACACAAACGAAGTTTCGAGTCAGTAAATTCAATTCCCTTGACAGAATGTTAGAATTCATCCGTTGAGATGAGACCGTGGAAAACCAACTGTTGATACCAACAATCGATACCTGACACACTATTTTCAGTCATTTATAGTTCATCGACAGTGCAAATGCAATTTGAAAAGCCTTCTGTAGTCTCCGTAGGAAGTAATCAAAGGATGGTATACAGGTAGCCAAACGCTAATGCAATAACTTTATTTCTAGCTCCTTTCTAAACTTCACCGATATATACATTTGCATATAAGGCACTAAGGAGATTCATGGAATTAGATCTTACACTCGACACAGCATGCAAAACATAAGTACCTAGCAGTTGGACTTTGAAAAAATCGAAAAATTCGGTGTTGCTATTGTAGAGAAATAATGCGTATGTAAAAAAATCAAGATGATTGCCCGATTGTACGGGCGAATTAAAATTAGTAGATAGAAATAGAAATGAGATTTATACATCAGATGACCAGACATTTGCCTCATGCCAATTTAGGCTTAGGGAGGAGGTCCCAGAAGAATGACTGGACGAGGCGAACATGATTGTCTCGTTCTGTACACTACCTAAAATTTACGTCAGCTCAATCAGTTAGCTACTACTTTGGAGCCAGTTAATAGTTCATGCCAAACATGCTTTGTCGATAAATCATTGGCAAAATGGTATCAAATGAAAAATTTTATTTGATATGTTATTCGAATTACCATGCTTCATCTGATTTATATGTTAGAGATACGTGAGATCCTACAACAGGGATTTCATAGAAGTGCACTGATTTTATATGAAACTCAAATATTATTAATCATTCATTAATTTACGGTCAAAGATTTTGAGATTATAAAATTAGGTGCAAATTAACAAGTACATCGGGTGGTCAGCAAAATGAGAAATTACCTCTTGTTTCTCCAGTTTATTCTGGTCTTCGATCCTTGTGAGTATTTCAGTCATGTTTGTTTCTAGAACCATGCCACCCATTACGAGTTCATTCAAAATGTAATGAACTTTATCGACATGGAAGATCAAATCTAATTCACACACATTCTCGAAGCATTTATCCAGTGTCTCAACGAACACTTGGATTAAATCTAAGATTCCGAGTTCGGACTCGGAGCTGTCGACACAGAACACAAAATATAACGTTGCGTAGTGTCGATAGATTAGCTTGTAATCGGAGCCTCCGATAAGACTCCCACCCTCCAAGAAGTTACAAACATTATCGTCCCGTTTGGAGACCAACTGAAAAGTCTCCTTGATAATTTGCTGCTGCATGTCTTCGTTCTGAAAATAACATTCAAATTTATGCCCTGCCAGCGACTTTACTTTCAATATTTACCAGATATACAATTTAAATAAATAGACTTGTAGAGCTTCGTCATAAATACATTTGTTACTAGAATGTGCGCTTACGAAATATTGGTAGAATTTTGAAAGTCGTGGTTTTCCATGATTATTGAACACCAGAATTGCTTTGATCATACTGAATTGTTGTCTGTTTCTAGAGAAGAATAACTGAACCGGAATTCTGTTCACTACGTCATCTCTGTCTACTTGTGAGGTTATGTCACGTTTTGGTCAATGAATTTTTTGTTGTTAAAAAAATGACTGAAATTAAATTAAGTGAATCCTCAGCGAAGAGTGTCCCGTTTCGAAAATTTCAAGTTAATTCTACCAATCGGTAGATGGCACCAAAACTCAATGCCATATAAAGCAGCACTACTTAGAAGGAACTATTCCTAGAGCTTTACTTTATAACGAATTTAAGGTTATCTTGGGATGTCTGAGTTAGGTTTGTAACCATCGGGAAAGGTTATGCAGGTTCCACCCACTTTAGAAATTGTCATTACATGATTCTTATCGAGATTCGTCACCGGCTTGAACAAATTGAGAATCTGTTCGACTTTTTTTACGTCGCTTTACGTGCTGATTAGCGATTTTAAGTTGCAAGCAATCGCAATAAGGTTCGATCACAAAGTCGTGATTTTTTGGGTTAGGTGTCCTGTAAGTGATACTTCCAGATTTCTTGTTAATATATTGTTGAAACAAGAAAATCGTCAACATGTGCGCAAAAATGGCATTTCAACACCAGGCGGGCACTGCTATGCAGTGCCTCAGCGTATGTATTCCACAAATTTTATTTATACACTTTATCAGACTCTGGTTCTTTAAATGTTCTCCAATGATACTTTATCAGGTTGCGCATGTCATTTCATGAAGTATTACAATACACTCTGGTTTAATATTATAACGGAATAAAGTTATGTCAATATATGTTTCAGATTCCTATTACGCTTCATAAAGAAGCAGAAATAAGTGCAAACGGGGAGGAGGTTATGAAATGCGGCTTCAAAATAGGCGGTGGAATTGATCAAGATTTTAGAAAGAGTCCACAAGGTTACACGGACAATGTACGTGATAAAGAAGTAATATTTGTAGGATTTAGTGGATCGTTCCTAAAAACTATCTTTGTTGTAGGGGATATACGTTACGGATGTGCACGAAGGTTCCCCCGCTGCAAAAAGTGGGTTAAGGATACACGATAAAATTTTACAGTGCAATGGGTACGACTTTACAATGGTCACGCACAAAAAAGCTGTGGGGTATATTAAGAAGCATCCGGTTCTAAATTTATTAGTCGCTCGCAAAGGAGTGACTAGTACTTAAGCTGTAGAAAAGAAGGGATGCATTTTATTTATTTTCAAAGTTTCATTGCTTAAAGCCTGGAAGTGTCTTTGAATTTTTATATACTAATACGTTGAAAGAATTAATACTTGTTTTTAAGGAATTCTTTGCTAAATTTATGCATTTGAAGTTATATATTGAAAACTTATACATATTTCTTTATCGTATCAATTTGTTGGACCAATTTCGATATGGAGATGTTTTTAAGCTTTGTTTAGGTAAATCCACCGATGACTAAATGAATCAGGTCATAAGCAATTGTGGACTGAAAATATTTAAAAGTAGCATTTTTATTGTAAAAATGTCAGCATTTATTAGGGAAGATGATGAATGGTAAATCATGTTTAATCACGAGTAAACAAACTCAATGTTTACTACTTGAATCGCCATTATGTATAATGTTATAAACTACATATGGCCTTTTGATGTGCAACCTACAACAGCAGTGACAAGATCGCAGTTATTTTGCAACGTACAAGCACTGGTATTAACTTAATAGAATCTAGAAGTAGAACCACATAATATCGTGAAGTCAGTTACCATGAAAGCCAAATGCAATGTACTTTTATCGACCTCATTTGGAATCCAGCTGCTTGTATGTGAAGTAACGTTATAATTTATTGAAAGTATTAATCCGTTTTTGATATTTCTTGAAATATTCAATTTTATGTACGTAGAGAATAGTAAACTAGATCAACTATTTATAGGAGAATAACGTTAGCATTTAATGTGGTCGTAAATAGGTGTAAACCAACATTTGGATGTCCGGACACTTTTACCTACATTCGGTCAGTCGTGGAATACCATAATTACTTGATAAAAAGTAATCAATGATTTCACTTGTTCATGACCTTTATACAATCATCGACATCACAAAGCCCAAACCATCGAGGAACATTTTATATTTACTTTGTTCGTTAATACTATGAAAAGCATTAAGAAGCCTGTTCTTTTGTAATCACATTAGACTCTAGATTTTCTCAAGTTTCAACCATACGAGGGTTATGGTTTTCTAGCAAGGGAAACAGAGAAACCCAAAGAGTCAATTACTAATCTGGTACACGGTGTAAAATCAATTATACACAGAGACCTGGATGAACTTCTCTGATGTTTCACTTACAAGATTGTACAGACAATAAGCTATATATCAGGTGAAACAATCGGTGTCACTGCCACACTTGAATCGCTGAATTATCTAATGCCTGATGCTTATGATATTACATTTGGATAATAAATTCGTGATACTTTATAACTTTCGATACGTCTTAATTCTACTAAATACTTAGAGTTAAGTTCGTTTAACTGTATAATACTTAAAACAAAGACTGATTAAGAGAACAAATAAAGAATCCTTCATTACCTAACAGTATGGTCCGAGACGTTTCATAAATAAACATTTGGCGCGATCATTTATTAGAAAACTTTTGAATTCAGTGTACAGGTTAATTTAGCAGTCGATAGGTGTCGATACTGGTAGTGAATCCTCGGCTTCTGATAGGTCGATTCGTTAACCAATCAGCGGTCTAGAAATTCCGTCGATACGCTGTCGACCAATCAGCGACGCGCCACGGGTGGGCGCTTTTTTTTTCAAATGAATCTTTTGAATGTTAATCTTCATCCGTGAATTTGAAAGACCGTAACTTGACCGAGCCGATACTATTTATCGAGTCGAAGAAATATTTTTCCAATTCAAGGAGTATAATTTTATTACCTACTTTTATCGTATCGTAAGCGCGAGTAAACCGAAATGCGTATTTAGGACGCATATTTACATTCTTCTTGTTCTGGCGGTTAATAATTATGTTTATTGTTAGATTTTATGTTTGCATTTATGTGCATGGGACGTATCAAAATGGACGTGAGTCTCGGAAAGGGAGATGTGTGAGAGCATCCTCTCCGGAAGAATCGAGACTGCGCGGGCTTGTGGAGAGTAGGTGACGGTGTATAATCAATACTACACCATTGCAGGTGGGCAGACTCCTTGGTCCAGCGCGGAGCGGAGAAGAGCAACGCGGAGCAGCATCATGCAGACGGGCACGCACACCTGCATCCCGGGGAGCGCCGGTGAGCAAGTCGAAATTAATCGTTTAGTTTGTTTCATCTCCATCTGTGCTTTTCAATATCCCTTTTCATTTTAGTTTCCTATACCACGAAGCTGTATTAGAATTCTGGAACAGCGGGCTCGCTCTCAAGATTTCCCCTCCCGCGAGGAAGAATTTAACGGAATGGAATTGAACGTCTTCACTTCCACTTCATATTTCATTTGCCGTTATTTATTCCTTGATAAAGAAATGATAATCGGATAGAGAAACAGCATGAGATCATCTTTGTCATGTTTTCGAGTGGATTGTGTATTAAATGGAGGACATTGTTTATGTTAAGTCAGAGGGGCGTTATTAACTGGAAACTGTTTCCTTTTTTTGTCCTCAGTTCTGGGCGAGCTTCAAGGAAATGAATCAATCGAAGAAATTGCTGAATCCGTGGACGAGCTGCGGATGAAACTGGCGAATATGAAGAGGTTGATGGAAGAAAGGAAAGGAAGTACTTTGGGAGATCTGAGTGCTCGGAAAAGGAAGGAGTCGTCCGATATTATCGACGGGAATTTTTTATCCTGGATTTTCGGCTCGGCTCTTGTCGTTATTTTAAGTGTCAGCTTTTATGCATTTTACAATTTGTACCACGCGGTTCTTAAAAAGTTCCCCTCACGCCATACGGAACTCTAACGAGGGACTCAAGACTATGAAATGAGGGAAAAAGAAAAAAAACGAACAATCGATACACAGCCCAAGCAATTGTAACAATAAGGAATGTAAATACCCGAAAAATGTGGCAATAGGTGACCCAATATTGTGTACGAATAATCGTGTTAAATACTTAATAAGACAAACGTAAAAGAGGGATGAAGAAATAATCGAGCTCGTCCCGAGCTCGGCATTGGTCTCGACTTCAAAAAAGACAGAACAATGTAAATTAAAATAAGTAGGCCCTTTTTGTAAATATATTATTGTACGGTGTGTGAACGGATGAACAATTTAGAGGATTCCCCCGTCTTCGGAATTTCTGAATTTTCGACCAATTGAGTAAACCACATTATTGCTTCAATTACAGGTTCACTCCGTTGACTGTTAACCGGGATATGAGAAAGACTGCAAGGTAACTTCAAATAGTTATATCTCACTTGCTCTTGCATATAAAGGAGGAATAAGAGAGAGAGATACCATGGTCACTCGCGGAACTAAGGAGGACCACGGATGAGGCAGCCTGTACAAAATCTTGTAAATCACATACTTAATTCAATTCACATTTATCCACCCCATAAGGGATCCTTATTCTAAAAGCATCCATTCCAGAAATGTTTACCTGAGAAGGTATGAAAAGTAGTCAAGAACCTGAAATCATGTTCTGGGAATCCTTAAACATTTCGGAACGCACCCTTTAAAAAATTCGCGAAGTTCGTTTCCAATTGGCGGGCTGCTCGGGCGGGCTCGGGAGCGCTCGGGCGTCTTCGGTGGCCCCTTCGGCGACGTCCAAGATGGCCGTCAGTATCGGAAATGGTGTAGCGTGAGAGAGAGGAGAGTGGGCGGTAGGGACCGTAGGTGTGTCAAGTGTCGGCTCTTCCTTGATTATGCCATCGAGATGCCGATCGTTGCGCCCGTGGTTAGGTGCGGTTAGGTGTATCGGGTGGCCAGTGAGAGGAGCGTGATCGCCGAGTGCTGGGGAGAACGCATGAGTCTGAGGAGCGGCGCTCGGCGCTCGGACTGTTTCATCGGCTCGACCCGGTTGGCGGATGCCCACCGACCGTCGACTTTGCGTCGCCGCGCCCGTCGCCTCGGCTTCCGAGAAGTGCAGCGCGGCGCGCCCGAGTCTAGTACAGACTGCACAGGTACCGGAAATATTCGCCGAGGGAGAGGACCCAGCCCCAGTCATCGCATCATCGCATCATCCCGTCATCGCTTCGTCGCATTATCTCGTCACCGCATCTTCTACGGGGACAGAACGACGCCAGTGATTTCCTGAGTAAGTAAAAGGCCGACGAACCGAAGGCGAGGCTGCAGAAAATTCCCTGCACACCGCTGTGCACAGAATTCTGCCACACCAAGGACTCCACGAATGAAGAAAAAAAACGGGATGCAGGCCATGCAATTTGTGTCAGGTTATGTCATTTGTGGCGATAGGGTAATGTGAGTTATCGGAGCTAGATGAGGTCCACGTTCGGAGAGATCGATGGACCGTCAAGGCTCATTCATCGGTAGTTGACCAAGAAATTGCAGTGCGATGTTTGTCCATGCTTTGTGGATTTGAGCTGGAGTAAGAATAATCGGTTCTTTAATCGTAATCATTGGTTGTAAAGCAAGAATTATTCACTAACTTAAGAATGGTGGATGAGCCCTGGGAAATGAGATCGACTGTGAACGCATAATTCTGATCATGCCGGGAATGTCATTAGCGGTTGGTCATAGTGCCGACGAGATCACTCGATCTTTGTCGGATAAGGACCTTTATATGAACCGTGACGAGTGGAATCGGAACTGAGTCTCTGGTCGATAAATTGTACAACTTTGGATGGGAAATCTGTGCTTATTCCTGGCCTGAGGAAGTTGGTTATGTTGGAGAAGAAATAGAAGAATTTGGGGAATAGTGAATTCGGTGGAAAGGCAAGATCTGCTTCCACTGCTTATAATTTCGTGGACATTGGGCCGGCGGAATCTAAGTATTAACGTCAACTTGGCTCGAAGAAATTCGAGGGGAAAATGTGGAATATGATGTGCGACGTGATGCCTACCATTTCGGAGGACAGCATCAGTCAGCGGAGCTCGCAGTTCTCGGCGGAGGACGGGAACTTCGAGCAGCTGATGGTGTCGATGCTGGACGAAAGAGACAAGTTGATGGACTCTTTGCGGGAGAGCCAGGAACGACTGCAGGAAGCCGAATCCCGCCTCCAGGAGCTGGAGAAGGAGCGGGATGCTCTCAATCGTCAGATCAACGCCAACATTCCTCAGGTAAATTGTTGCTCTTTAATTCACTGCAATTATGCCTTCCGACAAGGCTCGTTAAGTTAATTGCACCGCAAGGTGTGCACTCCCACGCTCATTTGACAGGAACGTGAACCCTGTGACAAAACGACACGCTCTGACAAATTGAACAATTTATTCCTTCCAAAGGAAAGCCTAGAAATTACTTAAGCATGGCATGTCTTTAGGTGATACAGAAGTAACGAAATTGATATATCATCTGAAAATAAACTGGAGTAAACCTTCAACAAGTGGCCTTTACGCTTCAATGAAATAACTGCAATTGATACAGGCAGTTACATTTTTTAAATCATCGACAAAAATCCTTTCGCTGACTGATCGCGTTGCGGTTTATTAAATCCGAAAGTTCACGTTCCAAAGAAAAGTCTTCCGCTCCAGATAGTTGCAAAATTTTCCGCATCGAGCCAGCGCTCCGACTTCCGTTTCCTTGGATCTGGGCAAAAAATGATCTCCTCGGATATGGCGATTTTTTTTTTTTTCCCTCCGGTCTGTAATTTACATTTTAATTACACCGCTGACCAGTCAACGGCTGACGGTAAACTCATTCGCAGTCCCGCGATATTTCACTCGGGCATTGTGTTTACCTCGACAAAAGGATCCCCCACGCGAACAGTAAAGAGCAGAACAGGGTTGTAAATATCACAGGGAGTGTCAATCCACGGGAGTCCTTAATCGCAAATCACGTGCGTTGATAAAAATACAGGACGCGAATCGCCGATCACGAACAGGTGATAACTCGTTATCAGGGGGGAGGGTAAAGTATGAAAACCTTCGATACACCCTGTTTGGGGAAAAGTTTCACTTATCACGATTTACCCTTCGGACGTCCCTTTCATATCACCTTGAGGTGATTTTTATCTAAAGCGTGTACGATATACGCGACAATTATATTACCAGAGCGCGTAATAATATTACGGCGCGTCACGCGTTTTTTCTCTATTTCATACTTTTTTGTTTATTTTTATTTTTTCATTTATTTATTGCGAGTACGATATACGTGATAATTGTATTACCCGAGCGCGTAATAATGTTACGGCGCGTCCCACGAATTACGCGCAATTAGACGAGCGAAACGCAGTTACGGCCGTAAATGGGGAGCGTATCGAAGTGACAGAATCTATTGCCATTGACCGAGCGATCGATTGCACACGGGTATTGATAGATATCCGAGTACGTGGTGTGACGCAACCCTGTGTGGTGTACCCACCGTGTGTGTACGTACAGGGTATACATGCCCAATACACGGGGCGGTACATACACGATTCGTCGGCGGCAACTGGAGTGCGAAGGGCACATGCATGAAACCGAATCGTTACGTCAATTCTCCCTATTCTCTCACCCAGTTTTAGCCTCCCCTTGGTTGGCCGAGTAAGGCGAGCTCGGCCAAAAAATATCGAATCCGAAGATCGGGGGAGAAGGACGCGCACCGAGAAAGAAATAATCATCGAACCAAAGAAATATTCTAATAGTACCTAAGGAATATCTTATCGATTAAAAAAATTATTATTACACTGTAACAAGCTCGAATGAATTACATGCAAAGTTTCTTTGGAATTATGACAATTTATTTCAGTGGAATTCCTTTTAATGAACAAAATGTTCCTTTGGTACCGTTCAGAGCGATATTTCTTAGGTTCGATGAATCTCTTTTTTATTGCTGGAATATTTATTACTGGATTATCATTAATTATCATTTCTCTGAATGAAAAACAAATATTTGTTTAGGGGTAGTTAGGATGTTTCTTCATTTTTTTTTCTCTCTACCAAAACCCTATTATTCGGCCGAAATGATTATTGCTCGATGAAATCATTTTCATCGAATCAAAGAAGGGTTTTTTTTCTCTCAGCCTAGAGGTCGGAGTTGCAGATCGAAAAGGAGTCTAGACTCGAGTATGTCCTGTTTATGAGGAGGAAAATCGGTAAAATTAGCAGGGCGACCAAGACCCGGTGCAACGTACGGTGTACGCAATACGCGTCGATCAATAAACCCACCCACTCACTACTACCTCTCCATGAATGAACCTCGGCACCTCTCTCCTACTCCTGGCCGCCTTTTCCACTACGATCCGAGCTACTATCGAATGGCCAAACTCGGACGAAGGGGAACGAACAGGAGTAACCAGGGAAATAAATAAAGGGATAGAGGAAAAAAAAAATGTGAAAGAAAAAGGGAAAAGAGAGAGATGTTGCGTTGTCCTCGTCTACCTTGCTCGTGAGTATAGACACACCTGTTTCCAGGGATTGGTGTGCACTCGCCGTGAACCTAGCTAATTCCTTGGCGACTCCGTCATCGTCGTAAACCACCGGGACTGGTTCGGATGGACGTTCCTCCGACGTGCATCCGAGATATCCCCGCTGTTCCCCAGATTTTATGCTCGACACGGTTAGACTAATTCGTGATGATTCCTTTGAGAGGGAAACGTAAAAATGGATTAAGGGCACGCCTTAAGGCGATATCAAAGCGATTATTATTTTGTTAATGATCGATATCTTGGCGCAATCGTTATCGTTAAGAGCAATGTGAGTCCTGGTCTTACAATTGTTCATTACTGGGGGGGGAATGAAAATCCCGGTTACTTATGCAAATTTTCTCTTTCCCTGTTGCAGGAGTTCTCACAGCTGACGAAGGAGCTGACCGCCGCGAGGGAGAGCATCCTCGAGAGGGAGGAAGAGATCTCCGAGCTGAAGGCTGAGCGCAACAATACCCGGGTAAATTTCTTAATTATCGACCCCCAAATAACTGAAACTAACCGCAAGTTGTTTCCCAGCGACTTAAGGTATTACGATTGGGTCATCCTATGTGGAGAAGTCGGGAGACTGCTTTGTACCGTCTGTTTTGCATGTTCCCAAGAGTAGCTGTCCAGGACCTGAACCCGAGTGACGCGGGTATGACGCCGGAGGCTTCTCTCGGATGGGACAGAAGTTCGATTTCTTTCAGGTGTACCATTGAAAAGCGATACCGGAGTCTCGCAATGGCCCACACCCATGTCGACTTCCCGAGAGCCGCCTAAGAAAAGACCGGTAGAAAGGACATGCGCTGTTACATCATCAGTATGCAATCTAGAGCCCCACCGTGGAATCAGCCTCTCGTGATCGGAAAGAGTAACGGGTACCATCGGTTGCATTATGTGCATCTCCGTGTCGGATTAAATTACACGGCGATGCGTAATACGGTGGAATTAAAAAAGGAAAGAAAAAGAACGAATCACTTCCTAGACGTGAGCGGTGGGAACGACGCATGTCCTGGGCTATGTAAATGTGTGATCAGGGAAGACCAATTAAGGCGTTATGAAAGCCGTCATATTTATATACATATCGAAGTAACATTTGTCGATCGAGCGTTGCCGTTTCGATCACGACGCTTTTCCTGGTTTATACAACGGCAAGGAGAGTCGGCGATACATATTTTTTTTTTCTTTTTTTTTCTGGCAAGGCCGTACCGAGAGTACCGCCGCATAAAAATATACCCGCAAAAGCTCGATCAGCTGGCGGCTACTTAGGTCGTGATGTATGCGTGTACTATTATTAGATATTTGTATGACTAATGCCCGACTTTGAACCCTCGACAGCTTCTGCTGGAGCACCTCGAATGTCTGGTTGCGAGGCACGAGAGGTCCCTCAGGATGACCGTGGTCAAGAGGCAGGCTGCGGCGCAATCCGGGGTCTCGTCCGAGGTCGAAGTACTCAAAGCCTTAAAGAGCCTCTTCGAGCACCACAAGGCTCTGGACGAGAAGGTACTATTAACACCCCGCCTACACACGGGGAAACATTTAATTGTACCGATACAATGAAAGTGTTCCCGGTAAAATAGAGTTCAAACAGTTCAGAGATAAGTCTCACGTACGAGATCTGTGGCGCCACTTTCGCCCCACCTTAAAGGTGACAGGCCGGATTTATTCTGCTGTGAGATCTATTTCTAGTCTTAGAGCCGAGTTAATTGTGACGGGAGGAGGTATCTCTATCGACGCTGATCGTGTGACATTTTCGTGCAGGTCCGGGAGAGATTACGACTAGCCCTAGAAAGGAACACCAGCTTGGAGGAGGAACTGGCACACACCAAAGACGAGGTAAGGTCTGGAATAACTGACCTCGGTCAACCTCTTAATCTTTCAGTCATTCGATGGAGACCCAAGTCAAATCTGTGTCGGGCTGATTACGAGGAGGCCCAGCCTCTCGAAATCCTTTGATCATGCCCGATCTAAAGGAAGTCTGATTGCAGCTCCAGCAGTATAAAGTAGGCGGACACCCCGCCAAAGTCATCGAGGACAGGCCCAAAGAAAACGGGCAGGCTGATGACGCCCAACAGCAGAGCAAGGTACCTTTTTTGTTTTTTTTTCCTTTTCCCCTCCGGATGTGTGGACATTTTTCCTTTTAACGAGGTCACTCACATACAAGGCACTCATGTCCATTCACACGCCATTTTTTCGTCCATCGCCATCGGGTATATATGTTTATGTACTGCCGAATTTATACATTTAGATCGCCGTCAAGGGAAGGGATGAGTTTGGAAGTGTTAATGCGAGACTTTGTTATCATCTTGCATGCCCATGTTTTTAGCCTCATTGTAGGATCACTAGGTAGAGCATTATTTATCTATCTATATACACATTAACCTATGTATACGTATATTGTACGTATGTATTCCATGTATATCCCCCCCTCTCGATCTGTGATAGCAGTTTCATTTCCCTCGGCGATAAATCCCGCGAGAAATTCTGGGTCTCTGTTGGTGTCGTCCTAGGAAATGCCGTCCTATGAAATGCGCGGCTCGCGGATCTGTGTGGAAGGTCATCACGTCGGTTTCGCCGGGCATTGATCATGTCGTTCTGTCCCATCTAGTGCCACTTCATCAATGAATGAGGGAAACGAGTGCATCGTAACGAATGATTGTGCCCCGGATGCGTTTCGGTGGATGCAAGGAGCGGGCTCGATAGGGGAAATTATTCCAATTTTCGGGAAAAATTTAGCGGCTCGTTCGGATTATCCTGGAGGTAACTTAACTACTTCAACAACTCCGAGTCCAGTTACGATTTCTTTTTCCCTTTGGGGCCGATTCTTCGGACGGGAATTTCCGAACAGTCTGGCGCATATTGGCCGATAATTCGGGACTCGCGTTATCTCGGGAATATATTCACGGTACGATTTAAATGGCCCCGATATACCGGGGAATCCGGCGTCGCTCGTTGCATCCGTTTAGGAGGGCATCCGGGATTATGTTCGCAATGCACGGTAGTCAGCTGATAGATTCAGTAGTCGTGTTAATGTAGTGTTTGATAAGCGCGAGCGAGATGCAAGCCTGCCGGACCGAACGAGGCATTCTGAATGTAGTGTTGTGATCGGGCAGAATCAGACCGAGCAGGCGGCGAACCAGCAACAGCCACAACAGCAGCAACAAAAGCAACAGCACCCGATTAAGCTAGGTACCGAGAAGCAGCCCGAGGTGGGGAACAGACTGAGCAATGGCAGCCTAGATCCTACCGATCAGGACTCTGACGTTCGAGTAATTGACTTACAAGCTACTCTCGACAAGCAGGTATGAAATTGCAGTAACGCCAGCTCCTCGTTTCTGTAACGAAATGAGAGAAAATGTGTATGGAGAAAAAAAAGAAAGAAAAATGCGGCGAGGGTATTCCGATAGACACCTTAGAAGGTAGAGACTCGAGCAGAGGACATTTTCGGGGCGGTCTCGAAGCACGACTTTTAGAGATGTTCAAGTTTTAGAGAGAGATTTATTTTAATGCGTTTTTGCTATTTCGCCAGAGGACCAACGACTTAAGGTAAAACGTCGCTCTTTAATCTCTCTTCGTTGAGTAATAATTACGAGAGCTGAGGAAACGTCGCTTTCGGAGGTTTATGTTTAACACGCTTTTGCCATGCTTAGATCTTTATACTGTTTCGGCATTCCTGTATTGTACTGTTCAAGATGTTATACCGTACATGTCCGAGAAATTGTAAAGGAGAGGGATTTAACATGCAAATTTATGTAAACGAGATACTAGAGAAGAAACCGTTTAACTATTAAAGTGCTGTTATCATTGTATGGCACCTTCGGTATAGTGGCATGTATGGAATGAGACTTCATGTTCATTGTATATTATTATATGACTGGCATGATTTGTGTCTAAGGCTGAACATTGATCCTAGTTCGCTATCCTTTGTACTGTGCCTTGCCACACATTCTTTTAAATAACTGTACAAATTGAAGACAACATTATACACCGAACAGAGTTATATTCTTCGTATATAGTTTCTTGTACAGCTATGAGATATCAGAATATCGTTCCAGGCATTTACAAGAATCTTCTTGTACACCATGTACCTAGCTTCTCTCATATTGAAATGTCAGGAATTAACGGTGTGATTGTTATTGCAAAAAAGTGACGTCTTGAATTGTAGAAAACGGGAAATTTTATTGTTCGGGGGTAAACCCATGAAATTGTTAGGATAAAAATTCGGCAGAAGGGTAATGAAAAAAAGAAGCCATTAAACCTTAGGCTCGATGTTAATTTATTCGTTGCTAGGTCGACGGCTTGTATGTACGGAATTGTCGATTTGGTAATTTCGCCGTATAAAATGCAGGACTTGTTCCTGTTTTAGACGGTTGTACGGTAGTGTACGGTTATCGGAAAAATCCGGGAGTTTTGAAATATTGGGCATCGGTGATGGGGAATTTTTTTAGTGAATTTCATTCCATTCGTTTTCCAGAGTTCGGAGCTCAGCTCGTGGCAACGTCGTGTCGCCGAGCTTAGTGGGCGCGTTTCAGAGCTGGAGGAAACCTTATCCAAGGCTCAGAAAGACCTTCTTAAGACCCAGGAGACGAATGTCAATCTGCAAAGGGATTTGCGTGAGAATGCCGCGCAAAAAGAAGACCAGGAACAGAGGATATCGACTCTCGAGAAACGATACCTCAACGCTCAGAGAGAATCCACCAGTTTGCACGATCTTAACGAAAAACTCGAACAGGAGTTGCAGCACAAAGAGGCTCAACTCAAGGTGATCTACGATGCCTGTTTAATATATATATTTTTTTTAACAGATAAAAAAATTCATGGATAAGAGGAAAAAAAATATAGAATTATACGTTTCAATGGAGTCGGTGGGTGAAATTGATTTCAAAAGGCAGATATTTTCAATACCTTTTTACTCTCTTTTAAACTCGCCTTGGGATCCATTTCACGACCTGGTCTAATTTTAAGCTAAGTTAGGAATTTCTCATGAGATATATCTCGAGTAATCCCACTAAATCGGTTGTACAATGCCGCAGCTGCAAGAAGAGAAGATTGCGGCCATCCAGGAAAAACTGGAGCTGGCCGAACAGAAACTAGCGCAATATGCAAAGTTACCGGAAATGGAGGAACAGTTGAAGCAGAGGATGGAGGCTCTGACCCAGGTGAGGAGGCCCAACCAGGTACGCAGGCGAAATCATTTCACTGCATCGCCAGTTATCTCTGTCGGTTTACCCTTCTCTGTTTGCCTCTCTTTATTAATATGCATAACTTACTCTCAGGCCAAACTCTCTATCTCTCTCTCCCTCTCAGTACTGCTCTCGACAGTTGTAAGTGCTACATCCTTACAAGATCCAATTACTCTCCGACATAATGCCACAACCATCACGTTTCCACCACAAACGGGAGTCATTACCCAGAGATTTCGACAAGTTACTAATCACCCCATGCTCGCCTATCTTGCATAGAAATTACGACATACAGTGTATCTCCAACAGTTTCATTTATTTTCTGCCTTCGTTGCTCTCTGCTCGATGGTTCTGCCTTCAACTTCTCGATATCTAGTTAGTCCCCATGGGTATCTTTAATAATTTTAATATAGAAGCGAGATAACAAGGAAAAAACAGACGAGGTTGCGTGTCCCTTTAATCGTTGTCATCAAATTTAAGGAGCACGGAGAAAACGATAACTCTTTACGCCCTCGTTATCATGACAAGAATCTCAAGAAAAATTATAGACTCTTCCAAACGGCGGAGCGTACTTTTATCATGCCAAACATGGAGCCATGATAAGTTTCCTGAATTGAGAAATAAATATTTATCGAATCGAAGTACCGAACTTTTCGCGTATCTTTAAAACATGTTCAAGTATAGCTTGATCTGTTTTTCACTTGTGGCCTCCGAATGTGTACTTGAAAAGTGAATGCATAATTTTTTTATCCGAACTAGATAGTCTTCCCGGAAAGTTGTAGAATTTTTTTTTCTTTCTTATCCCAAGGAATCGTGATCATTGTTGCCGATCGACATTTTCAACCGATTCATTGATTAACAAGTTGTGTCTTGGTTTAATTCACCGACGGTTTGATTTAATAAGCAGGCTCAGGAGAGGCATGGTAGTGCGGAGGATAGAATCCAAAGATTGGAGACTCAGTTGGACGAAAAGAACGCAGAAGTGATGCGATTGACCCAACGGCTGAAGATGAACGAGGAGCACAACACTCGTCTCAGCACCACTGTCGATAAACTTTTGTCTGGTAACTCTTAAATTTCTTCTAAAACGCCTGGAAATAATTACAACCAGTTCGATTAATTTGTATAACACTATGCCACCGAGAACGAGATCTAATGTGTACACCATTTGAACGCGGAAGCCAAGTGATTTATTTGCAATCGCACTTTTCCCAGAATCGAACGAAAGGTTGCAAGTGCATCTCAAGGAGAGGATGCACGCTCTGGAGGAAAAGAATGCACTTACCCAGGAACTGGAGAAAACAAGGAAAATCGCGGAGGACCTGCAGAACGAGAAGGCGGAGATCGTGAAGGAGCTGGGGAAGGCTCGACTGGAGATCGACAACGTGAAGAGGCAAATGTTGCAACAAGAGATCGCGTTTAACATCCAACAAACGGATGCCTTGACCAGAAGTTTGTCGCCGAATGCTGTTGACCCAGGAACCTTCTCCAGGAGTGCAAGCTACAGCAGTTTCGATACGCACTCGTTACCCAGGAGAGCAGCCAAAAGGCCGATGGAAGATGATAGCGCGAAGGTATATTGATTTTATGTTAACAAATTGTGTCGATAATTAGAAAGAAATCATTTTTTTTTTATACCAGTGAAATATTTACAATTGGTTCTGATCGTTTTTCAGAACTATGTGGCGCGCACCTTGGCTGAACAAGAGTGGGAAAAGTTGCAGCAAGCGCATGTTCTCGCGAATGTTCAACAAGCTTTCGATGTATCCAGCGATGCCGAAGGAGATGGAGACAATGAGAGCATCTTCAGCTCCGCTGCTGATGTCATAAGTCCAACGGGTCACACAGATGCTCAGACTCTAGCTCTGATGTTGCAGGAACAATTGGACGCTATTAATACAGAAATCAGACTGATTCAGGTTGCTAGATTATAAATACGTATGAATATGTGGATTTCTCTTATACTTTATTTTAAAAAAAAATTCTATGTTTAAAAGGAGGAGAAGCAGAGCACGGAGGCTAGAGCAGAAGAGCTGGAGTCCAGAGTCGGCAGCTTAGAACACATGAATTTGTTAGCCAGAGGCCGAAGCTTGGAACGGGCATCTCCTCCTCTCAGTGGACGTTCCACGCCAAAGTCTCACCATAGTCCTAACAGAGATTACCTGCACAAATACCATACGGTGAGTGTGCTTTGGCTTTGGCAAGTAATGCAGTGAACAGTGGCTGTCAATTTTTAGGCACCGGCCTCGATGTCCCCTGCACACCTCCATCAGTACGCTGCCTCGTTAGCTAGTCCTGGCCAGTTGTCGGAGTCTCTTCCTGCGAGCCAGGTTAGTTACCAATCCAGAATTATTTTTTTAACGCCTATGCAAAGACAGGCGATGAGTAAAACCTTCTGCCTATGGCAGTTGCAGCTGTCCGGTGAAGAGTTGCACTCGGTGAGCGAAAGAGACAGTACTGTCGGAGCAGGCAGTGGGAGTGACGCAGCCTCACCCTTGACTGCGAGATCACTCAGACTGGAACGAGTCGTCCAAGCTTTAGCACACAGCCAAGAAGAATTGAGAAGGTATGATACAATATTTGGGCAAGTGTTTAGGATGAATTTGAAGCGAAAGAAAATTTTTCTATTGATATTTCAAGTATGTGAGAAGGTTCCTTTGCAAAATTATTAGCTATAATATTCAGCTAGCATGAAATATTTGTTTCGTGCATCGTTATCATTCTCTATTATTCGTGCTACCAGACGTACTGGACAAAGTGGACTTCCTAGCTGTGACTTCTCCGCACAAAGGTTTAAAACTAATTATAATACTGCATGTAATACCTGCGACGTGCCACTGTGTACCTCCTGTCAGAGCAGTGTATATGACTGCGAATCGGACAGCATTTGGCAGAGTCATATCGATACCGATGGTAATGGGATATTGAAAGTATTCAGGGTGTTTCGGTCTTTTCTTTTCTTTTTTTTTGTTTTATTTTAAGTGTACTGTCGAAATAATATTGACCCTAAGGAACCAATTAATTGTGACATTATTCCTAACTTCTTCTTTGTTTTCTTTTAATGTCTCTTTCGGAAGCAAGTATGTATGACGATACGATAGACCATATGCTAATGGTCTCTGCCTTTGGACACAGTGGCACGGACGAAGAGACCGATAAGTATAGATCCCTGGAAGCAATCGATACTAGCTCCTTGCAGCTTCCGTACTGCCCTGTACACGACAGACATCGTTGTCTCAAACAGACGAGGGAACTTATGGGTCCGAGAGAGGTGCATGAGTTTCTACAAGTTTCCGCACAGACAGGGTTCTTATGCGAAGGATTTCAAAGGTACCGAAGAGTCAATTGAGGAGTACTGAAAGTTCACTTATGTCATTTCTGTCTACCGTTTTGAGGTTGAAAGCCACATCAACAGTCTCATAAGCAGTAATCAGTTGTATTTTCAGGTTACTGTGTCTAGCGTGTTACGATGAGTATGTATATTATTCATACGTTTTTTTTTCTCTTCTCTCTTCCTCCAAAAAGTATCTGTAACTTTTTGATTTTCTCAAGGAAACATTCGACTATGATGTCCAGCTAAGTCTCTTACCAGTGACGAGCATTTGTAAATAATATTCTCATTGCTGCTCCACCACTAGAATAAATGTTCCTTCTATTTTTCTCTCTCTATGATTTCCTTTTTGAACCCGCAGTTAGTCAATTCATACATGGCTTTTATCAAACCGAAAAGTTACAGAAGAAACCTGCTGTCTTCCCGTAACGTATTTAATTTTCTTTGGATGTCCCTGGAACAGGGAATTGTAATTATCAGAAGTATCGATACCCCCTCCCATTTGTTCATCGAAGTCGTTTGTCATTTCATTGACTTCTGAATTCATGTGTATCGCTTAATTCCGGAATACTTCTAGACATTTGCTGCTTGTAAGACTTAATTTATATGGTGGTGCTGCGACAGCCAGCTTCCTGTAAATTGTAATTGTTAATTAAAGTTAGTCTTCGCTGCCAGCCTCTCAGTTTCTGTAAGTTCTCGAGTCTTAAACAAAAAAGCTATCGGCAGCTTCAGGGTGTATGCTTCTACGGTGTCGATCAAAGATGCATAAAAAAGTTGCAATGCTGTTTAGTGTTGTGTACATTAGATGAAAATCATGAAGAAATTCGACTTCGCATAAAGGAGATTTAATCGTGGAAGTACTGTACTGCATGGTAATTAATATCTCGTAGAAATATTCAACAGCTTTCGCGTGCGATGTTCTCGACACTTGGGACATTTAATGTCGCCTTAAATTAAGCTCTAAATTATTTGACTCTAACGGCCTCCATTGTAAATGGAGTAAATGACGGAGAATGTCAAAGAAAAATTCGTAGTATCAGGCTTTAGTAGTAGCGAGCCGTCGTTAGAGTAGAACTAGAAACTAGATTAGCGCTCCATGCAGCAGGCATGGGCAACATAACAACGGGGCACTCAATTCTGGGACTCCTCCTTCCCCATTGTCCTCACGCCACAGCAGCCAGGACAGTTTGCACAAGAACAATTATTCCGGCGTCGGGCTGCCCATCGGACAGCTCTCCAGCTCCCATCTGCACATGCAATCGAGTATGAGTCCTGCAACTGCGGCTGCAGTCGCTGCAGCCCAAAAGAAGAAGGGCCTCAAGAGCAGCCTCGGTCGATTTTTTAGCAAAAAGGAAAAGGTAAAGGTAACAAACGAACGTTATTACCGATGAAAGGGTTGAACTGAAACATCTTACTTCTGTTGGTAGATCAAGGGGAAAGACAGCGGTCTCTCAGGAGACATGCCAGGCATGGTCGGAGTAAGCACACCAGCTGATCCAGACTACGGTGACAATGTGTCCCTCGCTGGAACCCTTGGTGGGAAGAGTGACTTTGATCGAAGAAAAAAGAAAAGGTAATTATTTATCCAAGAAACATGTATTCACCTTCGAAGCATAGAAATTTAGGTCTCGGAGGTGCAAGTCATTAGAGACACTTAGAGGTTTCTGCTTCGCTCTGGTCAATTTTATTTTTTGATGCAGTATGTTGGACTCGTCAAGGCACGAGCTGTTAGCAGAAGCAATGAAAGCAGGCACACCTTTTGCATTGTGGAATGGACCGACGATAGTCGCCTGGTTGGAGCTCTGGGTGGGAATGCCTGCGTGGTACGTAGCAGCATGTAGGGCCAATGTCAAGAGCGGAGCCATCATGAGTGCTCTCAGTGATACCGAGATACAACGAGAGATTGGAATCAGGTAAATAGCTATTCTCATTAAGAAACTCGGTGGAGTTTTGCGCGTGGAAATTCGTATAAATTGTAAATTTTCTAAAGAAATTGTTAAAATTCGTACCTTGACATTACATCGTGGCATTATTTCCTAGCAATCCACTGCATCGGTTGAAACTGAGATTGGCAATCCAGGAGATGGCTTCGCTGACTAGCCCCTCCGCACCAAAGACCTCCCGGACCACCCTGGCTTTCGGTGACATGAACCATGAATGGATTGGAAACGTGTGGCTGCTCAGTCTGGGTCTACCTCAGTATCGGTCCACTTTTATGGAGTGCCTTGTAGATGCCAGAATGCTGGACCATCTAAATAAGAAGGATCTTCGAGGGCAACTCAAAATGGTCGATAGTTTTCATAGGTGCGTATTTTACTCACGTGAACCTTGTAATTAATCTTCGTAGGAATACACATCTTATGGAGGATAATCTTTTTCAGAACGAGCTTACAATACGGTATCTCGTGCTTGAAAAGGCTAAACTACGATAGGCAACAATTAGAGGAGAGGCGACGAATAGCAGAGACTGCAAACGTTGACATTCTCGTGTGGAGTAACGATCGCGTGATTAGATGGGTACAGTCGATCGGGTTAAAGGTACTGCTAATTCTCATCGATTAAACTAAAACCCTTCTCTCTACATTTCCATTAAAATATCACTCTCTCCGAAGGAGTACGGGAACAATCTGTTGGAGTCTGGAGTCCACGGAGCCCTTATAGCCCTGGATGAGAGCTTCGATGCTAACAGCTTAGCACTTGCTCTACAAATCCCAATGCAGAATACACAGGTTAGTGAATTGTATCTAATGTTAGTTAATTATAAAGGTACGGTCTCTTGGAATCCATTCGGTGCAGCATCGATTCCTTCTGCGTAGCCCAAATCATGGCTCGAAGTGACTGCGTAGTCAGGCAGATCCATATCGAAGAGTTTGATTTTAGGCAAGGCAGGTGTTAGAAATGGAGTTCTCAAATCTCTTGGCGGTGGGGACTGAAAGGCGATCCGACGAGTCGAACAGCATGAAGTCTTGATCGAGCTCCTCGAGTAGATTGCCTCATCTCCAACCCCATCACGTCTAGTCGAATATCCCAGCTATTTACTATACTATCCGTGCGCAAATGTGTCATAACTATCAGTCGAGTGCGAGCTTTAACTATCGTTTCTAAGGGTACCTGCACTCTCGTTCGTTCCGAGGGTATTTATACTCTCCGCGTGGTAAGGGAACGCTAATCGAGTGCGGTGACGATTACCGGTTACGCCTAAGTGACATTGTACCGCGACGATCCGAGTGTTCTTCGAATCCTTCGTATAGATACCGAAATGTAGTACGCAAATCCGACTTGGAGGGCTCCGACGGATGCCAAATGGTCTGGGGACGAGCGTTAGATTTTTGAGAGCCAGTACAACAGCTATAGACTTCTGCGGTGACAATAATTTCGTCCGGTTCGACGTTCCCGCGTATCGACGCGCGCGCCATTCTCGAGAGACGCGGGAAACGCGGGAGCTATACCGTACCTACTTGCTTATTTCTTTTGTTTTTTAATTTTCTTTATTGGCGACAAGGAAAAAATTAAATAACGAGAATTACCGCATTCCGTAAAAGCCCTCCGGAAGAATCGAATCGAAGAAAAAGTTCCTCTGCGTTGGTTAAACTGATTTATAGACGGATATTTGTACGGATGGCGAAGAGTCGACGTTTCGTATGTCTTGTCGCAACGCGTTCGTCATGACGCGCGAATGATTTATCTCGAGCGCGACGCGAATCCAAAACCCGGAAAACGTGGAAAAGTTTCGTTGGGCACGTGGACTCGATGTCTCTCTGAATCCGGATGGATGAGAAATCGGAAAGAAAGAAACTGCGTCCTATGTTGCTGTGTTTATAGGAGGGCGACTCGAGATGAGGCCCCGAATTTTGACACGCCTACTACGCGCGTCCACGTCATGAAAGCATAAACGTATACGTAAACTCTGCGTACTTGTATATTATTCGCGGGAATTCATAGACTAATCGTTATTCCTCTTCTATTACTGGACATTTCGAGTCTCCGTAGGTTTCTTGTACCGCTAATCCTTCGAGATCTTATGCACAAGATGGCGGCCGCAATTGGGAACGCTTATTTTATAAATTAGTACCGATGCAGATTTGCGCAAACCCTTCCGATATTCATTTACAATTATATTCTCAAAATAGAGCCGCGTTAGTATGAATTGTCCCGAGTCCGAGATTTATTTAAGCTCGGAGTATCGAAAACGCGAGCTGATGAATTAACGATGTCTAGAGATTACCCGATACTTTGCGCTTCCTAGTATTTTTGTCAATGCGTTTCCCTCCGAAAATCAAGGGACGAATTTAGGCGTTTCCGATTGACTGCCGCCGTCTTGTATTAAATTGTACCGGAACCATAATCCGAGTCTTCGAAGACGTCGTCGGATCGATTTAGGTTTAGATTATTTTCTCCGAGACGTGTCCGAGGGCTCGCTTCGCTTTCGGGGAACGTAGGCCAGACATTTTATACCAAAATATTTGCACGGTGTACAACTATAAGGATATAGTAGGTCTTATATCTGAGATCGAGCCCAATTTTGGGTAAAATCCGCAAGATCCGCGGTCGTACAGCTTCGGATTTGACGAATTAATAACCGGGGCGAGGCTTCCTTTTCGTCAAAATGAAAGACAACTAGTTAGGGATGTCGGCATTGATTCGGCGGATATTACCGGCGCGTTTGTGTGAATATGTTAACAAAACGAAACAAAGGGAAAAAAAAATGATGCTTCTCGCAGTACACAGGATAAAAAGAAAAAAGAATACGCGTCGTCGACGTAACGCTACTCAATGGAAGTTACTATAACGATACTGTAATTTGTAAATACAGAACGCGCGAGGCCGGTTAATGATATGACATGATTATATATATTATATATACATTATATATATTATATATATATATATATATACACACTCACACGCGCATCGTGTCTCTCGTATCTTTCGATGAATTTGTACGACTCGAGTTTAGGACACGAGAAAGAGGTATGCCGATTTACCGATGTTAATGTATTGACTACGGTACATGTACTTTCAATTGGTTTCACGTTGTTTGTACGTTCGCGATACACGAGCGACAATCGACTCGTCACTTGGGTCTTGTCTCGCGTTTGGCTAATTATTTCCTTTTTTGCGCCTTTTTCTCCGGTTTATCATTTTGTAATGACGTTTCGAGGCGTACACGTGGCCGTAGAGATGTTTATTTATGTCGACGTTAATCGTAATACGCGAACCACACGCACAATGGCTTTGCAATGTAATGCGCAGAAGTTTTGGTCGGTCGATGGTTGTAGATTATTAATACTTGTAGAGGTGCGTATTGTAAATGGAAGAGATAAGAGCGTCGCGGCGGTGACGACGGCTCTCGGTGTTAAAGGCGAGCGTCGATTAACATTTTAGCATGGCGTGTCTCGGAGTTTTGTAATTATTTAAACCAAGTGTCAAGGGCTTGTGGAAGCGGTAAATGACACTTTTATCACCGAATTCGGTGCACCGACTTTACAGACTTCACAATCTGGACATGCAGGCTGTAAGGAAGGTCCTGACGCCCTTGAAGTTTCGTGGTTTATAAAGTTAGAAAATATTTATAAACGAATTTTAAAGAAATTGAAAATCTCACGAGGGTCGAGACCTCCCTTGTAATCTTTGCGTTCACGTTAAAAAGTTTGACACGATTCGGTACACCCAGTTGGGAGGAAAGTGTCAAACGGGATCTGACGCCACTTTCGCACAACCTTAAAGGAAGCTCTGGTGAAATTTGAGCGCATTGCGCTGCACGAAGAGGCATTTTCTCATCGGGATGTGGTTTCGCCGCGGGATGCACGATATGGAAAAGTTGCGCCCATGACCACGGAATTACGTATATTATACGGAGGGACGTTCCGTAAAATGTTTTGTCGTTTATTTGTCGCGTGCACTCGAGATGAACTTGACATCACACGAGCTAGAATAGTCGCGAGTCTACTATATATCATTTTATAAGGAACTATTTGGTCCGAATTTTGCAACTTTCCATAACGCGCGTCCTCGGAGTATCGCAACTCGTCTAGCAAAGTAGGGGATAAAATAAAGTCAAGCGCGATAACGCCTTGATAACGAGGGAGAGAAAACTAAGAAAAAGTATGGGCGCGTTCGGAAATCGATTGGACGAAATGTCTGCCAGTAGAATATATTAATTGTAACTCCTGGATCGTGTGAGACTTTTTCAAAGGGATTATAAGAGCGGGAGGGTCGTCGACGTTGACGGAAGTACCGCGAGAAAACACACACTATACCGATATATCGCGACGGTAAAGATAACGGAGAACTATAAGTTATGAGCGCTGATGTTGTTAATGTTGTTAATACTTGAGGAATCATTGTTGTTGATGTTTGTTTCCCTGCAAAGAATCCCGCAAGCCATGGACTCTCGTAGTGGCTCCTCGCGCCTCTGTACGACCTTCCGAACGGGCGCAAACGTACCAAATAATCTCGACCAAAGACCTTGGGACTCTAATGTTAATGTATATCGAGAACGACTCTTTGTAATTATGCGCTCCTTGGCCGTCTCTTGATCGGTAGACAATTGAACCTAATTGTAGGGCGAGGCCGCGACATTCGATATTAATATCTAGCCGTTGTACATTGCTGTAGATTGTGCATATCAATGCGCGCCCTTCCCGATATCGGAGAATGTAACTCGATGTTCCTACGGGATGGGATTTCCAGGATTCGCGGATAATCTCCCCGATATCGCGGGGCGCGCCGATAATAATTGGGTATATCAATGTACAATAGAGTGCCCAATTCCGCGTGTTGAAAGGCTTTCGGGTGGGAACTTTGCAGACAACGCGGTGGATCATTCGTTTCGTTCCGAGATCTATATTTAATAGGATATATTTTAGATATGTATTCCGGCGAGACCGTGTACACATCCCTTGCGGATAATTACGTGGAATTTGCGCTCGTTACGTTTAATGGGGAATGACGGGAACGACGTTAGCGATTAAGTACTCGTTCTCGTGCGCTTCGGGAAAGGAATCACGGGACTCGGCAGAGTTTCGCACCAAATCACTGATTAGGCGCGAAGGCGCCGAGTACCTTAACAAGTTCGCTTCGATATGAACGAGAAACGCATTTTGGCTCGGACTCGTGCTACAATTTTAGCGTTAATAGACGTCTTTTGGCCATCTGCAGATAAAGGATGTTTTTTTTTTTTTAACGCTAAATGTGAGATGTGAGAATTTTTGTCACGACATCGGGTACAATGTACCGAGATTAGTGGGACGCGTTACATGTCACCGGTGATCTTATGCACAAATCGACGTGGCACAATATTCTCTCTCGTAAGGTAATCGTAAGCTCGACCTAATTACAGGTGATGGGCGTGTATACATTAATGTTACACAGACTGATTTAATTATACTAAACTAAGCCCGAGGTGGGATTCCCCCTGGGTTCGATATGGAGTTCCGGACTTTTATCATCTCCTTGTGGATTAAAAACCCGCAATTTCATATCGAACTACCTAATCGCACTCGGGAAATGGGAAATCTCCGCCTCGGGTGCAACCGAGGACACAAAAGTGCAGGGAGAGTCGCCAAGGACTCCTAGGGGATTCCTGAAAAGTCACCGGTGATCGCGTAGATAGCGGGGAAACGAAGCGGAGGGTTAAGGCCCGTTCGCAACGCGCGTTGTGAACGGACCCTAACCTAGCGGAGTAGACGGAAAAATAACGCGGGGATCGAGAAATCGGGGACATTCTTATACCGAGACATGCGTAACCCTTTCGGAAGAGTCTGCAGTACATGTAAATGACTGAACTTATTTTTAATCGTAAACGCTAGCTAATAATTACACCTAATGGACATTCCAGAGGAACCTTCCAAAGGCAAGCCACATTCGTAACCACATATAAATGTGTACATCGTGAGAAACAATATGTAGCAGCTTCGACGCATTCTATGTATTTAAAACTCTAAATACGACAGACCGTCGCGCAAGGCCGCTACGAGTTTCGCCCGAATTCGTACGATGGTTGAATCGAAGGGGGCGCCAAATTCGAAATGTGAAATTGTGAAATGTGAATTTGCGAAAAGTGAAAACTCGAGCTCGGCGAAACTCGGCGTGTCTCGCCCGGCGAATTCGTGCTTCGATACGGCCGTACAGGTTAGGTACGATGTACAGGATCGTTGCGATTGTCCTTCAATGGGTGTAAAGAGAAAGAGAAAGAGAGAGAGAGAGAGATAAAGATAACACTCTGTCTTTCCACGAGCTCGGCCGATCCTACTACCGACACTAGTGTCGGATTCGACGGACACATTCGAGACTGAATGGGCGATTTCTATATTTACATGAAGTTAAATTGCGAGGAAACTAACGGGAGGTTTAATTCCACCTTTCTTTGGGATTCTTTTCTCTCTCTTCTTTTTCGATCGAGAGGTAGGACGTGGGAGGCGGAGATGAATACAAAACGAAACGTTCCTTCGACCAGGCGGTGTGATTTTTCGCGTTAAGTACGTGATAAGATGGAAAGACCGTTTTTCACATAACCTCGTCCGAGAACCTGGCTTTCGGATTTTCTTGATCGGCCAGGCGAGGGATGCTGAGAATCCGCTAATGGGAGCAATTATCCGATTAACACTAACGATTCCTACGAGTGAGGACGAGTGTTAACCCGTTAAGCGAGCGCGAGAAACTTTACTACTTTATATTTTCATCCTCAAGTCTAATTCGATGTCATGTTTCTGAGGAAATGCATCCTTTGACGTTCCGTTTCTATTAACTAAGAGAGTAAATTTGAAGGTTCGCGGCTATGTTTGACCACGTGACGGCGGGAACAGCCAATCAGCGAGCAGCGGGAATTTCGTATTTCGGCGCCATATCTTATCGCGCTACTTAACGGGTTAATGGGTTTCTCAGTTTTTCTTTAAACGAGAATTCGATAGCTCGATACGTGATTGATCGACTTTTCGGGGAACGATCACTCGGAAGTTTATTTTCTATTGCGAGATTCGTAATCGTTGCGTGTTCGAGATTATTCGCGAATGGCCTCGAGGTGTCGTGAAATGCGCTTTGCGGGCATGTAATTAGTTGTAAACAGTGGAATTCAATTGCAGTATCGGACACGCCGCACATATCGTTTCGTCTAGATTTTACATATCAACCAAGTAAGCAGCATTTTATTTAACCTTACGTTTGTTATGTCGCTATTGTTGCACCCGGCAGGGTTGGGTAGATCTGCAACGATGCATAATGTAGGCTGCATTATGATTAATAATCATGAAATAAGAGTTACGAAGCAGCTCCTCGTTAATAAAAGAGGAGAGAAAAGGAAAAACGTGACATTTTTAAGTCAGCGAACGCTTCTCAACTGCAATATCTCCATGCGTAGAGGTTATGTTCAGTATTACTTCGCAGTTAGGGGTGATTCTTGTATTATTTTCAGTGCTTTGAATAACAGTTGATCCTCTTAAATCATATCGGGACAGAAATGCATAGTACGGTGTATGTTTTCCAAATGTAAACAGATCAGTGCTGATGTAATGTACCTTAGGTCGAGAGAATACGAATTATCTCCAATCGAATGCTAAATAGCCAGCTAAATTAAATCAACATACATATATTTTTTGTACAGCCATTGTTCTCTTTGTGAGGTAGTTGGAAATTAATGCTAACGATTAAGGAATTGAACAGTTGCGCATTGTACATAATTCGTTGTCAACTCGAATACCCAACCCTGCTGTCTCTGCGGTGTGGATTGCACGCGTTTTAACAATTTGTAATCGTTCAGTTTGAATTTCTTTCGAGAGTAAAGGACGGAGGGAGAAAATGAGGATTGAGAGTCGAGGGGATAAGAGTCCAGTACCCTGTACAGTTTTGTTGCATTTAGGAGGGAATTAACTAGAGGACAGCGCTGATGGGCATTAGGAATTGCTCGTTTAACGGGTGATAAGGAAATTGTAAGAATCAAACGAATTCACCGATTAAATTACTAGTTAACTGATTAGTTGATTACTCGATTAATTGTACTGTAGTATAAAAAGGCTACGAGTGTTTGAGCGAACGCGAGTGGGAATGCGTAGTAACGATTGGAACGATTATATTCCACGTGCAGCACATTTCCGTAACGGTGCCATAAGGTTTACTCTTATCGCAGGCAAAGGAGCGGATGGTTAAATAAATAATAAATAAAGAATTATCGATAAAATTGTTGCGGATACGAGGGCTTACTCGCTTGGATCTCCCGTGGTTTAACATCGTGTATTGTCGTAAAACCTGAATTCATTATATTTGTACAGTAACTATGATAACACACACACACTTTAAGTTTATATATAATACCTATGATACAATAAATTATTTGAGAAATTCTCGACGTTCTACCAACTCGTGTCCTAAATCTGTTACTTAGAAAAATACTTTCAGAGGGCTACGTGCTTTCGATAGAATCTTGGAAATATGGGCGATTAATTTTTGCTTCGCTTACTTTCTTTAATGGAAATCACGTAACGCTGAGCAACGTTTAAAGGAGGGGAATACCCATCGGCATAAGTCGCATCCTCGAATAATACTTCGTACTCTTCAGTTGCAGTCGTTGGTAATTGGTTTACGACAGCTTTATAAAAGCATGTTGTTTGAGGGTAGAGTGCCATTACTGGAAAGACCGAATTAAGAGGACGAGTTAGTAAAAACTTCATAAACAATTTGAATTATAAATCTACAACATGAATTCATGGGCCTTCGGATTTATTAAGATAGGATTAAGAAATAGGATAGAATGCTTTAGTATTGTTAAGATTACCTATTGATCCTTTAGGGAACAGTGCATGGCCATCCGTTTCTGGATTGGCTCTCATTAGAGGAAGAGGAACAACACGACGGCGAGAAAGGACATGCCTATCTTTCTGCTCCTCGTCAATATCATCGACTTCGTATTTGTTCGTGATTGGATTGAAGTGAACAACCTCAGCTAGGATCCAATTTTCTTCCTCATCTGAAACCTTCACTAATGCCGCTACCATATCTCCCATCTACAATTGACCAAGAATATAATTTTGTAAAGTTGTATCGATACATTTTTTTGTCATCGACATTGTATGAAGAAACCTTTGCTATATAAGTTGGTTCAGCTGGAACCGCACCGCATAAGGGAGGTGCCTTGGCTTCCGGTGTTTTCCCAACGTATAGAGGAAGCGTTTGAGCAGTAATTAATAACATTTTCATCAGAGCACCACGTCTGATGGTCTCTTTGTTCCCGGCATTTCTGGCCTAGAATAAGGTCGTGTTTAAATCTTTATTTGAAATTCCGTCTATCTTATAATTTACCTGTATCCGACGTTCATTTCTTATAGCTCGTATTTCATTAATCTTTGTAAGCGCTTTGCGTAATAATTCTTCTTCTTGTTGAGTGTCCGACACGGCGGTACTATAAAGGTTTTTTAGTTTCTGTTGAAAATAAGGAGAAACCTTGTCCTCGGGTGCTACTTTTTCATGGACCTTAGCGATGTTACCCAAATTGTGCTCCGAACGATTACGGGCATCCTCTATCTTGTGCACCAACTGGTAAATATCTTTCAATCGATCCTAAGCAATAACCAAATATTATTCCATGCTAATTCTTTCACAATGAAAGACTTGTAAAACAGCTTGAATAACGAATACCTGTATTTGATGAGCAGCTGCATCAGCAGTAAATGGCATCGTACGATATTTATTATCAATAAATTGCTGGACTTTCGGTACCAGTTTCAATTGTAAATGGTAAAATCTAAAATCTAAGAACGTAGAACATCAATAAATTGAAACTTTCTGCAGCAATTGTATGAACACAAACACGAGACATTATGAACAGTAGCGTACAAAACTAGTACCAGTAAAAGTGATTACCACTTTGAGGTTAAGTCGCGTAAACTTGTCCTTCTCATAGAATCATGTGATTATTCTTTACGAATAGGCTTGTATAAAACGTTCAGCAAATTTCCTCTCTTAAATAACTTAGTAACGATGAAAAAAATTGTCGAAATAAATTATCAAAATATTTTGAAATCGGCTACGATCATAGACTTATGAATGTCTATGGTTAGGATGCGAACGACAAATTCCACATGTCGAAAGAAACGAAATAGCAAATCTAGGGATTTCGTGTTTTTGGAGAAGAAAATCAGGTGAATAAACTCAATCGGGGTGAAAGTGCGAGAAGTGAGCATTCTCACCACAGATACAAATTGACGTGACTTCAGCGTCGCCATGCCGTTGGCGTCGCTACTAAAACGACCCAGCCCTCGAGTACACGTGCTCGTGTCTTGTGTCACCTTTCTATAAAGATCTCCAGATTCTGTGGTTCTAGTCCAGAAGCTTCACTACAGAATAACCGTAACAATCGCAAAAATCGTACAATCATGTCATCGGTTCTTGTGCCTGAAATTCCGGCTCCCGGATTTTCTTTCGATCTTTGTCACAGGTAAAATATTTATTAAGCTAATTTCTTTGTGAAATAAGTGCGTACAGGTAACGCCGATATCTTATACTCGCAATAAATACTTGACAGATACATAACCTGTACGAGAGTCGATAATGCTGTGTCACTTTTTAACAATTAGGTGTTCATAAAATTAGATTCAATTTCAATTTTTATTGTAGAAATGAAACGCTGATAAAGAAAGGTCTTGCACTACCAAAGGCGACGAAAACTGGTACAACTATTGTGGGCATTATTTACAAGGATGGTGTCATTCTCGGAGCAGATACCCGAGCAACCGAGGATTCCATTATAGCAGACAAATATTCAAAGAAGATTCATTACCTTGCATCGAATATGTAGTACGTAATAGATGACAAATGATTGTGTAGAATATACGTTTCTATTTTGATAACTTAATTTTCTTTCTTTTCAAATAGTTGCTGTGGTGCTGGAACTGCTGCCGATACCGAAATGACTAATCAGATGATAGCCAGCCAATTAGAGTTACATCGACTTAATACAGGACGTATTGTCCCTGTCTGCACAGCAAACGCGATGCTTAAGCAGCTACTCTTCCGTTATCAGGGTCATATTGGTGCTGCCTTAATTCTTGGAGGATATGATTTGGATGGACCACATGTTTATTGTATCTTTCCTCATGGATCTAGCGATCATTTAATGTATGCAACTATGGGTTCAGGTTCTTTAGGAGCAATGGCTGTCATTGAGAGTCAGTGGAAACCTGATATGACAGTACGTAAAAGAATGAATTTTGATTCCTTAAAGGTTTTCTCTTTACCCATTTATTTTATTTTGTAGGAAGAAGAGGGGAAGGCATTAGTCGTGAATGCTATACAGGCTGGTATCTTTCATGACTTAGCATCCGGAGCCAATGTCGATCTTTGTGTTATCCGGAAAGGTTCCGCTGATTACTACCGGCCATACCAGGAATCCTGTGTTAGGGGAGAGAGGCAAATTTCGTATCGTTACAAACGTGGTACAACCGCTGTTCTGACCAAGACTGTCCGGCCCATTATTATCGAAGAAGAAGTTGTACGCAAAGTAGAACCAGAATCAATGGATACATCTTCTTGAATAACATAGTTACAGACATAATTTTGTTACAATTAAAACACTATGCTATGTATCGCCAATTAATTGGAAAATAAGAAAGTGAAATGGTACAGGAATTTCAGAAACATAAAATCCCGTTGTCACGTAATTCACATCGCGTGCAAAACTTATGAAATAAAATACCTAGCAGCTAGTAATTTACTGTAGAGAACTACGTAAATTACCTAGGGTATTTTACTTACTCAATTTTGCATGCGAGGTAGGCGCTGTATTTAAGTACTGCGGTAAGGGCAGGTCAGAGAGCACATTTGTTGCATACATACTTGCAATTATATTTAGATTTGATCGCATCAGTTTTATGTAGAATTACACGTAATAAACTTTATTTTACTTTAATCGGAGGAGTTCCATGTCGCCATGCTAAATTCACGAGCGTTCGTACATTCATAACCTCTAAGTTCTGTCTGCCAGAGGTAGTGAGTAAACGTCATTTAAAGAACAATTGTAAACAAATTAAAAACATCAAGAAAGTATTGTTAAGTTTCAAAGAGACTCTACCAAGATCTTCGGTACAACCTCGTCTTCGAGTGCAAAAAGTACCAATACTTGAAGAGGTTAACGTATCATGAAGTGCTACTATGAAGTACTAGGAATTCCTCGAGATGTTTCCGGAGAAGACTTGAAGAAAGCTTATAGGAAGCTTGCACTAAAATGGCACCCTGATAAGAATTTAGATTGTCCCGAAGAAGCTAAGGATCAATTTCAACTCGTTCAGCAAGCATGGGAAGTATTGAGCGATCCACACGAAAGGGCTTGGTATGACAATCATCGGGAAGCTATTTTGAAAGGAGGTATAGGCAAGGATTACAAGGACGATTCTATAGACCTCTTTCAGTATTTTTCGACAAGTTGTTTCAAAGGGTATGGAGATGATGAAAAAGGTTTCTATACAGTCTATAGGACCGTTTTTGAGAAGTTAGCTGCAGAGGATGCAGATTTTCATAAAGAAGGAGATTCGGACGAGGAAGTCCCCGGTTTTGGTAATTCTACCAGCTCGTACGAAGATGTAGTTCATAATTTTTATGCTTACTGGCAAAGTTATAGCACTAAACGGTCATTTGCTTGGCTGGATTTATATGATATCCGGGAAGCTCAAAATAGGAGGGTGGTAAGGCTTATGGAGAAGGAGAACAAGAAAGTGAGAGAAAAAGCAAAGAGAGAGAGGAACGAACAAGTCAGAAATTTGGTAGCATTTGTACGAAAGCGTGATAAACGGGTACAGGCACATGCACAAAAACTTGCAGATCGGGCAAAAGAAAATGCAAAAAAGGCACAGGAGCGCCAAAAACAGCAACTATTGGAAAGACAACAGCAGATGAAAAATTATACCGAGTCAGAGTGGTCCAAGTTTTCTAATATTGAAAAGGAGTTGAAGAATATTGAGTCAAATCTAGCTGCCGAGTTTGGCGAAGAGTTATCTTCCTCTGGAAATTCTGAAAATGAGGATTCTATTCAAGATAACAATGCTCTCTACTGTGTTGCATGTAATAAAATTTTCAAAACTCAAAAGGCATTTACTAACCATGAGAATTCAAAGAAACATAAAGATAATGTATCAACAATGACAGCATCATTGATCAAGGATGACAATGAGTTTACCGGTGATATCAGTGATAGTGATTCGGATTTAGAAAATAAATTAAAGTGTTCAAACTCTAGTAATGTTCGTTCAGAAAATGTAAAGCTGGCTACAGGTCCAGAAATGCCAGATTTTATTATTAATCCAATTCAAACTACATCTAAAATTGAATGTAATGATACCTCGGAAGGTGAAAGGATATCAGGGTCGGAGTCCAATAGCGATGATCTTAATTATAATGGAAATAGTAAAGAAAATTTTACTACAAAAAAAGGATATGTTGTACCTGAATCACAGATGGACAATGTTGGATTTGTAATTTCAAAACCATCCGATGCACAAAATGACTCTAAAACTTCGGAAGGAGAATTAATATCGGACCAAGAAGGTGAAGAAATTGTTAGACCAAAGAAGCAGAAGAAGAAAAAGGGAAGATCTATCCAAAAAGTAGTGGTAGATGATGACAGCGACGAGCACGCGGATCTGGATAATCTGCTTGGATTATCAAAAAAGCAACGTAAGAAGCAGCAGTTTAGGAAAGCAACGTTAGAGAAGCTTACAGTCAATAATGAAAAAACTTTAACCGATATAGGTGTAAAGGAAAATGAAAGTGAAATCATAGATGAGAGTAAAGAAGAGGAAATTGATAATAGAGTTATCGATAAAGGTACAGTCGAACAATCGAATAGTGCTGTTTTAGGAGATAATTCTAAAACACCATCGCAAGTGAAAACGAAGGGAAAGAGGGCGAAGGAAATGAAGAAAGCTCAGAAGCAGTCAGTGGCAGAAAGTAAAGGAAAATCCAATGCTAAAAGTACTGGGGTGATGGTTGATGTCGAGCATTGTTGCGTGACATGCAAAGCAGAATTTCAAAGCAAGAATCAATTGTTTGAACATTTAAAGACAACAGGACATTCGGTGTATATTCCCGATGCAATGAAGAAGAAGAAAAGTTCTCAGAAAACTAAAGGATGGAAGAAAGCTGAAAAAAGCAGTGATTGAAATTCAATTTCATGAAACATTAGAAAGTTTGAGTAATTTATTACTCTTAACTAGAGAACGAAGGAAGTTTTCATTAATAAACAATCATCCACAAAACATGATTTCGTATTTTTCTTAAACTCCAATTCCAAAGCTTGTTCATTTCTTTTTCCCATCCAGAAAATATAGGTTTCTGTTGATTTTCAGATCCTGCTTTATCTTCAGTGTCTTCAATGTAAAAGATTTGGGAGTCTGAAAATCATGAATGCCATTATTCATTCTGCAGCAAGTCATAGGTGAGATTATTCTATTTGCTGTATCTATCGGCTTATGGTGCGCTTATTTTTTAGGTGCAATTTTGATACCATAGCACTGCTATATTCTAATTACCAATATTTATCTTAAATAATTTTGTTAAATTTTTGCCATAGAGCCAGTTCCATAGCAGCAAAGAAGTTGGTATACCCAGCAGCAGAAAGGAACAAGGATCCGATCCTTTCGGTACTTCGCCAGTACATAAGACCTGGACCGGATCAAAAATTTCTCGAAATTTCATCAGGTTCCGGTCAACATATTGCTCACTTTGCACCGCATTTTCCACAAGTGACATTTTACCCATCAGAGTATGATCGTCAATTATTAGGAAGTATCGCAAGTTATGCCAGCGAACTTAACAACATCGAAGAACCTTTAAGAATCGATGTTACCAAAGACTATCAGACCTGGGGAAATGGGGTGTTCAAAGAAAAGAGTTTTGATTATATTTACAACGCGAATATGATACACATTTCACCATTCCAGTGTACTATTGGCCTCTTTGAGAACTCAGGGAAATTATTGAAATCAGATGGTATTCTTTTTACTTATGGACCTTACGCAGTGGATGGCAAGATTACTCCGGACAGTAACGTTAAATTTGATAAATCTCTGAGGATGCAGGATCATGAATGGGGTTTGCGAGATATTAACGATTTGAAAAAGTTGGCCAAGGAAAGTGGTTTACAACTATTGAATGCTGTTGATATGCCAGCTAATAACAAAACTCTAATCTGGAAAAAGTATTGACTCTTAGACAAGCTCCGTTTGTAATTCCATGGTTTTGTATCATATAAGTTCTAAGATGTTTACAAGATTAAGTTAAACACTAACGCATAGGTTTTAATATTCCCGTATTTACTTGGTTGGCGATTTAAAAAGAACTTCACATTTTATTATACCAAATGGTAAAAAGGTTGTAAATACTGAGGGGTATATTCGCTGTTTTATGTGAGTAGTACATAATAAAAATTGTATAACGCCAAAATAGCAAATTATATCCCTACTGTTATCTTTACAGGAAACAGATGTTTTTGTATCGATGCTTCTAAATTTTCTTTACACTAAGAACATCCGATCATTCATTTTACGTAGAATCGTGCTTATCTGTACCTATCATTCTTTTCACTGATCAAGATATAACTCATATCACGTCCCTCGAATTGTCACCTATCAGTGAACAAGTGTTCAGGTGTGTCGGACAGGTCTTGAAATCATACCGGAGCGTGTTAAATATATTAACGTACCTCCTCAAAATCCTCTTTTCAGTATAATTATATTTAATCTTTTGAAAATGAATTACATATTACCCACGGCTCTTTGTGTGTTAAGTATCGCAAGAATTAAAGCCGATTTGGACACAAGATGTACGGCCGAATATTGCGCGGTAGGTTTTAAGAATAAAAATGCTCAATGCCAGAATTAAAATAGCCTTCCCAATAAATATCGAAATTTTATAAGTATCTTATGCACCGAAGAAATACGTAGAGGAAAAAGGTTGTCCTTCGCTGCCTATCGAATGCATTGTCATGAACGCCACCCACCATGGGACATTTTTCACGTACCCGGACTTTTGCAATTGTTGCGATTACTGTCTGAAAAATCTGGCAGAAGGAGAAATCTGTTCGATTGGTTATCCAGGAACGTTAACGCCGAAAGAGATGTGTGGTCCAAGTTTAGCATGCACTCCGAATAAAAATACTCATGCGACTTGTCAACGCAGTAAGTCCGTTCATCTCTTTCATTCTAACCTAGAAATTGATGAAGAACTAGAAAGAATTTATAATAAATACATTAGTCTCATCTAAGTGCACGCAAGCTCAGGATGCTTTCGACAGGCGCAAAGAAGATGGTACTTTAGGAAGTTTCGAGTTTCGTCCTCGATGTGACGACGATGGGCATTATGTCCCTGAACATTGCGTTCCAGGGTTCACGTAAGTTGAAGAAAGGATAATATTCTTAATAATATGTAATGTCCATATGTTATGTCCTTGTATTAAAATTTGCAGATGTTACTGCGTCGCTCCAACCGGCGAGAGGATTTTCGGAGAGATTCCGTATTTAAATTCTTGGGACGTCCAGCAAATGTCTTGCGGTAATTTAATATTGGATTTTTTCGCTTATTGAATATCTTTAGGAATACTGACAGTTCCTTACGGTGGCTAAGGTTGCTCTCTGCATGCCTGGAAAGCTGAGAACACTTTGGATCCCATGTTTCCGATCCGAGTGGCTCGATGTCTGGAAAATGGCCTCTTCGATCCTCTTCAATGCACTTCGGCGATAAATGCAACTTGCTTTTGCGTGGATACCGTGAGTGGTGCTCCAAAAATGAACACCGAGCCTGTTCCTGGCTCCGAACTGAAAGAAAGCAATCCTTTCTGCTGTGAGTGTCGTCGAGGCTTCCTTTTCTTTGAAAATGCAAACGAGTTTAAACATATAATTTGTAAATTATTTATTTCCTGCCCAGTCGATCCATCGATTCACATTCCTGGTTCTTACGAAAAGTCATGCGAGTTTGAGTTCAACAGCTTATACGAAGGAATGAAGAATCTCGGGGGACTTAAAGGCATTTCAGACGTTAAACTTCCGTCTTGCCAACCCGATGGAAATTACGCTCCAGTTCAAAGTATGATGTCCAAGTAAGTCCATACCATGAATGCATTATTCTACATTCTCTTGATTTTTTCCCTAATATTCTCCTCGTTTTAGAAAAGTCTGCGTCGACCCTCGTGGAGTGCAAATAGAGAATTTCGAGGCTGCGGAAAACTCGATGGAATCGAACATTATGAACTGCAGTGAGTCATCGAAGCAGGGAATGTTTAATTTTTTCTAGGTTTTCTTGAGTTTTGTTTAACAATCTCATTTATACCTGCAGAGTGTGCACGGACTCGATGGCTTCTGGCAAAATCAAGAACCGTGGACTTGCCAAGCTGCTGCTCGTTTGGGAATTTCCAAGCTTGGCAGTGTCGAAGGAACGAGTGCTTCTGCGTAGACGAGAATGGCGATCAAACCGAGCGAGAGGTGGACATTAACGAGATAGAAAAGCTCTCGTGTTACAAGGCAAATGAAGGAGAAGCTTGTGCGGTTCCGTAGTACTCCTCGTATCATGGATTTAAACTAAGAAGAAACGCATTTTCAACACCTCTCGCTCGGGCTCGCAAATAAAAGATTTGACGAAAAGATTTGTCATTTTCATTTTTCTAGTGACAGCTCGACTTAATTAACAAATATTGACAAAAGCTACGTCAATGCTAGACTTCTACGGAGACCGTAGCTTGACCGCTGTCACTTCTGGGCGAGCGATTAAACTAAATAACTGATAAGGACGAAGATCATTAAGGTGACCTTTGAAGACGTCGCAGCCTCTGCATTGCCCGTGTACCAGTGGGCAAAGAGTGCTGAAACAGACGCGAAGATTTCTAAGATTACGGAGTATTCCCGAGCTCTCTTGACTTATCGGGAAAAGGCAGCGATAGGAGGCAAGAATATTAATCTCTTGAACCTGTATCTTCTTGACTGGTGATCCACCCTATCACCGGCTCCATCTGGTTCTGCCTCTTCAGCCACTGATTTAGAGGCTCAAAGTACCTCAACATGGCACCTGCGTCAATTCTGTTCGTCCTTCCTCTTGTCATTTCTCTTACGACCTCCTTCCAATTCCTCGAGGCGCCGGTTGACAGTACATCTCTGAGACCGCCAGGGAAGATTGTCGAGTTAACGTTTAATCGTTAAGCAAACATACTCTTATCAATTTATGCGCCGTTTGTAACTCACGATAGCAATCGTCCAGCTTCGCGGGATCTGTACAGGTCGCATGTATGCAAATTTCCGGTGTGACCAGATATATCGCAGAGTGATTCGAATAATTGGAACTGCATCACGATTCCCACGAAGTACCTGAAGAGGAGTCATTACGTGTTATGAAAAGATTTATATATATATGTTAATCAGTGCCACGGAGAAAAATTAATCTATTAATTTACTTGACGTAAGGTACATCAGCTGGGACGTGATATTTCGCTGCTGGATCGAAGTCCCTTTCCGTTCTTGTAATGGGAGGAACGATTCCTTGGTACTGGAGTCTAAGTTCCCACCATCTCGTCGTCATGTCGGCTACGCCATCGCTGAAAACCCGCCATCTCCACTTTTCGGGTGAATATGAAAAGGTTTAATGATAGTGCTGGATTAATTAGCGAATCGAATGTAAAGGTGTTTTTGTTCCAGGGGGATTTTAAGTGGCCAACCTGATCGACGATGTAGGCGAAGGGCATGTAGGCCACTTTCTGGAGGGCCATCAACATCAGGAAGTTGATGTTGATCTCGTAGTCATCCGTAGAGTTGTTGTATAAGCCGATCCGGTGAAGATGCTGAGGAGTGAAGACGGAGAGACCAATGGCGTCGCTAACTGCCTCGTGGAAGCCTGGATAAAATGACTCCAATGAAATACCTGAAGACTTCCTGGTGTTAATAATTACTTACCTGGAAGTGCCTCGTTCCTGAATAACAATGGCTGGTCCTTGTACTGCAAATAATACTGAATGTGAGCCATCTCGTGATGCGTCGACAACAAGTCCTCCATCGTGACTCTGGTGCACTGTTTTATCCTATAAATGAATGTTTCAGGAACCATGAGAGGAGAGACAAATAGAAGATTAATTACCCTTCACGAAGAAATAAGCGGTAGAAAGTAATGACCTGTAATCCAGTTTATTACAAAAGTCCCACGCACTCGCGGTGCACTTCACCTCTCTGTCGATGGGCTTTTCAAATATGGAGGATCTCCAAAATTCTGGGGGCATCGGCTTCATCCCGAGGGACGTAAAGAACTCTTCCGCCATTTGAAACATCCTGGAAGTGCGGAGAATATTTATATACCAGGGAATTGCGAGTTAACCGTTGTGGAAAATTCTAGGGCTCTACCTCAATGGCGTAAATCCTTGAAGCATCATGTCTAGGGTGATGTCGAGTCTTCTCGCCGCCGGAAATGGTTGAACTATGTCGAAGATACCTTCCCAATTTTGGGCCCACATGTTCCCCAGGACATGGGCTGGCAGGGGACCATCTTTCCGGATTTTATCCCCGTACCTCTCGATTAGTCTCGCCCTTACGTAGGTGAACAGATTCTTGTACAATGGGCTGATCGCGGAAATGACTTCCGCGATGTTCTGCTGGAAGTAGTCGTCTTCGTAGGCTTCTCTCATGTGGTCCCCAGCGTCGGCGAACCCTGATAAATAGGTAATCGTTAAAAGAAACCGCAGGAACGGAATTACCTCGTTGGCCGTACTAAAAGAAATTTCATTGTTAATGGGCAATATGCCAATATTCTTTACCACTGAGCCTTGCAGCTTGATTCGCCAGTTGGACATATCTCATGTACTTGTTCTTCAAGGGAGGACCTACAGCTTCGTGCCAAGACCTCCAAAAGTGTAGCAACTCTTCGTAGTCTCTCGACTGGGCCATAACTCGATTGATCTCTAAATAAATGAGAAGGTAAATATTTTATTATGAGTCTATAGAATTATTAACCCTTCGAACGCGGAGCCAGTCCGACATATGGGCGAAATTCCTCTGACCGTGCAGGCAATACTCGACCAAACGTCGGCCGCCTTTAGGCGCTCTTAGGAGCCAAAGCGTCGTTTAATGGAAGTACATTCATGAAGTGTACCTCTGTCCAGACTCAGGTCGCACTGACTTCCCATTTTCTTGTAGGGGCAAAGCCTGGTCCTCATGTAGAGCTCCTTCATCTCGACTATCAAGTGATGGATCTGAAATCGTTAAGAACTGAATTCTATCTTTAAGCATCGGGTCAGAGGAAGTAGGAGGCTCCTTCGTCTTACCTCGTTGAACTTGTCGTCAGTAAGTGCACTTCTTCCTTTGACTGCTATCATTTTCAGCTGCCTTCTTGTCAAAGGATCCGGGACCCTGCTCCAGGCGAAGGTGACCGCCTTCCTCCAGGATGCTCGGTCGAATTTTAGCTTAAATGTTTGCTCCTCCAACTATGGAAAGGATTTCACGGAATTATTTTACTGTCAAGTACCTCTGTATACCTCCTAGTTGACTAAAGTTTGGCATTTCATCGAATTACCATTTTCCGACGATTATAGTCGGTGATGTTGGTCGCGAAGTTCCATTGTGCCGTCATGACTCTGTTGCACATTATTGAAGCTTCGCGATCGTATTCTCGAAGGAATTGAAGCGCTTCGCCCAGGTTCACGTTGAGGCCCTGAAAATAATTACAAATACCTCTAAAATAATTAGATTAATTATATTGGCATATTTACCTATATTAAATGAAAAGGAAAAACGTGGGTGCGCGTAAACGGAACATGGTGCAACAAAATACTGGTGTGTAGATTTGGGATCTCCTGGGACGCTAAGCTGGGACATTAGAATTGCAAATACCTTCGGTGTAGAACAATGAACGTTTGCCAAGCACCTCTGCAGTTGAAGAGAGCTTATCGAATTGTATCATCTTCGGGGAAGACCGTTAAGGGAAACAGAAAAGGGTACCAATTGCGTCGCCGAGACGTACGTAGGCTTTTTAGACTTACCTCCAAATATCGAGCGTGGTTCCCGACAACGACGAAGAGAATCGCCAGGACTCCTATTTCTCTGGCAATTCGTGTCTTTGTCATCGTTCAACAAATGTCCATCAACAATAATGTGAGAATTCCCGACTAAAGAGGCGGAGAACTTCGACTTTCCGTGTACATCTCGCGGATTCCTTAAACGGGTCTTAACTTTCCCGATTTATTCCACTATTATTGGCTCCACATCCCGGGGCCTGAAACAGTGAATTAAATCAGCCGCGGTCACGGTGTTTTAAATCATTCACGACAGTGTACAGTTACACAGGTCGAACAAATCCTGCGTCGAAGACCGGAAGCGGGTCAGATCGTTCGGTGATGCATGGGCGAGCGGACGATCCCATTTCGGCGTTAAAATCTCGGTGAAATTTCATCCTATCCCAATGTGGCCAATGGTACCCACAAACTACGTGTATGCACGGTCAGAGAACGAAAGCAAAAGAGAAACTTACGAATTTTTCGATATTTTAGACGGTTCCGAAATTTCGGAAACGCTCGGATGAGCGCGGCGGCGCCTCCTTACGAGCGGCCAGTCTCGGAGGTTCCTCGGTTCCTTCGACCTTTTGGAGACCCTTTCAGACTCTCTAACGGGAGACCCGTTACTCGCGGACTGGGCAGAGGCGAACTGAATTGCACGAGAGGTACACACGGTGTTCCGGGATGAGTGTGCCGAGCAAAAACCAGAGGAAGGGACAGGCATCGCCGGTGCGTGAAGCGTGACCACCTAACGCGCGCCGGCACACGCCAAAATATCTTCTACGCCTGCGATGGCTATCGTCTTCGGGAACGGTGACCGATCCTCCGCTTTTCCGAATTCCTGCTTTCACGAAAGTGCCGGGGAAAAAGAAGGTAAAGAAAATAACGCCACCGAGAAGTCTTCCAAGGAAGAAATTCCTCACGTTCTTCGGGACCTCCTCGTATCGCTTTTAATATTTCCTTTCTTTTTTTTTCCAGGGTCCATTCGTCGGTTATGGCTTCTTGTGAGAATATTAACACGAGATATTACGTGACGGTATTTTGAGAGTTTAATTCAGCATCTTCGAGGTCGCAAGGGGAGTATTCTGGAAAATATTACGATTTCGACTCGACTCTCTCGGGCTAGAGTGACCGTAGTGACCAATTATCTCGTGGCGCAATCTGTGACGGTGCGGCCACACGGTAATTATCCTGACAATAATTGCGTACACTCCTCTTCGGATGACTCTCCTCCTCCCGGAGGATCACCAAGGCGTTGGACGCTTCGTGGAAGGGCAATAGGGAGCTTCCAAGTGAAGCCAGGAAGCTTTACAGTTACGGGAACGAAAGAGAAAGAGGGGTGTTTGCACTTTCAACCGTTTCCACCGGAAATAAGTGCTCCCTGGAATCTCAAAACCTAGAAAAAAGAAGGCAACGGTCCTGGACATTAACGGGAAAATGGAATTAGTCATAGAAAATAACTATCTTGAACGGAAAGTACCGCTTAGGCACAACATATCTCCAATATTTACAGAAATAGAATATTTTATAATGAAAAATACCAGACAATGGTATTATTTTATTTACAGGATTTAATATCTCCTTGACTAGAACTAGGTTGCTAATAATTGTTTAAATTAATTTTAAAAATTCAGGATCTCGTAGAGGGCTTGGTGTCCTGTTTAATTCCTTCCAATCTCTTCTTGCAGGTTTTAATCGTAATCATCTGGATGTTTTTATGCCTGTCGAGCCGCTTGTACGTTTTCTGCATCTCTCGCAATTCGGCCTGAATTTTCACGAAGTCTAGAACCTCGGGGGCCTGGGAAAGGAAAATTTGGTAAACGGTGGAAATAGTGGGACCATGACGAATGGGCGCACCCGAAGCCGCGGCCAATAGGGTAAAATTGATTTCCAGGAATTCCATGAACTAATTGTCTGGTATTACCGTGTATTCATCCATCAGCTGAAGAATGGAGGCCACTTGCTGACTGGTTTTCTGCACTTCGGTCTCGGTGTTGATCCGCTGGTTTTCCAGCTTGGAAATTTGCTGCTTCTTCGCCTCGATGTCCTTCTTGATCGTCTTCAAGGTGGACATCTGATCATTGAGCTTTTGCTTCTGATCGGTGAGCTCCAAGCCGTAACGACCTACGGAGAAAATGACTATTAAATGGGGGACAAGCTTCCGGAAATCGAGGATGACCTTCGCGTGATAAGTACCGCTGATCTTCTTCATCTCCAGGAGGTAATGATTCTTTTCCTCGATTTTCCTCACGTAATCCTGGTTCTCTATAGCCAGCTGCTCAAAATCTATGGCACGCAAGGTCTCCCCTGTTTCTTCCCTCTGTTGCAACTGCTGCTTCGCCTTTTTAATCTGACTCTTCAAGGTGGAGCTCTTCAGCCTCAGCTTCTCCACGATGCTGTCCGCCGTTTTCAGCCAGTCTTCCATATATCTGAGAATAATCCAATCCTTGGGAAAGAATTTTTTCCAAGGGATTCCTAAATGACTACGGCATACCTGATGAATTTTTCCGCGGGTATTTTCCCACTTATGGGGTCGAGCCCTTTTTTTACTACTTGGTCTAATTCCAGGGCTGCATCCGTGGTCTCCATGATGCGGAGCTTGACCTCTTCGATCTCTGCGGCCAAGTTGGCCCTCTTCTTCGCGGCTACTTTTTCCAGGCTCAGCAGGTTCCTCTTCATTTCTTCGATTTCCCGGGAGGCCATTTCCATCCGATGAGTCAGAGTGATTCTGCAAAGAGTTTCTTTACTGGTGTTGAGTCAAGAGAAGGAGGAAGAGGAACTTCGGGTGCCGGTCTCGAGAGAAAAAAACAGACACGCAGCGTTTATTTTTTGCCGAGGTGGTTTCCGGGCTTTGGTTGCACTATAAAACTCCCGTGAAAATCGCCCCAGAATGGATTATTCTTAATATGGATTTTCATACGTGGATGGATATAAGAGCAATTATTTTCCTCACTTGAAACCCTTCTGCGTAGGTATCGTCTGGATTCCGGTGAAACGTCGACTTCCAAAAGTCTGCAAGCTGCTGATACTCGGGGAAGCTTTCCCGTTCTTATCACGAGATATCGCAGGGCCTACCCCACTTCCGGTTAAGCTCAGAACTGAGGAAATCGGGGCAAGCTGAGAAGCAACCATCTGGGCTTGTTTCGCTGACTCCAAGATCTGCGCCATTGCTTGGAAAATTGGTTTCCGGTATAGCTTAGCCATTTCAAATATTTCCATTATCTCCCCGTATCATTAAGATATCATTTGTTACTCACTTTGTAAGCACTGAGGATCGTAACGAGTCAGATACCTTTCGAAGACATCGTTCTCCAAGGCGAGCATTCTATTGGTCCTCAAAGTCTGCTCGAGTAATTCCTTCAGATCCTCATCGGACATTTCTAAAACGATTCGTGTTACGTTAATTGTAAGTAATGACTTTAAATGATAATACATTTCAATGTAGTACTTAATAATTCATCTTGGCACAGCTACCGAAGGTAAATAATAACTCACAATCAACAGGTGGGTTTCCATTTTTGCTGGAAATCCCCAAGGTTATACACGAGCGGCATTTTATTTACCATAAAATACTTATTATATCTTATTTTTCAAAACTAATTGTTATTTACAAACCATCGTAACGCGGTTCCTCTTCTTGTAAACCTAAGAGCGTCAGACGCGATCCCACGCTCGCCACACTTCCGCGACGTATCGACATTTCTAAGTCATGTATAAATTAAAATTATTAATAAAAACTAGTCCCCCGAAAGATTTCTGCCTCCATGGCGATTTACCGAGACTGGAGATATTCCATGACAGGAACTCCGAAGGTTTTCCTCCCTCGAGACGTATTGTTAAATCGATACCTTCAGAGCGCCAAAGTTAACGTCGTTCCTTCGTTCCTCGAAAAGTTGTCTAACAAACTTAAGGTGATGTGAAACACGTCGAGGAACTTGATCGACGTCAGTAAAAAAGGTTTTTCTAAATATTTACGTTGCCGACGTTGGTTTTTACACCTTCAAAAATGAGTGTCTTAATCGAATCGACTGATTTGAGGGGGGTTTCAGTTCACCTTAATCGTTGATTAGACTGATAGTGAGAATAAAAATCCCTATTCTTAAGGTTTAATTTTAGCGAAAGAAAATGGAGATTTATGTGTCTTCGTCTAAGGAGTCCCTTTCTTCGGCTTGAACCCCGTTCACGTACAAAGTGTACTTGATGCCGATGTCCTTTCTTCCACTACTCGATGACCTGATGACAACAGGAAGTCCTTCCAACGAAAACATCATATCTGCTCCTCCATCCACGAACTCGTTCTAAAAAGGATCGCGTTAATTGGACATTTAAAACTATTACTCCAATAACGAGATTTGGAAGTACCTCCACCTCGATTTGCTCCCCATTAACCCAGACCGATTGCTTGCTCTTATCTGAAAAAATGCGCTTATTTTTAGTGATAACACGTAACATAGTAAGACCACGTGGAAGGAAATTAATTATAAACAGCAAGTGCAATTAACTTGGGAAGAGCGATACGGCTAATTGCAGGGAATTCCGGAGGTACAGTTATAATAATGGAATGGTACTATCGGAGCATTGTTAATAAATTTACAGTCTTGCTGAAATTAATAATAATTATCTATACTATAGGTGCAGCTGGTACTCCTTGCATTACCGTACTCGTAGGATTACAAGTAGAGATATGACTAATTGAAATAATGGTTCTTGCACGTATAAATATACCTAGGACAATTCGATATTGATTTCCCCCGATGTTGGTCAGCCACGACTCCAAGATCTTCGACTGCGACTGGACGAAATTGTTAAAGCTCTTCCCGTTGACCCACAAAGTGTAGGAATATTTCAGGCCTTGTAAAAGATAAAAAAAAAACAACTATACGTTACGAGGGTTATTAATTATATTCCAGAAATTTACCTGGAATCGGATCCACCCTGATGACGAATCTCGTGTCGCCAAACATGACAACTTCGTCGCCCACCAATCGAAACATCCAATCCCGATGCACCAGCGTTTTTCCATCCACTTTAACAACCCGACGTCCAGTTGCAGTGCCATGTTCGAATTCGATTACATGATTTCCATCGTTCAGAGGAACGCTCCATTTCGCCGTGGGCTCGTTCGCGGGCATTTCCAGGGCTCGCAGAGTTCTGCGAGAGGGAACGAATTTTTACAGGACTCGGTATAGAGGATATCGTGTAAATAAAGTCGTCCTACCCGAGCAGGACAAGCGCCATAAAGCCTTGACACCTGGCTCAGGTTGTTCCTGGACTGTTCTCTCTATTGATCGGGCCTGCAGGTCTGCGAATCGATGCCTCATTATTTCCCAACTTAGCAACCAGCTGCGCCAACGCTGCGGCGATAAATTGTTAATCGGTTGATGGTTAGAAATTAAAGCTCTCCTCTCCCAACTGTCATTAAATTATTGCGAGGTAAGAAAAGTAACAGGAGTTTCGTATATTTCCAGGGGGATTTACTTTGGATAGATGACACACTTTATGTGGCTCTAGGAGGAAGAAATGGAGTTCTTTATTCAATTGGTGGAAGGAGTTTCCCGGTGCAAGAACCGAAGCCAACTCTGAGACCTTCTCCCTGGCAGTACCCTGAAATAAAGAAATGGAATTAATTTTGAGATCAGGTAGAAGATGAGAATGGTGAATCTTTTATTGTCACCTTACCCGTTATAATCACTTCGTCGTTGTCTTGAAGGAATTTCCTGGTAGTTCCGTCTTTTAGCGACACTTGCTGGGTGCCTCTCCAACTCAACTCGAGCATGGATCCGTAAGAGTCGGCGGTCTAAAAATGTTGAATATTGTTATACGTCTTGGGAAATGACACGGGAAGGAAGGTTAATACTAACGTCGCCACTGATAGTCCCGGAAGCCATCAGATCACCGGGATTGATGTTACATCCGGTCACGGTGTGATGAGCTAACTGTTGCCGAGGAGTCCAGTACATGTACTTGAAGTTGCTGCGAGAGACGGTGGAGACCACACCATTGGGCGCTATTGAAATAAAAAAGGAAACAAGGGATTGAGTACCTTTAAAAAGAACATTTCGAATGGAGGAAAATGTTAAACCCAACGTACGTTTAATATCTACTTGCAGTTTGATATCAAAATTGCAGGACTCCTCGTGTTGCAAGTACTCAAACGGCTTTGGGTCTTGAGGATAGTTCGGGACTTTGAAGGGTTCCAATGCTTCCATGGTGACAACCCAGGGGGCAATAGTTGTTCCCAAGTTCTTCGCCCCAAAGGGCCCCAGTGGGACGTATTCCCACTTTTGGATATCACGAGCTGAAACAACGCATCCACGTTATCGCTAAATTTATTCAAGATAATATTCATATATTAATGCTTCGGGATTTTAATACCACTCCAGTCGTTCATCAGAACCATCCCAAAAATGTGCTCGTAAGCTCTGGAAGCTGGCACGGTCTCGCCAAGTTTCGTTGGAGGTCCGCCAACGAAAAAGGCGACTTCCAGTTCGAAGTCCATTAACCTGGATGGACCAAAAACCGGAGGTTCACCTTCCACGGGAAGTGTCTGACCTCTTGGTCTTCTTATCGGAGTTCCAGAAACCACAACGGAGCTGGCTCTCCCATGATAACCTACTGGAAGGTATTTCCTAAAAAAAAATAAAATTAAATACTCTGTCAAAAAAAAAATATATCAAATATTCCGTATCGCTATCAATTATGAATTATTACCAATTGGGCATTAGAGCATTATCCTTCCCTCGAAACATTATTCCCACGTTAGTTGCATGATGAATGGACGAGTAGAAGTCGGTATAATCGCCGATTCTTGCCGGTAAGTGCATTGTTGCTGATTCTTGAGACACAAAAGACCTAAAAGAAAAATAATACTTAATGGTAATGTTGCTAACACATTCATAGTAATGCATGTGCGTTCGTTATCGGTACTTGGATCGAATTCCCGGTTCTTGTAGGGTTTTGTTATCAGCTGCGAGCAAGTGCTGGAGAGTGATTCTTGCTTCCACCCAAGCGGGCCTTCCAAGGGCCATGAAATCGTTGAGGCAGTCCTTTCGAAAGACATCCTGGTGTTCATTTAAAATAGGTCCCGTGAAGAAATGCGCGCCGCTCTTCAAGTCGAAAATCTCATTTCCAATCGCCACGCCTATCCTCTTCTCTGGCTGGAAGAAAAGTTCCAAATTGATCTCACAAATTTCTCCCCATTAAAACCGTTCATAAAGTATTTTAAATGAATGCTGTTAAATATTACGGCAATGAGTAACTAGAATCCGATAGTGGTAAAGGGTTATGTGCCAATAGATGATAACTCGTCATCGATCGCTGCCGTATAGTTGACAAGCGTCCTCACAGATGGCGCGAGCGTGCGGAAAGTCTGAGAATACTCTCGACATTCTGCTTCCTTTTTTCGTTAATATTAATGATTAACAATATGGTAAAGCGGTTGGAGCAAGAACACGAGATGAAAGCAAGCTACATAACGCATAAATTGTTCGGAAGTTCTGTTATCGCCTGCGTAATTTCTTATCACAAGTGACGGAGCAAATGCCAAGGTAAAGTTATTATTCCTACGAGTATAGCATGACGCAACTCACGTTGTCATTTGTTGAGAACACGCCGAATGGGAGATTTTCTATAGGGAAATCGCAGTCAGCCGAGTAGGAAACGAAACTTTTCATCGTTGAAACGGGAAGACCGACACGAAGCACTCGCTGCAATGGATGGTACTCTTCTGATTAAAATCAGACCCACGAAAGAAAGCGGCTCGCAACTGGCGGAGACTCCTCAAGGCCAGCGAGGCTTCTAATTTATACGCCTGTTTACAAATTAACAGAATTATGCACGGACTGGTTTGGAATATGTCCCCGAAGAGTACTAAACGGTAAAGCACATTTTTATATTCACTCTCAAGTCCATGACACTTCTCCACGTCGAGTATATTTATTATGAACTATATTCCAGGGTGTATGTGTATATATTATTTTTTGTTATGATGGATATTTCGTTTAGATTGACAAATGATAATTACGGGAATGGAAAACGACTCGTTAAACTGCGGACCAGAAGGTGATATATGATGACTTAGGGATAACAGTTTATTAGACATTGATATACAGTGGATAACTATGGCGATTAGGTGGGTAAGCCTGCAGTTATGATACCACAAATTTACGTCACAACAAAAGCAATATCGCAACTGTCGAGATGTCTCTCGATTTTCCTTCTCTTTCTCGATGTTCATCTATTTGCGTTTCTCGTTTCATGACGCTCATGGCCGACCCGCAATTTGCGCACAGTAACAATGATGTGCTCGTTATGTACACGTGTGTGAGATTTCGGTAAGTTAGGTACCCATATGTATGTACTCCTCTACAAGTGAATAAGCTATTGTGACTAGTTCACGTTAGCCTTGCTAAAGTCCTAATTAATACTCCTTTCGATTGGAAGACATGAGATTTTGTTGTTCGTCACGTCGCCTCCTAAACGACTCGCCCTTCGCTATCCTAACGTTAATTCCGTAATTAATGCGACTCCTTTTTATCTTTTTTTTTCTTCAGGGTCAAGAACGACCCGAGGCCATGAACATTGATTCGCTATTTTATACTTCGTTTCAAACGTCTCTTGTTCAGGCTCGTGCCAATTTCCGCTCGTGTATTATTGTCACCTTTTGTTATCACTTATGTACACGGTCGTGCGGAGGAAGTGTGAGTTATTAAAATATATTTCAAAGCCCTATCTAAATATAACTTTCTGAAATTTTGGACCGCCACCGCGTCGTTGTATGTAGATTTTGCTTCTTCAAGCCATCCTCCAACTGATACAATGCTACGGTAGAATAAAACAATATAGTATTAACTTTTACCCGCAAATGGAGAATTTAAAAATCTTCCCTTGTACCTCGACATTTCTGGGGATAAATTGACAACAAGGGCATAGTGGAAGTTGCAGAATTCTAAGAGGAAGTGCTATTGACACGCTTCAATGCAAGTTGTAAATATTCCTCATCGACCCGATGTAATATCCTAAATGTTATGTACAAACGTGTTAAAGTGCGCTAACAAGGTGCGGGTGCATTCGTTAATTGCGATAGATTAGATTGTTTTAATAGATTCTAATTTTACTAAGGAAAGAAAAAAAATAGAGGAATCGCGTCATAGTAGTCCTACCATTATCCGAATCTGAAATTGGCACGCGCCTAATTAATCCGAACGTTAATCCTACGAGTACGTATTATCTCCGTAATATCGTTCGCTCTTAAAAATGATACTTCTTCCATAGAAATATACCATTCCTCTTATATCATCTGTCTTTATACATTGGATTGACATTTCGTTCGGGCGATAGATCCGGAAAGAGCCCTGTCTCGAAGGTACAATGCATCTTGCAACAAAGTGTTGCACTTCGTAAACCAGCAACACCGATCAACGGTGTAAACCGTGCCAACAATGCCATCACACTGAATTCCGTTCTAAATGCAAGAAAATGATCTAACGATGAGCCCTACCAAAGGAAACCGCTCGCGAGTGTACATAAATACATTTACATATCTCTCCTCGTTATAATTACACCTAGATCCTCGGTTATCCTTATCGAGTTATCATTAATCATTTAAATTATTATTTAATAGTGGCGAGTGAGTCGAAACCTAAGCAGAGTAGAGCTCGCGAGAAGACGTCCACGTGGGATTCCCTTATCACGGCCCTCCCCGATAGGAGATGGCAAGAAATCCCTGCCATGACCGAAAGGGAAATATATTAAAAAAAAAAAAAAAAATAGGAAACGATCTAAGACTAATCGATAGGAAAGACAGTTCGAGGCTAGACATAGCGAAAGGAAACGACTTTTCGATACAGCTCTTCCTCCCACGCCGACATAGTCGGCGATATATAGTATATAATAATATCTAGATTACATCGTCAATTTCCCCCCAAGACTCGCAAAGGAACGGAATTAACTATTCGATTCGACGATGGCAGTCGAAAAGTAACGAAACGGAGACCGGAAGTCTCCGGAAACGATATATACTGGAATAAGCATGTACTTTCATGGGTTTGTGTCCTCGTTATCATTAAAATCTCCAACGCTAATATAATATACCTTTGATATTTACTTTATATATATATATATCATAGATCCATATGTATATATTTATATGCTCAATATCGTGGTGTATATATATATATATATGTATATAGATTGATATTTCCGACGGTGACCTAACTGTTCAACAGCAAATCATACGACCGGCGAAGCGCTATCGATAATTGTCTCTTGCTAACTTTATCTATTGTCATAAACTCCGTTAAAACTTCAACGAAACTTCCGACGCGAAGCTCTGACTGATTAACTACCGTTAACAAGGCCTGTGATTGGTACAATTAATCCGAAGCCGTTCAGATTAAAACGGAAAAATTGCATCGCACCCTCCCGTTAAGCTGGCTATTGTTTAACAAATTTCTTGGCCGTTGTCCTTAAGTTTAGAAAATATTGCACTTTCGAAAGAGCCCCGACCTTTGTCAACTAGTTTTGGTTTGCGCGGCCGCGCGCAGATGGCAAATTTTTTTCCTCCATAAATCATGAATAAATAAATAAACAAAAGAATTTCCAATAGTTACCTCCAAATGCCTGGGCGTATTTCCTTTCGCATCTTCTTTATTGTCCTTCTCAAAGGTACCTGCGAAAATCAATTTCCAAGGCATCAACACCGTTAATTAATTAACGATTGGAATAATTCCTTGTTCCTGAAAACGAAAACTAGTTGCATAAAGGTCGAAGACGTCTCCGTTCCCTCTAGAGCAACTTAGAGTATTATTTCTCATATATGCCAGGAATTTATACTTAAAGCCTACGAGGTGAAATAACACCCAATGAGTATTCTCGACATTAGTACTTCATTCAGCAGGTGATTCGCGAGGAATGGAAGTTAACCAGGCTAAAAAAGAGAAAAAAAAATAAACGTCCATTCCGAACTGAGAATCCTGTCAAAGGATCACAATCGGCACATCCTTCCTTCCTCGCAACATCCACGAGGCCGGATGAATTTAACATTAATAATTAATCTAGAATTTACCTTTACCCCTAATCAACAGTAAACGCCGTAGGGGGTGCCCCGAAGTCTCTACTAACGGTGGACGCCTCATGAAAACCATAAAATAATGAATAAAAAATTGCAAATTGAAATCCAAGTCGATAGGAATAATAATCCTTCCAAGAGCCCAATCGTAATCATCCTGTTATCGATAAGAAATATGTTCATCCAAGAGCAGCATAATTCCATTGTCAAAGTTTATGGTGTTTTTTTTTCCTTTTTCTTTTTAATCATTTTTTGGAGGAGTCGACAAACCCGAGAGGATTCGGTGCACCCTGGGCGCCTCTTCATATGTCTTATTTTAATATTCATGGTTGTGAATTGGCCTCAGGGTTTGCTTTGTTTGTTTGTTTGTTTTTTTCTTTTTTTTGTACAGGTCGAGGCAGACTCTTCCAGGGACTTCCGGTTGTCTGCACGCTACCTACTTTCAGGGACGTCAGTTTAAAGGTCGTGACCAAGGCGGTCCATTTCCGCGAGGAGGAAGTCGACGTCGGCTTCCGTTACGGCAGCGCTGGAGATGATGTTCCTGAAGAAGTTCGGCCTGCGGTCGTCGGGTTGGTAGCCGACCATTAACGTGCCGGCCTGCATCATCCGTCCCTTCAGAATGGGACAGATCTGCAAGGAAAGCCACTTTCACACGGCGCTCCTAACGAAAGGGTTAAGAAGGATTTAATATAGATTTTTCGTACCTCTCCAAGGATCTTCACTCTCTCCGCAGTATGAGGCATGTTCCGAACGCGCGTCGGTAGGTACCAGAAACAGACGTTCACCAATTCCGGCTCAAGGATCAAGTAATACTTGTCGGGCATTTGTTTGATCCTCCTGACCATGTACTCGGTGAGCTCCATAAGGCGATCCATGTGCTTCTCGAAGCCTTCCGTGCCCTGGTAAATATCCCGGAAAATGTGTGAGAAATGGCAGAAAAATAGGAGCCTCGATAAACCCAACATTTCCCCACCTTGGCCCTCCACTGCAGCCACAGCTTAAAAATGTCATTGTGCCTGCCACACTGTATGACCTTATCCCCGGTGTCGTACTTCACGTCATAAAGTTTATCCGTCATGAACAAGTACTCGGCCGACATCTGGTTGCAGCTGATAAGCAGACCCTGAATAATCAGGAAGTAGTACCAATTGATATTAGAAAGAAGGGAGGATTTTTTTACAGTTTAAAGAAATAAAAAATCATATCTAACGATATCAAGGTTTGGGCTCGAGGTTGACTCGGAGTTCTTCCCGGAGACCGCTTCCAAGTTCCCCATCCTCCCATCCTCGAGGACTTTTTATTACAATTTAAAAAAAGAAAGTATCTAACGATATCAAAGTTGACTCGGAGTGCGCGTCCTTCTTGGGGACCGCTTCGAAGTTCCCAACTTCCGACTTCCATCCTCGTCGGCTCTAATTGCCCGACCCGGGGAATCCATCCAGTCGAATTAACATTCTCGTTGGCCAGGGTCTTATCACGTCGGAATGCGGTCGATACGGTGGCCCGAACTGATGCGCAGGATTGGCGAGTATCGAGCCACCAAAATGGCGGCGGTCTCCGCGGGCGCCATCTTGGCGTCGCCTCCCCGAAACTTTCCCGGTTGTATATCCGGCCGGAAGTCTCTGAATAACCTCCCGCGGGTGCCGACTTCCTTCCCCGCATCCCGCAAAGACTCCGAGCTCGTGTCGAAGTTGGAAATGGGAATAAAAGTCGAAGAAAAGGGGGGAAAACTCGGCGGCGTCACCCCAGCCGGGTCGCGCGCACCCGGTGCTCCCGGAATTTTAATATCCAAGGGGCGTTCCGGGGCCAGCAATAACTACAACCCTGCCGGGGGGCATTCCCCCAGTTCTGCCGAGCCGGGTTGGCTGGCGGTAACATATGTTATCTCTTAGTTTAATTAAATTCCAGCAGTGCCGTGCCCGCTCCGGAGGCGCCTCCACCCCTTCGGAATGCTGGGCGACGTTATGCCCCCTTCGGCATATCGGAATTCCGGGGGATTTCGATATTTCTTCCTTCGACGTTCGAGTTCTCTTTCTCTTTTCCCTCCCGATAGAATTCCTTAATCCTTCTCGCCCTGACTTTTCTCTATTTTTCCTATCTTTCCAGGAGCTGCCAATGATGGTCCCGTGGCGAGTCAACCTCCTTCCCTTTTTCAGGAATTAAAAGACAGTCCTTGCCGAGGGTTTAAAAGGAACCCAAAGAAGAACGGATGACATCGTAAGGATGCTAATGAAATGTCTAGAATGCTAAAGCATGCTTAGGAAATTAATCCTATTCCGTACGTTTTCCTTGAAGTGGATCGTGGAGCATTGCAGCAGGGCGCCCATGAGCTTGTGGGGGTTCCAGGTCACGGAGTCGGCCCTGAAACAATTGATTCATTTTCATTTTCACTTTCGGCCCTTTCTACCGCGAGAACCCGGGATTTCGGGGCCTGGGGGAGATATCCAAGGTCCGGAGACCATTTTTCTCCCATCGTGGGCGGATCGGTCCATCGAGCGGTACGTAAAGTCTCAGCTGCTTGTCAAACTCTTATCCGTTCCCCTGGGAGTGATGGGGGATGAAATATGAGGTACCCTCCCTCGCATCCCCTCCCTCCCCGGGGGCCCATGGATTCGGCAACAGCTATTAATTCGACCCTGGGAAATCCCGAATCTCTTGACAAGCCAACCCCTTCGCCCCGACAAAGCGCCGCAAATTGCGGGAAATTTAAATAATCAAAGCGTCAACCTTCTAGCGGTCATTACCCAAGCCATAGTAATTAAATCCCATTAATCCTTGTGTCCTTCCATTTGACTGATTATACATATTTCCCAGCAGTTTAGGAGCTGGTTCGACGTCACCTGGAGTTGCGGCCGGAAAGGGAGCATCCCGGAGCACGTGTTATGACAAACGTCATCGACACGTGGCAAGTGACACGTATTGAGGCTCCCCCTGTATCTTGACACTGCAGTTGATGCAGGGTCCTCGAAGCCCGAAGAGCCCTTCAAGAGATCCCTGTCGATGACACTCGCGGCCTCCATTAGTTACTCCTGGAGGACTCAGGGCGTACCTCCAGGGCAGCGAGAAAATCTTGAAAAAATTCGGAAAAAAATCCCCGCCGACTCCTAGCGACTTTCCGAATAAACAAAAATAAATGAACCCTCGGAAATCCCTTCGGGGATGGTTTTCATCGGGTTCGGCACTCGTGGACGATCTCGGCGCCGATGTAACAGCCGAGAGTGAAGGCTGGAGTGATTAATGCGATTCGCATCTGGGGTTGGCGCGTGGCCTCCTCGCAGGACCCTTCCTCGACAGGACGACCGAGGTGCCAGCTCCAAAACCCTCGCAATATATATTGCCAGCCATGCTAATTACTCCAACCCTCGTAAATGGCGCCTCGACACCGAATTCGGGCCCGCCGCCATTTACGATCCTCGGCCTCGACCTCTCTCCTCCATTTAGGGACCTCGAAGAGGAATATATAAATTCCCTTAAGACGATATGAAAGATCCTCGACAAAATCTGAACATCGCTCGGAGGACCTCCTCGAGGTCCGTAGGAAATAGTGGCGGCGCTTTGAGGTGGGAGAAGAAAAAAAAAAATGGTGAAAATTGGAAATTACTTGAGTCATCCCCCGGAGTGTCGGACAATGAGAAAGGGGACAATGTTTCGGTGTCCTGGAAATATTCGGCTCGTGCCCTTAGGACCTTTTCTCGCAATCATCGAGCCTCATCGGGCCGCGACGCGAGAGGAGTCCTCGCCGACTTTCGACGTGGCAAAAAGGAAACAGGACGAGCGAGGAGAGAGAAAGAGAGAGCAAAGCGCAGAAAAGGCACCCGGGGGGAGACCTATCCCTTTGTACGAGTTTAATCCGGCATTGTCGGGGCCCGGGCTTTATTTCAAGCTCGCAAAGCGCGGAACGCTCGCAAGCGCGTCAATATAAGAGGAGAGTTCTGTCCCGCAAATGCGCTCCAGGGAACCGATCCAGCTGTTGCTCCTGCCCAGGACTGTTCCGTCCTTCGCCTCTCCGCTTGCCATTTTAATCAAGACCTTCCTTCGGGAAGGAAGTCCTGTCTCTTTTGTCCCCCGGCTAAAAGCTCCCCGGCATGGGCCTTTTACACCTCCGGAACGCGTCGCTAAACGATAACACTGGGCACTCGATAAAGTGATACACCACGACGGGAACAATTGTTAAAAGGAAATTGTAAATCGGTCAAATTAGATATCTCGAGAATGAAATTACTCCGAGTGTTGTTTCAAGAATGTCCTTGGGAGAATACTCAAAATTAGTGCCTTTGATTTATCTGAATTTTTGTCGCTCGCGTTAAAACACGTTTAATTGTCCTATGAAATCACGCTCTGTTTTCGATGAAAAAATGCATCTTACTTATGAAAAAAAAATAATAATTCTTGAATCTCTCCTATGACAACTGCATATGATACCTTAAGTAATTTCTCGCGGTTTAAAGAGCGATTAGGGGGTATACGTCGGAAGAGGGGGAATTAATGAATCAATTTTCGGCGGTGGAGGAATCGAAATGGCCGTCAAAATGAGCCCTTGGCTCGGGAAGATCGCTCCCGGGGGAATTTCCTGGGGTCAGGACTGTCCGCATCCGGGGCTCTCGGGGTAGCAGATGCGCCGGGATGCAAATCGCGGATTAATCTCGCCGACCCCATAGGAGTCCCCGTCCGAGTTCCGCACCCTCTTCTTCCTGGGTGGCTTCGGCATCGAGGGGACCTCCTCTGTGTGTGAGAGTCGGCATGTGCCGAAGACAGGAGTCAGACTGCTCCACGTCACAGATTACGACACTCTCCACCCGGAATCCTTTTTCGAGGTCCTTAATCCTGGTCCACCCCCCGGGACCTAATCCACCTACCCTAAACACTTTCCCTGAAATTCGGGGGATTTTCCTCCTTATTTTCAAAGCCAGACCGGTGGAACGAGTTAGCCCAAACTCTTGACAAAGTTCCAGCCAAAAGTGGGAAAATTGAATTTGGTTACGAATTGACCAAAAAAAAAAAAAAAGAAAATAGTGGAATATATACTGGGAAAATTTGAGGAGACTTTTGACTGGCGCAAAATCGCGTAGAGGAAATCATTTTTAGGGGGAGGACTATTTTCACGTAAGTCTTAAAGGCCTCAACTTTAACTTTCATCTGGACCTCGGATGTGTGAAAGGGTTTTCCAAGTTTTCCCTGATTTCTCTTATCATTGGATTTCAGGCTGGCGAGGTAAACTAGCGAAGTATAAAAGCGTGAAAGAAGTCTAGGAAGTACCGAGGGAGGAAAACACTTTTAACCCGAGAGATCCTTAATCCCCTCCCGTCACACTTTGAGAAGTTCCGAAGAGGTCCTGAAGGTATTACGAGGAAGGACAGTGCATTTTCAAAGTGGCTCCATTCCCATCGGTTTAGAAGAAAACTTTTTCCCCGCAACTTTCCACGACGGGCAGTTTTAAGGACCTTCGCGGTGCAGATAAGGGAAGGATTATGCGAGCTATCCATCCCGGCCTATCATCCTGGGAATTTTCTACGGACCATTGTCATGTAAAACGACGTCTAGCTCCTGCGTCGCTCCGCCAGGAAGACCATTCCAACAGGAGCGTATTGATTTCCCCACGTAAGACCAGGAGGACCCCAAAGTGGGTTTTTTTTTCCTCCGAGTCCATCAAAGTAAGCCCCAATAAACTATAAAACCGGGGATTTGGCCCACAAGCCCCTGTCGGTCCTGAAGCCCTTTGCATGTACATCCAGAAGTGCACCAAAGGGAGACCATCGCTGGTACTGTAAATTGCCTCATTTCGGCACCTACGTTGCATGAAAAGTACCATCGATCCTTATTTTCCGGAAATAAGACCTAAAGGACGCGGTATTTAATTTTCATAAATAATAGTCGAATGACATGGGGTTTTTGCAATGCGCTAGATCACTATAATTGATGCAAGGATGCATAAATCCTGATTAAAGACACCTGTAAGATCGCAAATAATTGCAAAACTTTGTAATTATTTTTCGCTCTTGTATGACAAATGTAAATAATTAATAATAACTCACCGTTCCATGCCGGTCAGTCTTGGATGCCTGTATTTTCTCGAGAGAAGCAGTCCGCCACCCCAGGCCGCCTGAAATATCGATTTCTCGATGAAATCCCCAAAAAGAGCGATAAATCATCGTCGCGGATAATTTCGGCAACCTGACCGAACAATTCGGTGCCATGGTCTGACTTTCAAATCCGACGATTTTCCAGAATTTCCCTGCAATTTGCCGGAATCCGCCAGGCGTCGGGTAGGTTCTCACATTAATTATTTACGGTAAGGTCCTTACGCGTTTGGCATTTACGGATTGCACTTAACAAAGGGTGAGCGGATTTGAATAATTCCACATTCGGGTGAATGGGATCGATCAGCTGGGAACGATTAAGGTGGGATTTTCAGCTCTAACAGGTAGATCGGTATACGCGTTGATTTCTCAGCAAAATGGACGGCCACGTAAATCCTCTACGTCATGCGGAGAAATAAAGATAATTAAATAATTAAAATGCAACGCATGAATCGGAATGGTAATTTTTGGTAATAATTAATCCTTGCAATTTTGTAGGAGGAAAGATCGGAGGAATGAAATGCGTCGATAAAGGAGAAAAAAAAAAGAAATATAGATTTGATGACAACTCACGTCTATGTGAAGCCACAGTTTGTACTTTTGGCAGATGTCAGCGATCTCTGGGATCGGATCGAAGGCCCCGATGACAGTGGTGCCGGCAGTGGCATTGACGAAAAATGGAATATGGCCCTTGGCCTTGCGCTCCAGGATGAGCTCCTCCAGTTTCTCAGGAATGATGCGACCACGTTCATCGCTCGGTACCATCACGCAATTGTCGGTCCCCAGACCGCAAACGGAGGCGCAAGACTTGACGGAATAATGGCACTGGCAGAGAAACACAAGGGATAAAGAAAAACCCCATCAGGATTTTTCAATCTTGCCCTGAGTCTTTTTAATTTTTTTTTTTAACCAATTAAGACCAACGGTAGTAAGGTTATTAATTTTTTTTTTAATTATTTCTAACCTGGTCGGACGTGAACATGACCAGTTGTCCACCGACAGCAGCCAACCCACGTTCCTTGTACATCGGGAACATCTTGTGTCTCGCTGCCAAAAAGGCGTAGAGATTGCTGATGGAACCCCCAGGTGCCAGGATGGAGTCGCCCCCTGACCATCCGATCAGCTCTCGCATCCTCTCCAGGACCACGTGCTCCATCAGGATGAACACGGGGGCGATTTCGTAGGTGAACATGTTCGTGTTCGCCGTGGCCGTCAGCCACTCGCCAGCCATCGAAACTAGATCCAGGCCACACGACAGCTGGTTGAAGAAGTGTGGGTGGCCTGAAAATTAAATGTAGGAAAAAAAAAAAAAGTCGTTCTAATTAAATGACCCATACGATATGTAAATGATATCGAAATGTTCCAAGGTACGGTTTGCGATTCGGTGGTTATTAATTATTGAAAAACCAACCGAGCGGTTTTACCCGCCTCGAGGTTAAACGACTTCCTCGTCACTTTCCGGAGTAATTAATAACCGGGGAGGGGGCCGACACGTGTTGGAAAATTCGAAATGCGTGTCGCGAAATCTGTCCCGGGCCTTTCAGCCGCGCCTTTCAGGGGCCGCTGTTGGAGGCTACTTCAGGAGGCTCTTCAGGGCGAAGAGCTTTAAGCTCGCCGAGTATGTTGTCATCCGGTCGGCTGAACATCGCGCTTGGATCAAGTCTAATGCTTCTGTTTGATGGAACCCTGACCCCTGCACCGAGGGGGGGCGAAGGAGGCTTATGACTCCCTTATCGTCCACGGGGAGCTCGGAGTCGAAATAAAAAGCTGCCTCGAGAACGGAATGGAGCTGGTGAATTATTTTCAGTACAGGGATTTCTCTCCACCAGGCCAAACAAGAAATAAAGAAGCGAGGTAATAAACGGGAGAAAAAATGATAAGCCGATTAATATGAGAGGAGGAAATTTTATCGAGATACCGTCCAGGGAAATAATTGAGATTTTCAGGTGGAGTGTTAAGAGGCGAACCTTCAGCTTGATCGATCGGACAGTGTCTGATGGATATTCCTCATTGAATATCCGGCCTCGAAGCGACCTCTTCAGGGTACAGGGTGGAGGCCGGAAGGACGAGGAGGGTCCTGGGAGCAGGAAGTGCGCTGGATAATTCTGCAAAGGACTTTCCTATATCCCGAGGAAAAATATCAATCGCCTTGGACCGTCTCATCTCTAAGTATAAAAATCTGAGTAGGACATCCTAACTTTTACTCCCAGGATTTCTGCGTTAAGTAAACCCTGTTCCTTGATGCATCAGCTGGGTTTGACAAGCATCGAGCCCATTAGATGACACATTCGCGGGTTTTAATCTACCGGAGGTCTTTATCGAGGTCGTCTCGTCCAGGGATGAATTTGGGGAAGGATCCTCTCCCTTCCACCGGGCAGATCGCCGGAGGAGGATGTTCCTTTAATCCCTAATCTCCTGACAGGTGAGTGTCCCTAATAGGTCCTTCCTCTCCGGCAACACCCTTCGGTCCTTAAGGACTCTTAAGACTTCCAATGGCTCCTAGGCCTCTTCGGTTCCTCGGGGACTCCTCGTGCACAGTGGTACTTATCTGAAATTTCTCTCTATCTCTTTTTACATCCCTTATCATTTCCTTGTTTCTCATATCGCTAGTCGAAAAGTGACGTGAACGCGTAGATGGGTTAACCGGACCACTTGTTGGTATTTTTTGTAAAGGGAAGGAAAGGAACCTCTCAGGAGGTTCGCTCTTCACGAGTCACCCTGGAGAGGGTCCTGGGGGACCTCTTCGGGGTGTCTCCTGACGTTTGTCGCGCCGTTACTCGCAATTATCCCGGTCGCCGAGTCGTGGCACGCGTCCGGCGTCGGCGTGCCCTCTTTCCTGGACCTCGAAGGGGATGCCGCAGACTCCTGGGGATGGAGGGCAGAGTTCTAGGGGTCCGAGGATCCCGCATTTTGCGCGTCACACGCGTCGCTGCTCCACTAGATTGTTTGCAGAGGCTCTCAAACACGGCCAAAGGACACGTCGGGGTTGCTTGTCGAGCAAACAGGAGAGTGGCTTCGTCCAGGAGATAAGCGGGCTCGCATTATGCGGATTTAAGGGGATGTTAATTTAAATGCCCGCCCAGGACCACCCCCCGTCGATTTTCCATTTTCCTGACCCCCGATTTTAAAGTCCTACTTTTTCAAGGAATTAATTTAATCCCGATTAAGTGCTTCTAGAAGTGGTAGACAACATTCATACCAGGACACCTCTCGTGGTCGTGGACATTTTTTTCGGCGATTTTTCTTTTTCTCTTTCCCCCAGGAATTAATTTTCCACGCTTTCGGGAGAAATGGTAGGAAGAATTGATCCCAGGACACGGATGGATCCCTCGATCATCGATTACCTTCGATCGCCGAGGGTATTTTTCACGACTAATTTGGCTCGAAACAGAGCCGGGGGAGGGAGAGGAGAGAAAGAGAAAGACCTGTTCGACGCAGACCCCACTTGGTGATAAATTAGGGGTTTAGGATTTGTATGAAGAGAAGTGTGTAACCCCGGCTCAACGTTAATGCCCTGCAATCGATCATGCGAACCGGAAGAAGGGAAAAAGTCTGCAGGTGGAAGTCGACGTACCGGGTGTCCAGGTTATCCCGAAATGATTATCAATTCTCATAATTTTTCATTAACACCTCGACTATTATTGACGAGGGAGAGCGACAGAGACAGAAAAGAAATAATTTGAAACATGTCATATCGCAGCCCTTCCGAAAATACGTCCCCCTCGAATTCCATCCATGCACCCTGTAATCGAGATTTACAACAGCTGGTGAAATCGATGGGTTAAAAAGTCCCGACTGACTCGGTGAATTTCAGGAATGAAAATCCCCTGGAAAAGCGTGCGTCCCCTCGACGATGACCGAGGAAAAAATTCTCGGAAAGAAATTCCAGGAATCGCGAGGATGCCAATTTAAATTCCGTCACTCCGCGAAAGGGCCGACCCCTTGGGGGGAATTCCCTCGCATGGGGCACCCCCTGGCATAATACGCACCCCTATTTACTGTTTAGCCCGGACCCTAGGGGGAAAATCGTGTAGAAATGGCTCTTAATTACACCGATCCCATTGAATTTGCCGCCCCATGGCAGGGAGCCACGTGCGCGCACCCCGCAAAAGTGTTTTCTCCCGCGATCGGGCTGGATATATCCTCTCTAGGATTTTCCTGGACATTCCCTCCTATTTCGAGGATAATCGCCGTAACAAACAAGGACTTTCCTGACCCTTCGACGTTTCCCTGAAGCCTGCACCCCCCCTAACCCTCCTATATCCGTGATATCAGCGTCTGGAGTTTACTGCAACACCGTCCGTTTGGATGCTTACCGAAATCGTTCCCAACGCATGGCTGCGTTTCGCGCCAAGTGCACGCTCCACGAGTTTCTTTACCGAAAGTGACCCTCTAGATAAATTGTATAGCTAACTTAGATTATGACTATCCATCAGGGGTATCTGTTATCTGGATGTCGGGGGTGGAGCGCGTTAAAAAAAAAAATAAAAATAAATAGAGGAAGTCAGAGCACACGTGTCACAGGGTGGTCCTATCCTTACCCCCTGATTGTCGAAGCCGCAATCTCTGGTCATCCTAACAATATCGCTCCCCCCTCGCATCCGATGAAATATCCGCCCTGTGCCAAACTCGGGGAAGAGATATCGAAAGATCGATACTCGACGTATAACAGTGGTCGGCGTCTGCTGCTATTTTTTTTTTTTCATCGGCACAAAGAAACTTGCAAATCCAATTCCTCCTCAAGGTACTCAGGTATGATAAAAGGAACTATGTATAAACATGTGTACTAAAAAGTACTCCCGGAGATAATTCGGGAACTAAAAACACTGGAAGAAATTTCTAATCAGACCTCAAACATTGGAGACGTCTTAAATGTCATTTATAAGCCGGGGAATATTTTTAGGACTCCGTGGTATCGTGCTGTCTACTTTTTTATTAACAAATACGGGAGAGAGGAGTAAAGAGACCGGCGAAGGAACTCTTGGTTGGACTTTTCGGGGGTGGCCCGCCCTTTCAATTTCCCTTTCAATGCACGGGGAAAAGAAGGCTTCGGATATCCCGAGCCAAAGAGGGGCAGATTGGGGCTTGACTCTGGGGTACATGATCTAATAACTAGTTTTTGTCGTCCGGGCACGTATATCAGGACGCGTGCCCCGATAACCGAGGGTGGTCGGTTAAGTTAGGCGTGATTTCGCCTAACTTGGACCAGGCCCTATGTCTGGCGGCATTGTGCATTAGCATCCATTCAACCCGGTAATCGAATCCAGCCGAGATAGCGAGGTTTCGCCGCTATCGCGTGGGAAATGGGCGGTTTCTATCGAGAAGTTAAACATACCCTGGAGTACCCTGAATTATGCACGAGGAGTGTCTTATCGCGGGCGAGAATAATTAAAATGAAATTATGCACGGGTGAAAGGGGTTAATGCAAAGTATGTGCATCCTTGGAGAAAAGAGGAAGAGAAGGGCCTCATTTCCATTGTTTGGGGATCGGTATATTATATTATTATTATATATCGATCGAGATATGAGAGCTCGACGCCATTTTGGTTCTGATCTGGGTTTGAAGGGGGTTTCACTTCACCTTAATAACGATAACGTGTTATCTACTGTAACGTTTTTTTTTTTTAACGTTGGTTCTTCAGGGGATAAAGTATGGTGGATGAATAAGGGCGTCGAGTTAAGCACGCTGGGAATGGTCTTCCCTTCGGGCGCTGATAAGCGCTCGATCATATTTTCGATTCCTTATCTTTCCCCCGAAGGGTCCAGGACATCCTGTGGACGCGGCCGGGAAATTATTCCTCCCGATAGGTCTCGGTTTTTATTTTAATAAATCCTACTTCCCTCGGTCATTTATCACGTGCTTTAGGATCCTACGGGGTTACGGGGGGACATCCACCCTGAAGAGCTCCTCGCCGGTTTATCTCCAAGGGAGTGCGTATGCTAAATTGAATATATATTTTATCAAGATCCAGACTAACCGTTTTATCACGACCGCCGATAAAGGACGGTGAATAATTTGGAGGTTTTCCTGATGCGCATTTACGAAGAGCCGTCTTCAGGGTCGACTTCGCCGAAATGTGCCGAAAGTCTGGACCGTCGCTTTTCGAATTGAATTTTTTTTTCTTTTTTTTCCTCTTTCACACGACGCTTATTCGTGGATTTTTTTTTAAGTGGTTCTCTTACCGGTCTTCACTTGGTACTTCAGGGTGGTCGAGCAGTCGATCAGCAGCTGCTGAAGAGTCACTCCTGTATCGGGTATCTCCAGGTCCAGGAGCCTCATCATGTCGGCAGGATGATGGAAATCCAGGACCTTGGCGTTGCGATCGTTGGTCGATTTGATGAAGTCGAGGAGAATGTCGACGACCTTCATCAGGAATTCCCTGGTTGCCGGGAGTCCTTCGGCATTCTGCGGCAGGATGTCTGAAAATCAAAATGATAATAACTGTAATATACATATATAAATAAAAAATCCCGGAGCAACCCTCTAATTGGTCAATCAAGTGAAATCTTCTGTACCGGATGAGACAAGGAGGATATTTTTGAAGCTGCATACAAATGGAGGCTTCTAAGCCTCTTCAACGACTTCCTACCGTCTCTTCAGGGAACTGGCGTTCTCGTTCGGATGAGTTCGGCTTTTATAAATGATTTCACCTCATCAAACAATTGAAAGTATAGACCTATATTGACACACTCTCACTTGTTTGGTGGGATGACACCATCTTGGTCTCTCGGTGGTGCCTCTTCGTCGAGGACGACTTCGTCCCATCCTTGCATCCCGATCGATGCACGTCTTCGAAATTCCTGGACTTGCATACCCCAAGATGCAGTACATACCTCAAATTCCGGATCCCAGGAAAATACGATAATCCCGCAATTACTTTAAGGGGGTGTGAAAGTGGCATCCGAAAGCTCAATCGTTCACAAAACATTTAAAAATTAGAAAAAAAAAAATACAGAAAATCCACGATGGGGGGAGTCCCTATGGAGTCGAAATTTTTCCCCTGGTTGAGGAGAAGTCGGAGAGAATTTTCGAACTCCAGGGATGGCGGTCGGATGTTTCGATACAACGTGGCTAAATCCTTGGTTAGATTGAACTGTCCCTTATCTACGAGCCAGCCATAAAGAATCCCGAAGGAAATCCGCCCTTACGCCCTTGTCCATTACCTCGATCCCGAGGATAAACAAGAGGGGAGAAAAGTTAGTTCCTTCGCACTTTCCGTGATTTCCCAGCCCGAAGCTCCGGAATTTAATTCCGCAATTTAATTCCGCAATCAAAGCCAACCCCGCAAGGAGACTAGTCCTGTATATCTCTATCGCATCATGTGGTTGGATATTTAATTAGATTAAATAACGCACGCAACCTCGAGTATTTTCTATCGTAATAATTATTACAATAAATAACGCGAGAAAATACGAGAGAGGTGAACGGCGCAAAAAATCGGAAAAAGGGCATTTATAATTTTTAACATTAAAAAATTAACATTTGAATTTCATTTGGTCCAGATCAGATAATACGGGATGGATGATTCGAATCGAATAGCCTCTTCTCTTTTTCAATAACGATGAGTATCTCGGAAAGAAAGAGAATGGGGGAGTACCGAGGGAATAAGGAGGTATGTTGAATCGCCTTGATCCTTCGGTTAGACAAGGAAAATCCTCGAAATCCTTCCTGCCCGATCCGGCTAATCCCACCCCATCAATCTAACAGCTCTCTGCCTCGATATTTCTCGAGTTTATGGTATTCTTTTCAAGGTCCCCAAAAATAAGCCCGACAATTTGGCTAAGGATTTCCCTTTTTCGATGATACTCTCGCAGTCAACCACTTACCCGTGTCATTAAAAATTATTCTCGTGGTAATTAACATCTCGCCATTTTTCCATGGATTTCTATTATGGGGGATGAAAGTGAATTCCCAACCTTTCCAGGTTCTCCGGGCAGTTTTCAGTCTCCCTAGGGGTAATGTTTATGTCCGATGTAAAGGGTAGTAAATCATAAAATATGGATTAAAGAGATTCCACACCAATGGCGCATTAAAGCTCGGCCATGGTATTCCTCGCCAGATGCGCCCTCGTTGCATGTGCACGGAGCTTTAATTGCCCCATCGTCTTCTGGGGGTTGTTTCGTAGGGATTGCCTCCGATTTATAAGCGGGATTACGGGGTGATTTGGGCTAATTGAAGACCGGCTATTCTTCCGTAGCGGCGAATTAAAATAGACATTAGACCAACCACGTTTCCCCGTCAAATCCAAGACCCGCCTCTTAACCCCTTCAACACGGAGCCATTTCGACATATGGGCGAAATTCCTCTGACCGTGCAGGCAATATTCGACCAAACGTCGGACGCCTTTAGGCGCTCTTAGTAGCCAATGGGCTGAGGGGATAGAAAGTGTCATATGTACGCAGCAAAAACGTCATTCTCGTACCGAGACCATTCGCGACCTTTTGTGTAACTTTATGTGCTCTTCCGGGGGCACAAAATCTTCATGTCAAAAATCAGATCGGTAAAACAAGCAACCGGTAATTTCATCTGCCTATGGAAAATGGCGCCCCCGACACGTCCCAACGCTTATCGTATGATGACACTTGCTCTACTGCAAATACACGCGAGGAGATGAACCCTTCCGACCCCCTGCGGCGTGTAATCTGTCCTCAGCCACTCGTCAAGGACCAAACTCTTCGGGGCCAATCCCAAATCCTCGATTATTATGCACCCTCTGTTCCCAAGTGGAGGTACCCCCCCCTATTCGCCCGGAAAATCTGAAAAATATTGCGGTTTATAGATTTTCTACCGGGTACCCCACGGACCCGTTCTCCCTTCGACGAGGGGAATAATAAAATGACACCTATAAAGGGACGTAACGCTTCGAAGTACCACCGTAAAGGATGGAAAGGCGAAATGAAGAAGAAAAGAAGTCGAGGGAGGGAAATATCCGCTTAGGAGACCATTCGAGTAATTTGCCACCCTCTCGAACGAAAATCCAAATTTCATGACATTTCCTTACAAACTTTTTCCCAACTCTGTACACATGAAAGATAATCTCATTTACCGGCAATTGACGTTCACAGCATTTCTCTATACAATGACTGAGTGCACAATGGAGCTAGGCATGCAAAAAAAAAAATTAATGGGCTGTACCAGGGTGAAAGTCGAAAAAATTGCACATTTTTGACAATCTCTTTTTTTTTCCCCTTATCATCATCTTTAATAATGTAAAATTTTAATTTAACTCATACTTTTGCCTGCAAGATTGTGTAATGTCTTCGACGTTCACAGTGGTATAGCCCCTTAATTAACTTTTATTAAAGCACTACAAATCCAAATTTGCATGTCTCGAACGGAGGTCCCTGGACGGGGCATCGATTAACGATTTACCTAGTTGGCGATCATCGATCATCGATTTCGACGAGTGAACACGTGTAAGGAGTACTCACCCGCGTACTTGAGATTGCAGTGCTCCTTGGAGAGCGCGTAAGTGTTTTCGGAGCTCATCAGTCTGGTCGGGGAGTGCGTCCTTGCGAAATTCTGAAATCCGAAAGCAAACCGGAAGGTGCCTGAGAGTCTCCGCCACGGAAACGGGTCGTGGTGCTCGCGGGACGGGGTTATTCACTCATGAAATCATGAAACTTAACCCTTATGCTACTTCGAGCGCCTAAAGGCGCCCGACGTTTGGTCCAATATCGCCCGCCCGGTCCGACGAATTTCGCCCATATGTCGAGATGGCTCGAAACGTTCAAAGGGTTAATGCTAGAAATCATTTTAAATCGTTAAAAATCACCGATAGATTCTCAGAATTTTAATTTTATCGAATCTGATTGTTGCTCGGGATATGGAAATGAAAGGTAAAATCGGTTCTCAATGAATAAAATCGTTTTCATTGATTTCCAAGTGAATAGCCCCAAGTTACTCCACAATATGCATTATCGATACGGCCGGCAGAGAAAGAGAAACGCAAAGAGACGACGGATAAGGAAAGACAGAGTATGAGTGACATGCGTGCGAGAGAGCCTTACATATAAGTATTCCTTGATCGCTGTGATTTTAGTGCCGATCATTTGCACATTGTCCATGTCTCAGCAGTGGCCCTTCGCCTCAGTCCCTACAACAGTCAACAACAGCACCGTTCAGTCCAGATTCAGAGCCCGAGGAGTCAAAGGCGAGCCGAACAACCAGAGGACCAGTCGCTAAGGACCTCAGTGTCCCGAAGGAGCAAGGACCGACCAAAGAAGACATGGACAGCATGTTCGATCTCTGCGAATTCCCTCAAAAAAAAAAAAAGACGAATCGGGACTTCGGATCTTACATATCCGAAAATTGAAGAAACTTAAGGGGATATGAAAGTGGCCTCAAAGTTCATGAAACTTTCGGTGACCTCGTTTAAGGGGATGTGAAAGTGACGTCAAAGAGGACTCCTTCATGAAACTGTTCTCCTAACAGGGTGTACCGAATTACCTGAAACTTTAACAGGAGATTATGGAGGCTCTAAAGAAGAACGCGCTGGTGTTGAAATTTCATTTTTCGAGAAAAAAAAAATCTTGCATTTACCTCAGACGAAAACGAAAAATAGAGATTCTACTTTGCAAAAAAATGAAATCTCACGGGCAGCGCGTTCATCCTTAGAGCCTCTACAATCACGTGTCGAAGTATCAGATAATTCGGTGCACCCAGTTTGGAGAAAAGTCATAAATATTTTCACTTTTCGGTACGTATATATTACACTTTCATACCACCTTAAGGTTCCTCGGAGTGGTTGCGGTACCTGTTCTCTCCGGACGGTTGCCTGGTGCAGTCGGTCTCGCAGGGTGTCGGAGTCCGGGGTGGATTCGGAGGGACTGCCTCGTCTGGCTCGCAACCCAGCGGACGTCTCTCGAGTCGCGGCGTCGCCTCGTCTGGGCTCCGTCTGACCCAGTTTTCGGGCTTGCGGGGGTGTCTCGGGGGCGTGTCCCGCTTGGGGGTTGCGAGCCACGTGGGCAGGGGAGGGGAGGCCACCCCATAGTTGGCCAATAGCGGCGCGGCGGCCCGTGACGTCAGTGCGCCGAGGACGGCCGAAGAGCGAGGACGTGCCCGCGGCACTCGGCACCCACCCACGGGGGCGCACCCACGCCACGACCGCGGACCCGGTCGATACCTCGAGACGGACGAAGCGCCCCTCGCGCGGACTTGTCCTAGGTTACATTCCGAGGCATGTCGCCACATGTTCCGCCCGGACGGGGGAAAAAGGAAGCTCGGAAAATCTACGGAAATCCGCTCGTCTTTGGGGGCACGTATGACGCAACCTTGGCACGGCATCAACCGAGGATTCTCGCGAGATGACTACGTCATTATTGTAACCGTTATTTAGTCGCCTAATAAAGCCGTTACGAATTGCAGTTGTAATTTCTTATCCCCATTGACGTATTTTATTAACCCCTTAACGCGGGTATGACGGAATTCTTCTTCACACGTAACTTTTTTCATCGTGGAAATTAGGCGACGAAAAAAGTCCTCATTGTAAGGCGAGACGTACAAATATTAATTCCTCGGTTAACGGGTTAACCGTGGGGCAGACGTTAACGATCTTCCCCATTCTTGCACTTTGGTTAAATCCAATCCAAAATTCATCGTTGAGGGTGATTTTTCTCATTTTGAGAAACCTCATTTGTACCATGGCGGTCCTGATCCTGTGTTTCCGAGCCCGTCGGTTCCTTCGGGAATTTCGGGAAGCGCTTCGAAATGGCTGGGAGCAAATTGGCCCCGTTAGATCGACAGCGGGGCGAATTACTCGTTTTCGGGACGAGGCAATTGTTCCAGTGCCCTCCCGGCCTCGACCGGCGCCTCCACCTCCGGATCCTCAAAGCGGGTCACTAAAGGCATTAATCCCGAGCCCATGAATCCATCCAAAAATCCACGCTCACTGCCTATCGCGCGACACCCCTGTCTACTTGAAATTTAGAGCTTGCAACAATCATAAAATAAATCACAGCCGTATTTCAGCTTTCACGGTGAATGACGTTCTTACGGTGCAAAAGTTCCATTGCGTGCACGTACCGAACGCAATATTCCGAGCCGTCATTTCCTGGCATAAATGAACTAAAAATCCCTATCTAGGGGTATAATAATTATTTCGGAGTCGAACCTCGAGGCGGACATAGGGACCTGAAATGAGATATTTGGAGATATTTGGAGGTATTTGGGCACGCTTCCTCTTCCGGGAGATGAAAAGTACCTCCCGGCTGTGCAAACATTTCAATTAACGGCCCCGGTACGCATGGGCGACGCGGCCCTGCAGACAAAGCGACGCCCGGCGCCTGTCAAGGCTTCCCCGAGGAAACGCGTAACGAGCATCGGAGCGAACCCCGAGAATCCGCGTCCGCGGATAATTTCGGGCGGAAATGTCGCGACGCGTGCGCGTTGCCGGATGGGAGTGCCGAGAAGAGGGTGGAAGGCACAAAATGGGAGCCGGCCAATAGCGTCCCGGTCCAAAATGGCCGGCGGAGGATTTAATCAATACCTCCTCCGTCCTTCGGGGTGGAGGAGCACCCTCCGGCGAGAACCTCGGACCTCCAGGAACGTATCTACCCCCTGCCCAAATGGTCCCCGATAGCAGATTTCATATCAACCCGTGATCGGGATGCGACTCCTCTTCGGACTCGATGCCAATTATAGTAGTTTCGTTATCAAAAATTGATATCGACAGGCTTTTAGAATTTTCGACCTTCAAGGTGGCGGTGGGTACCGGAAGGAGAGAGGTGCCCAGGGTTTTCACCCCCTGGGAGGGAAGCTCCTGGTGAGCTTGGCTCGAAGGTGGTTTGATATCAATCGGGATTCCATATTTCAGGATTTATTTCCGGGACGAGGTGGGATTGCCTCCAGGAAACTACTTTGCATTTCGAGGGAGGATCATTTCAAACGCAGCGTAGAAGGAAATTGTTTACACCTGGCGCAGGTGATTTCTCAAAAATAGTTGAACCGATCGGGTTGACATTTTAACCCTAGTGTATTCAGCAAACACGTGGTTATCAGATGTACCTTAAATCATGATAAAATTGTAATTTCAACCCGTACTTTTGCTTGAAAAATGTGTCATTCTTTCTACGTCCACAGTGGTGTAGCTTAAAAGGAAACTCCATAAATCCGGCATTATGTCCCGTCAATTAAGCTCCGCAGATTTTTCCAGCTGGCAAGCTCCTATCTGGACCAGCCGGAGGAAAGGGTCTCCTGAGAAAGCGGGGACAAGAGTTCCGAGGCAAGAAAATCCTTTCTGGGGGTCGGATCGGCGGTGGCGAAATGGTTCCTGGTGGTCGGAAATGGTCCAAGGGGGTCCGGGGGGTACAGTGATTTAATGCGCGGCATGGAATCGATCCTCTGTACCTCCCACTCCGCCCCCTCGTCGCTCCTCAGAGCGGGAAACGCGGAGGGGATGAATTAAGCTCCTCTTTACCCAGGCGCTGACGTACTTTAGGGCGAACTTTTTAAATTGCTCCACTTGTTCCAGGCGGCAGGGAGAAATTTCCCTCGAGTGCCGGGAACTCCGCCTTTTCTCTCGGACTTGCCCTCGGAATCCTCTCTCCGAATTTCCTTCAAGGAAAAGTGCATCGTTGCATCTCGGTGGCTACTCCAGAGGGGATGAACTTTCCCCCCGAGGTTTTTAACTAACCCAGGGTGTTAATTCAACCGGAGGATTACGAAAGGAACTCGTGGTGTGTTTAAAAAATGAAAATCTTTCGTCGTCCGATTCGCCTCCGATAAATAAACCAGGACTTTTTTGGAATTTTACTCATGAATTGCATTTTAATTGCAGATGCACGTGGATCATTTTCTAGAGAATCATCGCGCGGGGATAGATGATCGTAATGACATTTATTAGGGATATTTGAGGGTGAGGTAAATTGTGCATTTTTTTTTAAGCTTTTTTCCTGTACCTGCTCTATCTGTCAAATTTAGGTCGGGCATGTTCTAAGGAGCCGTTTTGTAAAATCAGCACCTTATCAGCCTCTGATAAAGCTGCTGCAAAGGAGAAGCTAATGCCTCCCCTCGTTCCAGGCAAAACGTCACGTCTTGGAGCCCGTCCAACTACCGCAATAAATACTCTATGTGCATCAGGTGCACCCACGAAATCTGCATCCCGACTCGATCAGAGAGAAGCATAAATCCCCGCCATGTCCGGAATTCTGATAACCGAGATATTTATCACCCTTCCATCCGTTATTTCCATCTTTCGGACAGGTTACGTGCTCCTACCCCGGAAATGCAGCGGACGTCGCATTTCGCCTTTTGTTGCGAATCGCTTTGAGAGACTTCACGGACGCGGTCGGGAATGCACTTGCAAGGAAAAATATTTCCACTTTATAGTGCATACCGCATTACGGTCCATTTTGTACCTCTGAATATTCCGTAAACTCGGGAAACTTTACACCGCGGTATGTACCGCGTCCATCCGAGAATGCAAGGTCTTTCTGAGGTGCATAATAAAATTAATCATATCTACCTGAGTGAAAATAAGGGAAACTTAATTTCAATAGAAATTTCTAATAAATAAAAAATTCCGGAAATTTTTTAATAAGGCTTTCCACTCTATCGAGGCATCTTGCGCAAAGTGTTTATCGTAATGACCAACTGCACCTGACCTATGGCGATTGACAGATATCGGGGAAAAAAAAAATTCAAGATACCCCACGTCCTCTCGATAAAGCGTCACGTTTACTAGCTGGTAGCGTAACGAGAGCGCGTTATCGCGGGATCTGAAATCCGGAGGGGGAAACGGAGAAGCGTTATCAGGATGGGCGATAAAATTGGGTAGATTATCACTGCCATCGAGGTTCTGCGCGAAATCCCGCCGATCGGTGAGAGCTAGTCGTGGAGAGCGGACTTTATCGTGCAGAGACTTATTCGGGGTGCTCACTCGACGTGTCACAGGACTGCTCGACTTGATTGGGCATTAATAAGCTAAAGTGACGGCAATCAAACGCTCCGGGAGCTGGCCCGATGTAAACCTCGGCGAGACAGTCTCCTCTCTCAAAATCACCGGTAATCGTCGTCCAGATAGGACGGAAAGTGAGTTTGAAAAATCATCCAAAAGGATATAAAAAAGTCCCCAGTCGTCCTCGGGCCTTCGATACCCCTCAACCTGGACTTTCCCTCCGGTGATTGATCCTTCTATTAATTAGATATATCATTTCTTTGATGTCAAGAACCAAAATTAGCTACGTCCTGATATAGTTTTCCCAGAGATTTGAATTATTCTCGATAGCTTCCAAGAGACACCATTGCGCCACCAGCCTAGTGATTCGTTTTTGCTCCATTTCCCTATCGGCTAGAGGACATAACGCGTCTGCAATCCGCAGCTCAGCCGAAGTGGGTCGTCCTCTTCCGATGACCCCGGAAGGTTCCGTTCATCCTCGGGTCCCAGCATCGCAATGCACTTCCGGGGTATCAGAGATCTCGATTTCCGCCCGGTGGAGTCGCCGCGCGGGGTATTGATTTGCCATCACTTTCAGATGACGCCAGGTCGCCGGTGGGTGTTGCTTCTGGGGTTGTTGGGCTCGGCCTCAGGGACGTATCCTGGACGAGCGTCCACCCTCGGAAGGACGACGTCCCCGCGCCTGCGCGACGCCGGCTGCGTGGACGTCTGCGCCGCGGAGTTTCGCACCCTGTGCAGGGCCGTCTGCACTCTCGGCGTCTCGGAGGCTCCTCAGTCTGGGGCCGACCTCGGCCACGGCGAGATCTCCTCTCTGGACTGCCGGAAGCTGTGCCGGTGCGTCCCCGTGGAGGAGGCCGAGGAGTGTCGCCGCTTGCAGAGGGTAAGGCTCGCCGGAGAGGGATGTCCTTGCGGCGCCTTCGAAGCGTCCTCGGACCGACTCGGAGTCCTGGATCGACTGGGTCCGGGGGGTGAAAACCGACCCTCGACCCCGAAGACCTACCCCGAAGAGCAGACCGGGTTGAACCTCGTCCTGGGGGCCGGGGAGGATGACATGGAGCGCGTCCTGCGGTTCTTGTCCATCGAGAGGGTTTGGCGATCTCGCCTGTTCGAGGACCCACGCGTTGAGGTCTCCGGCCTCGCCAGGACCCGCGAGCGGAGACCGCCCTCGGAATCCTTGGACCTGGATTCCCAAATAGACGGTAGGGATAACTTGGGAGTCGGTGGAAGTCTCCTTGACATTCTGGACGCCGATCTGCCGGTCGGGGAGAATCTGCTCGAAGATGCTGCCGGAAATGGCATCGTTCCTCCCGAACCACCGGGAAACGATAATGGCGTCAACTGGGAAATGTGGTGCATGGTCCAATGCGGAAGCGGGAATGGCGGCAGTGCTTGCAACTGCGATATCATTCCTTGAACCAGGAATATGTGGATTAACTTATCGTAACGTTTCGGTGGCTTGTATGAAATATCGTTTGCTTGGATCTGATACACGATGGGCGGAATTCAACTCGGTGATGCTCTTGTATTTCGGGCTTTGTATGTTTATGGACCAATTGGGATATGCATATCATAGTAGAAAATTGCATATCGGTGGGATTGATTTTTTTCCAAGAGTTTGATACTTGGAATATATGATGGAGATATCAGAGGCCGATGGAGTGGTCGCGGGATTATTTTGCAGAAACTGTAGAAGGAAAACACCGCAAGGCCCGATGTTGACTTATTTAAAAAATGAATTGCGGGTCGGAATCGACATGCGAGCGGGACGATTATTACTGGGAGTACGGTGTAATGTATGATCCAGGATAACAATGGAAATGTCAGTAGAAGACCCGACTGCGACATTATACCCAGGAATGGAGATTCGTCAGAAATGAATTTACATATCCTTTTAGCGTTAGGAGTCGTTCTGGTCGGTTCGCCGGGTCGATTGGTAAATTTCGTTCGATAGTGTTGCAATTATTTTCAAGAAGTACCAAAATCAAGCTAAAATTACAGGAGGCGATTTTCAAGAAATCTCAAGGCTTATAGATAAATAGAGCAACTGGAATTACCTTCGCTTATACAACGTCCATCATCCTCGAAAATGATAGCAAGGATGTTATCACAAGTTAGATTCTTCATCAGATCATTAATATCTGGATTAACATGTAAATAAAAAAAAAAAATGCTCTCAAGGCTTCGAGAAATTTGCCAATCGGACGTAAACTGCGCTTCGTCAATCGTAGATTGTTTATGTTCAACTCATACCTTGAAATCTTTTTAAGAGGTAGCGGATAAGAGCGTGAATATTAAACATCATTACTTTCCCTGATTACTTAGGCTTAGCGTTGCAAAACCGACGCCGGAGATGGTTATCCATTTTGCAATTGAATTTACGTCTAGCGTAGTTTTAAGGTACTTTAGCGAATCTATGCTGCTTGGCGCCATTATTTAATTACGTCAAGGGATTATAAGTAAGTGTCTCATAAATTGTCTATACTTTGCGTCTCTCGAGGACGAGAAATGTCGAGCCTTAATGTTTAACCTTAACAATGGGAGTTAGGATATAATTTCAACCCGTAGATTAATGGCGACCAAGTCGTCCGATTTTGTATATCTATATCTCCTAGCGTGTTAACACGACCGCGGGTGTGCAATATGTGTATTATGCAATAAACCATACATGTACTATCCACGCGCGAATGCATATACCAATTGTGCTCTGTACTTGTATTCGCGAGTGGTCGCTAAGGTTAGGTTAGGTTAAGACTTTTCGCAGTATATTAACCGCGCACCTTTTTGCACAATGTTAATAAACGCGAGACACAAAATCCAAGTCTTCCAGATTGACATAGCGACGTCGATTGCGATTCCTCGTAATCCCTATCGGCGTAGCGATTAGTTAATAAGTTAACGGCGGCCAATATGGCGCCGATTTGCATATTTTAATTTTTAATAAGGCCACGCCACCGAACAAGTTGTGACGCGACAATAAAACGTAGATTTTAGTAAGCCCTTGCGAAGCGTCGATTACTCGGAGGGAATTATACAGACCGGTCCAGAGAATTTTTTAATGTTTAAACAATCGTTCCTGTATCATTCCATCCGCGTGTCGTGCCTTTTCGACATCGAGCCTCGAACGCGAAAAGAATTTTCACTTATCCCCTTAACATTATTCCTGGATTGTCCACGTAAGGTGAATAAAGGGTTAGACGATAGCTTTGTTAAACAATGCAGTTTTGTTAAATGCGGTTCTCGATGTCGGAAGGGCATTCGCTTAAGAGCCTTGATAATTCATTGCGAAGGTCGCGGATGTAAGCGCACTTTTGTCTGTAAATATTTATATGGGAAAAGAGAAGAAAAGAGAAAAAAAGAACAACCGGAACGACAATATCATTATTAGAGAGTAAGATTGCAAATGCGACTCTAAGATGGAACATCGTCGCCCGAATATCATAAAGTTGCATGCGTTGGATTTTTATACTATACTAGATTTAGTCATGCCATTTTACAATTTATTCTATACTCTTGGTGAGGGTACGATAATTCATAATAATCGATAAGGGTCTTCCTCGGGATTCAATAATAGGGATGCTTCCCTCTTACTGTCACTCTGACTTTTTAATTCTATATGCTCATTTTTTTTATGTGACAGGGATCACTCGAGTCGTGTAAATAACGTGATAAATAATTATCTGGTATCGAGGCCGTTACTAATCTTTTGTCACCCTGTATAATAAAGGATGTGGTAATTGGAAGTCGAGTTTTCATCATTTACCCTGAAATCTTCCATGAATTACTTCGCAGCAAAATGTCCGGCTGGATCATCGATCACCAGGAATCTCTGAAAAAAATAATCAATCTCTCTTATCGAGTATCATTTCCTCGGGATCGTTGATCGTGATCTTCGATTTAATCACCGAAAATTTTTAATTAATTGTTGACAGTACAAGAGCGACCGCGATAACAACGTGAAAAGGAAAGTCTAAAAGTCATTAGACCGGGTAAATCATTATTACTTACTGCTCGGTACATGATTCATATCTTATTGAACCATTAGTGATAGTAATCGTGATCTGTATAGTGCTCGATCGAGTAAGCAGAGTTATGATCGTGCATAATTGTTTGTATCAAATGATTAGATAATTATCCTTATCACCACGTGCAATTAAGTGGATTAGATTACAATGAATGACACACGTCTTGGCATATAAAATTCAATGTTTAAGTGTATAGATCTTAGCCGAAAAAAATCGCATCACCGAGTAAGCTTGAATTTTCTTCATATTCGTGAATATTTACGTTTCTTTTTTCTTTTCTTTTTTTTTAACAATCGCAATCGAACAGGAATACAGAAGCGCCATCTGCAATCCACCGTAAGAGAAATCATCCCCGCGGAATATATATTTCCCTTCAGTCGTGGTAGCAGATTCCTGCTGTCTTCTTGTTACCATCGGGCCGAGTTCTCCTTCTGTCGATAATACCGTAGAAAGAGTCTAAAAATCCCAAAGATAACCCCTTGAAAATATCTGTCATATCAACGTATCGATCACGGTAACTCCGAAATAGCGTATGACAAAAATGTTGAATTCTTGCCGTAGTTCGCACTGAACGAATAATAGTAAATCGAAAGTGATCATAACTGGCCCATTTTCGTAGCATACGCAAGATAACAGATTATTGCATAATTTCATACTCCCTTATCGAAGCTGTATAACGCTGCAATATGCGAAAAGAAACAAGAAACTAGCGGGTGTATTTCAAGATAGCTAATTGGACGGTCGTACTCGGAGGTTTTTCCGATTGATTTATTTATTTATACGTGTATTTATTTTTTAGGCGGCGTTCTGTATAGAAGTATTATGACTCGGGCATTTCGTTACAGATACGAGACGGAATTTATTTCCCAGTGGATTCGAGACAATCAGGGGTGGTTCAAATCGCGTTAGGTCTCTTAATAGGGTTCTTTTACGATGTCATTGCCTCAGCTTTTATGTGGTAGCGAGTTATGGTTCTTATAAAAGGGGATCTTCTTCCTGAAAAGAGTCAGTTCTCGGTCCATCCTCGACAAGTGTTCTCTTCTCCAAGCCCCGGCACACGGTACGTAGTCGACAAGATGATTAAAGTTTCCTTTACGTGTCTGCGTCCAAAATGTCGATTAAGACTCTATTACGTGTCCTTTTCGCCGCCCAGGTTTATTTCAAACAATCTCTGTTTTTGCCCCCGGACATTTTAAGCAATTCCAAAAGGAGCTTGGGGTTTTTTAAATGCCACCGAGTATCGCTCCTGTTACGTACTATCCGAGCTTTGCAAACAGGAAACTTATAATAATTTAGTGGCGATTTCGTTCACGAGCGAGTTATGCAGACATTTCTTTCCTGACAAATGAGGGACGCTTGCCCTCGACAGGAGCACTTGACCGCAGCTTTTTCTCGGGGATATAAAAGCTCGGAGCTTTCTCGTTTGAACAGTGCTCCTCGAAACTCGCCATCGACTAACCTCTGTTTCCGTCCTCCAGGTAGACCTAGATTTACCGATATTACATATATATTTTTTTTCATCAACTTCAACGATTTTATCATGAAAGTTCATTGTTATTTTTTATTCTCGCGCTTTGAGACTTACTCGTTACCCGATGATACGTAGCGGAGGCATTTGACGAGAAGTTTGAACAGATCGTCCAGAGATGGCGCCACTACTTCTCCTCCCTCTCTCCCCAACCAAACAATTGCATGGGTTTATAATTATAACACTCGTTAATTTCATAATACCAGCGATCTATACCTCGGTGCACGTGAGCAAAAAATGGGGTAGGACTTTACATCGCAAAATTGACAACATTTCAATATGCAGCTTCATCTTGAATAAATCTAACGTCGTATTCTTTGATAATCGGAATATTTTATTTTACGCTTCGGAATATCCGATAGATTTTATTGAAATATCCGTCGAAATATATTTCCAGAAAAAATTCGACAAAATGGCATCCAAGGATATCGTCTTCGCCCTCTTTGCCATCCTCGTCCTGGTGGCAGTTTTTGGCGCAGAGGCGGCTTACAGAAAACCGCCATTCAATGGCAGCATCTTCGGGAAGCGATCCAGCACCATTACGGGTAAACCTCCAAGTATCTCTCTGGCTTCGGTTTAACCCCTGCCTTGCGATTTAAATTCCAATATCGCGTGCCATAAACAACTAAAATGTCGGTCATACATCGGGCCATTTCACGGTTTGGCTGAAAGTTTGGTCCGATTGATATACCACATCTCACACGATATTGTAGGTGGAGAGGCTAACCCAAATGCAATTTACTAAATTATTTTCAATCCCAACAGCAGATTACGAAGTTACCGGCCGAGCTCTGACAACGATGTGCGAGGTCGCCAGCGAAACCTGCAACGCTTGGTTCGCTCATCAGGACTCAAACTGAAGCCCATAAAAACCGCTCCCATCGACTCGATTAATCCACAAGAAAATCCTCCGGCTTAGATTAGTCATTTAATTAAACGAGATTAATCGCGACGCTTTAAACGAATCTCCCCTTAATTTCGTCTACGAGCAAAGATTCGCTAAATGGCCCTCTCACGCTTCGCAGGAATTTACCCTTAAATGTAATCAAGACTTTAGCTTTTATGTCATTTCATTTAATTATTTTTTAGTTTGTAGCAAGGCGGGATGCGTTAATGATAAGGTACGGGGAATTAAGGGATTTTAATCAGGGTTGAGAGAGGAGGTAAAATGCCCCCTTTCGCATGGTAGGACTCTTGTCGAATTTACCGATCGTTATTCGAATGTCGATGACTTAGATGTAATCATTTCGCATTTCGGGCACGTATCGTTCACCTGCCGAGATAAGGGCCGCGCATTACGTGTAAATGAAAATGCGATCGTCCACGTGTGCATACGAAAGCAGAACTATTGACGCAAACCGACGTCCAAGTTAGAGGAAGGGAATTTCGGTGACATTCTTTGGGACGCAATTTTAGTTTATATATATATTAATTAATTATGTATTCATCTTTATCAATTTGAATGAGTATACGCATATGCGAAGGTCATGCCGTAGTCGATGGTCCGTTTAAGCGTGGAAATGTTACCGTTCATTGTAAGCCTGTCAAATGTCATAATAAGAGTCGACGTAGATGAATAAATAAACAAGTAACCGTGTAAAATATCTTGCAAATTATTTAGTCCATTCTGCCCTCGTATTTTTCGAGTAATCGTTGACTGGAAGTGGTCGATAGTTTCGCAGCAGACTGTGCTGGATTACTCTCTGTTTGTTCAGTCGTACACGGGTTACACGACGACAGGATGAAAATACTTAATTAAGTGCAAATCCGGTATAAATAAGGGCACCGCTTCCAAACTTTACCATTGACACCGACGGAAGATTGTCAGGTAAGTCTAATTATCTTAAAAGTAGTGTCGATTTTATATATTGGCTTAGGAAATATTATTAACGTGGAATTGTTCGGTGAAGTTTTGTTTGCTACGTCAAGATGGCGGCACATGTGATGTTCTCCAAGATCGAGTTCATGCGATCGGGTAAGCATTTTCTCCTGCTTTGTGCCGGGATTTTTATACTTGCTGTGGTATAATTTATGTAAGCTTATGTAGTAAAATATACGGGAGCACTGCAACTGGCTGATTATGGTAATGGCGGTCATTTACTGATTAACGCGGGTGGTGACTCGGTAAGCCATTGCAGCCTTTAAAAGGGTGTCCTAGGGACATTATTCATTCAAATGCAACCACTTTCTCTTCCCAAGGATAAATTTATTTACCGGAGGTATTTATTGTCTTCTGAGAACGCTGTAAGCCCCCAAAGTCGACGCGAAACTTGGACTAAAATTCGATAACAATGAGAAACTGTTAAACCTACATAAAAAATATAGAATTCCTGGGAAAAGTCAAAGAGATTAATCTAATCTGTTCCTCTAATTTCAATTTTCCAGTCGCATTTCTCGCAATCGTGGTTCTCCTTATCAACGGAAGTGATTCGGAGCAGGAGCAGAAGACAGAAAAGACGATATTATTCCCATCGTACTTTTTAACAAAAGTCAAATCCATCCCACGTATAGGACGAAGAGGAGGGAACTTCGAAGACTTTTTCCTGAAGATGACGAAGAGCATTCCAAGAATGGGAAGACGGGAATATCAACCGGTATCGCTACGGATTAATCTTTCTCGTTAATTAATTGGAAATTAAATTTTAGAAAATCGCTGATTGTTTTCTCTTTTTTTTAGTCGGGTGGAGAATCCGATGAGTCCTTGCCGTCATATGAAAATAACGACGCAATGGCTCAACCATCTAAGAGACCGCTTGAATTTTCCCCAGTTGCAGGTAATTATTAAATCAATTTTCCTATCTCTGGATTTCCTATTAGGACATTTGTTGACGTTTCATTAATTAACAGAGACTGACACCTGGTCTTGGGATAACATGATGCACGCAATCGAAGGTTCACCGGAACTCTGGCGAGCCCTCGCCGAGAATTCAAGAGCTTCGCCATCTTTAAATTCCGCCATGGAGGGGTAGATATGTTCGATTTCAAGCAACATTTTATGGGATTCGAATTATGATAAAACAATGGCATCTTTGGAACAAAGGTACGACGATGATAAATGGAGGAGACAGAAGAGGACCGACAAATAAGAGGTGGAAGAAGCGCTTAGGCAAAGGACCCTAGGCGGACCATATTAATGTAAAAAAAGATTTATTAAGGAAAAACCATAAAGGAAAAATCGGGAGAAGTTAAATTCTATAATGAAGATTCCGGGAAAGCAACATTCGGTGTTTGGAAACTGTGGAAAGGTGTTGGGAAAATATAGAAGGGCATACATGGAGTTCCCGTATTTCTTCCCGGTTTATTATCCTACAGGGTGTTTATTGGAAAATCAAATGGGGATTATACTTACATTAAGTCTTAGTAAGTTCTTTAATTTGCGTTTTGGAATGATTTCCGATGTCTGGTAGGACTGTACCGAAAGCGGTTATGGTAATGAGGGGGCAGAGCCTCGGCTCGCCACGTGACCGTTTTTACCACTGACGTCATAGGTGTGGGTGGATTCGAGAATTACTAGGAGGAGTCTTCGAGTATCTCTCCTGCTCTTCTCGTGACCCAACGCATACTCTGAAGTTCCCCAATGCCCTGCCCAGAGTTATAACATGTGGCAAGTGCATTAGCCGTCTGCATCCTCCACCGGAGGTCGCACAGGACGCGGTCGCTCGATCCTTCCCGTGAGCAATCTCCCAACTCATCTCTGTATCCAGTGACTTTTTTTATCGAGCGAAGTCACGCGAACATCAATTTTCCCTGTTATCTGAGGTAGGTGTTCCTTTTACCGCACGGTAGCGGACGAGGTTCGCCGAGTAGTTCAGAGATGGCGCCACTCGCTCCGTTCCGGCGCTTCGGAACGACGACGTCTCTCCGAGTTGGCGCTGCCGCCCGGCCGACTAACGATTTTCCCCTCCGCCGTCTGCTCCCAGAAACAATAAATTGTTGTAATTACAATAATTCTGGTGTTTAAAGCAATGCTTTGTGTTTACGTCGTCGCCTCGCACCGCCGGCCGGTAATTTTAATTCATTATGCGGTAACGGAGGCGGCCGATTCGCTCTCCTGCCACGGTGACCCAAATACCGGGAAGAGATCGGAGATCGGCGCTTCGATGCGAGTACCGGTACCGTATTTTTCCGAGGAATCCTTCGTAACGATTCGTGCCTCGTGCTATTCCTATCCTCTTTACAAGCGACTTGGGATATTCCTGCAAAATTAGCCACCGAGAGCCTCTTAAGAGGGGATTCCCTGCCAGGTACTTAGACATCGTGCTCGTGCCGACGATACTCATGGGTACTTGTTTCAGGGTCCAGGAAGGTGCTGGCATTTCGGAAGGAAGTTCTCCTAAAGTTCCAAGGAAATAGACCCGACCAGACGGAGTCAGCTGGACGTTAAAGCGGAAGTTGGTCCGCACGGATAATGTCTGGCCAACGAGAGCGGTTCCCGTTTAATAACCCTGATTTGCCGTTTATACCAGAAGAGGATGGCGAAGGGAGCCCCGGGGATGCGCAAGCAATGGGATCGCGCGCAACGACCGTACATAATCATGTAATGCGGTTATCATGCCAATTGCGTAAATATTTGAGCCAATTTGTGGCATGCAACCGACACTCGACCCCGACGACGAGGCGGGCTATTACTTGGGGTCTGCACCAGGTTTCGTCCTCGTCTTCTTCAGGCTCCGCTTCGGTCAATATTTCGTCCATTTAGAGACGCGTTGGCTTTTCTGCGAGCCCTTTGCAGACCCCAAATATCCTTCGGGCCTTCCTAGACTGTCGGGAAAGGTGTCGAAATCATTTTCCGTCAAATGGTCTTCCACTATTTAGCGATGATTCTTTTGCAGACGTTAAGGTGGACCTCCTGGAAGAGTTTCGCCTTTCTCGGCTGGAGGGGTCACCGGTTTGGCAAGGGAAGATACCGGAGAGCAAGGGCGGTCCTCGGCGCGGCGTCGAGGGGTTCGGGTCTCGCTTCATCATCGGATGTCTCGTTATTGGCAAGCGCGAGAGATGAGCGTTCCTGGAATCACGTTGGCACGACTCATCCGACGCCTCTGTTCCCGTCTTTGTCTCTCGCCCATGAGAGTGGCGCCTTCTCCTCCTCGTGGGCCAGGTAGACCCGACCATGTAGGTCCAGCTTCCACCTGGGAAGAAAGTTCGCTAATATCAAGGCGGCTTCCTAACAAAGCGAAGCGACCACTCCTCGGCAGAACTCTTTTCGCGATTTTGCGAAACCACTTCAGGTTTGCCTAGCACCTTGACGTGGCATTCTGCCGGATTTCCTGTTTAGAGTATGTCTTTGTCTTTTATTTTGCAGATCCGAGGATTGTCACGGATTATTTTCCGCCTTCTTCAGGTCTTGTGATAACGAGACGCGCGTTGTGAAGAATGACTACGATAACGAGACAGCTAATCACCGCTGATAACGAGCAGGTTAGTCAGCCGAGATCCGTCCACTCGTTAAACCCCGGTGTTACCCTCTTCTTTTCTTCCGATTTTTCCTCGCCGTCCTTCGAGGAAGCTGCCAAAAGGAGGAGTCCTTCGTCCTGCTCGCTTCAGCCCTGACACGCGCGATTAGGTGGACGAGATCCAGTTGGGACGTGGTGGTCTCGTTACCTGGAGGAGGGGTACTCGGCAGGAAAAATGGTCCCTACCGCGGGGACGTTTTCCGACTTTTTGGAAGACTGGTCGAGGATACCTCGTGGGAAAAGTGCACCTCGTCATACAACTTCTTGCCCGTCATAGTGAAATAGGATTCCCCCCTTTCCCCCGGGTTCCGGTTCGAGCTGAAACGAAAGCACTTCTAGATGTCCTGCACGCGCCGGTTATTTCGATGATTAAATTTAATTAAAGGTGCTTGCATGAATATTGTTAATAAACTTTACGCGAGGCGACTGGACGGAACATCTTGCGAGTAATGACGTCAAGAGTGGATTGAAAAAAAGAAATGCCAAGACTTTGTATCTGTACCTCCACCGTCAGGGAGCAGGCAAGAGACGTAGGAAAGCAAAAGGGAGAGAGATTCCTCCTTCGTGGCGGAGGAAAAACTGAAAAAAATTTTATTGTACCTTTTTATTCCACCGGGAGATTTCCTAGCATATGAAGTTGTGAATTCGAGGTTACAATATTCTTAGGATCTTTTCTTTTTTTTTCTAGGCCGGGATTCCTCGGGGTCGCCGAAGACGGGAGTATCGGCGCTTCGTGTAGGTACACGAGGTACATATGTATTACATGGATACGTAAGAGGAGTGGCATCGGATGTCGTAATAGCGGAGTCCGGTCACGACGCTGCAAGGCACCTCCCGATGATCCCGTACAGGAGCTGGAGTCCGGCTTGTCTTTGATTTTCACGGGAAGCGCCTGGAGGCACGACTAGAAAATAGAGGAATAA